AAGGTCCCCGTTGCGACTCCCACCTCTGGTTACACTACCCCCGAGCAAGGTGGTGAAGAGAACTTGCCTGTCGGTGTCCCCGAAGCGACTCCCACTCCCGAGCAAGGTGGTGAGGAAAACTTGCCCGTCGGTGTCCCCGAAGCGACTCCTACACCCGGCCCTGGTTACTCGACTCCCGAGGAAGGCGGTGAGGAAAACTTGCCCGTCGGTGTCCCCGAGGCGACCCCCACTCCCGGCCCTGGTTACTCGACTCCCGAGGAAGGCGGTGAGGAGAACTTGCCCGCCCCCATCCCTGAGACCCCCGTTGAGGGAGGTTCCCCTGAGGTAGAGCTCCCTGCTCCTACCCCGGCTCCCGCTCCCGCACCCGAGGTGCCCGGTCCTGGCGAGAACTATCCAGTTCCTCCCCAGATCCCTACTCCCGAGGTCCCGGCTCCCGAGGTCCCCGGCCCGGTTCCGGTGCCCACCACCACCCCTTGCACCACTGATGTGCCCGTGGTGACTGGTGTCCCCGTGCCTGTTCCTCCCGTTGCGACCACCACGGTTGCTCCCATTGAGACTGTGCCGGTGCCCGTGCCCACCACCCCGTGCACCACTTCCACGGCGACGACTGTTGCGCCCGTAGAGACTGCTCCTGTCCCTACCGTTACGCTCCCTCCCGTCGAGACTGTCCCAGTGCCCGCTTACCCTGTGCCTACTGGAACTGCTCCCGTCGAGACTGCCCCAGTGCCCACTGCCACTGTGCCTGCTCCCGTTGAAACTGCCCCAGTGCCCACTGCCACTGCCACTGTACCTGCTCCTGTTGAAACTGTCCCAGTGCCCGCTTACCCAGTGCCTCCTGTGGAGACCAAGCCTGCGGAGCAGCCTTCCCAGACTACTGTTGCCCCCGTCGAGACCACCGCCGCTCCTCAGCCCACGGAGAACCCAGGTCAAAACCCAGGCCAGAACCCCGGCCAGAACCCAGGTCAAAACCCAGGTCAGAACCCCGGCCAGAACCCAGGTCAGAACCCCGGTCAGAACCCCGGCCAGAACCCAGGTCAGAACCCCGGCCAGAACCCAGGTCAAAACCCAGGTCAGAACCCCGGCCAGAACCCAGGTCAAAACCCAGGTCAGAACCCACCCTCCACCACCGTCGAAATCGGTCAACCTGACGAGACCCCCATCATTAACGAACGCCGCAGCTACAGACGCAACGTCCGCATTGGAAACGGCTACTACCGTCGTTTCTAAGTTCCCCCCGGATGGTTGATTAGTTCATATGTATAGAAGAATATAGTTAGCCTGTTACGTTTTCCAAGTGTGTCGCCCAAAAACTTTCTATGATGGGTCATCATCTCTCAAGTTTTGAGAAAACGTGGGGTCTTTCGAGTTTTGGGATTCTCGATATAGTTCGTAGACCAAGTGTGTCTTGTTTCTTTGTAATACCTTTTTTTCTTTGAGCCTCGTGCTTTGAAATATGATAAAATAAATGGAGTAGATGTGTTTATCACATTGTGAAGCTTTTTGAACTAGAGTGTTTTTGTCTTATTCACGCAATATGTACAGGTAGATTTCGATATGTTCCTCCTGCAACACAACCCAAGGTAAACTACCTACTGAGACTTTTCTTTGAAGGCTTTCTTTGCACCCCTGCGGACAAGTAAAGCCCACAGATCGGGCACCATTCCTTCCCACATGCGTCCCAACTTGAATTTGTGGGTCATAACGAGCTCCTTCCGTCCCTGTTTGGTCGCCTTCACCATCAACTTTGCACATGTTTCCGCAGTCATGGCACCTTTCATATCCAAATCCGCCGGACCGGACCCTAACCGAGTTGCATTGATATTGGTCACGACGGCGCCGGGGTAGACAAGCGTGACAAATACACCTTGATCGTAAAGTTCGCTTTGAAGCGCTTCATAGAACCCTCTCACCGCAAACTTGGTGGCACAATAACCTGTTCGACTGGGTATACCCGCCAATCCTGCTACAGAGGATGTGACGACGATCCGTGATTGGGGGGTTTGCTTTAACAGGGGGAGAGCTTGGTGGGTTACGGAGATGCACCCAAAGTAGTTGACTTCCATCAAGGTCCGAAAGACGGATAGATCTTGGAAGGCTTCAAAAGGTTCTCCCATTGATAACCCGGCATTAACGTAGAGCGCATCGAGTTGGGACGAAAATGCTTCACGGGTCTTTTGGATGAGGTTTGCTACCTAAAAATAGTTTTTCATGTCAATGAAAAAGATCATGTACCAGTTGATTTGATGCAGCTCTCTAGTCGTTTTTACCTGCGCTTCATCGCCCACGTCAGTAGGCACTGATAAAACCTCTTTGGCACCCAGTTCACGACATTTTAGTTCAACCCTCTGCAATTCCTGTTCACGTCTGGCCGCAAGCACAATTCGTGCCCCGTGACGGGCATACTCGTAAGCAATCTCTTCTCCAATCCCAGAGGAAGCGCCAGTGATGAGCACGACCTTGTTTTCTAGTGGCCATGGGCGTGCCTTTAGCCGTCGTTGGACTTTGCAGGCAAGATTGAGCATGAATAACACGGGTGAAACGGTGACGGAGATGAAATTGTAAACGTTTTCCATGATGGAGGTGAAAAGACGAAACGATGAGGGGAACAAAGGAGATGGCCTTTCCAATGGTAGTAGATCATCTGGGCCGCTTGGGGCTTGCTGACGATGTGTTCAATCACGTGCTTTTGTTTATATTCAGATCCTTGAGCTTTCCTCTGATGAACTATCTCTCAACAAATGTTTTATTTCAATCTGAACATGGTAATAATTCACTTTGCATAAAGATACTGAACATTAACAAACTTGTACTTGAAACAATATAGGGATATGCACATACTCTGCCAAAAAAAAATCACTACAAGCTATCGATGGTGGAGCCTAACATGAACCTACACAATCACAACATCCTTTGTAGGCCTCCTGCTATTTCGCTTCGCATCTTTTATCGCGACCTTTAAAAACTTTTTGACCACCCCATCTCGTTCCGCCTCTACAAACCTCGGAAACATTTCAAACATGGAATCTAATACCTCATTTCGGGCTTCGTCGAATATACTGACGAGTGGTAGGACTTTGGAGTCATCCCCAACCTGTTTGGCTACATCTTCAACGATCCGGGCTGGGAGGTTTACCTGGCAGGGTGAACCCGGGGAAATAAAGGTTTTATAAAACGTACGATATTCGTCTCGCATAGATGGAGGAATGAGGAGACCGCCCGCGGACGCTGCTACGGGTGGAGGCACGAGAACTGGTTGGGATCGAGAACCAAAATTGAAAAGTGAGCCCGCTCGCGATGTATTAGATAACGGACGACTGAACGGGTGCGCAAGGAAGGTGATGATTCGGTTTTTGATGGTTCTTTCTCGTCGGACCGTGAAATCAAAGACGGGATATTTATCTGTCATTGACATTCTGCTCATGGTCGACTGATGTACCAGTGGTGCCGGTAAAGATGATGCACCATCTGTAGGAACGGGAAGATTTGCTGATGATTCACCAGAAGACCCTGCCGCTATACCAGGCAAGAGTCTATTGGCACCTGGAGATGGCGCCTGAGCTACACGAACCTTTTCCATCAACCGTCGATATTCTTGATAAAACAAGGGATTCTCATCTGCAAAATCCCGCGCCGCAAAATCCTTGAAAGCCTCGAAACATTCTGGATCGTCCAGGACGCTGGCAAATAGAGTCCATGTTATCGAGGGTGCAGCCCCCTTCCTAGCTGTCCGCCTCTTTCCAGCTTTCTGTTTTTTGGCTTCGAGTTTTTCGTTGCTCCCTTCCGAGTCAGTATTTGACTCGCGTGATGGTGCACGATACAATCGGAATAACCTGCTGAATGGTCTCAAGGGGTGAATATCGTAGGAAGCGAGGAGTGGCAAGAAGATGGATGTCATGTGTCCGACTGCAACTCCCAACACTGGCCAATTTGATGCACCAAAATAGAGACGTAGTGGTGATTCCCCAAAGTTTCGACCAGAGGGTAACATTGCCTGCTGTAATCCGTACCTGAGAAAACAAGAAATGAATTTCAGTCATAATGACCTCGATGGTAAAAACCCTTCAAATATCAATTCAAACTCACATCACAGCAACAGCAGTCCCTGATATGGCAAACGCAATAAGGTCCCTTCTAATCCCATATGTATCATTGTCTCTCCATAGCCACCAACAAAGAGTGGGACATCCCAGAATAAAGAATCCTGCCATGATGACCAGTACTGGCATCATCTCCCATGTCCCCATGGTACATTGATAACTCACAGGTCGAATCTTGTATTGCGTGGATAGCGCTGTGACGACACAGATGTACCCTACGACAAGAGAAAGTATTCCAAAGAGGATGTAGGCCAGTCGCTTGGTTGGTTCTTCCTCTGGTTTGGGGTTCATGTTGATCAGCGACATTTGTGTAGCGGTCGGAGCTGACCTCTTTGGCAAGGAAGGTGATGCTTGTCGGGTCGTAGGTGAAGAGACGTGCCCAGCCTCTGCGGCAGATGCTAGTGCATCGTCGCTTCTTCGTTCGGTGGCGCCATCGATATGCAAAGTGGGTATACCAGGGTGAGATACCGCCAGCATTCCACGCGAGGTACCATGTCTAGAAGCTGCAATGGCTGACCATAAACTGCCTGCCCTCCCATCTATAGTTCTCCCACTGACATTGGGACCAGGCGACAGAAGAGTTGATCCCCCCATTGTCGATCCCGCATTTATAGTCAGGGTCTGAGATTCCATTGCGCGGGTTCGCGCGGGGATATGTTCTGGCCAGGGTTCTAGTAAATCCTTTTCTTCATCACTCATCTCCCGAGTAGTCGCTCCTTCGCCATTCCGCTTGCCTCCTCCTTCCAAGCTTTTCATCCGTGCCAGCTTGGCCTGATGGGATCGGAAAAGGTACCGCAGTCGCCATGCACGGGCCGACAAGGAAAATACAGTAAGGGTCACACCAAGATATAGACCCCAGAGGATGAGAAAACAAGGAAACTCCATTGCTTGTAGGAGAAGGAACGGGGTTGATATGAGTAGGTTGCCAAAAAATCCTAGCATGGTCAGAAAAACTGATCGCTAAGAAAGACAAAAACGTTAGTTGAAAATCTCCGAATGCCGAAAACCGTACAAAGAAACCGCACAACCCACCTTTGCCAAAGCGGAATCCGTTCTCGTCCTCCACACGAACCATGTTGCTGTGATGACAATAAACGACAGGTACACAACAGATACTCCTGTATAAACCTTTCTCGTCGAGAAGATGATGCTCTGGCGCCATGCTGCATCTTCGGCAGCTTCCTCAGGCGTTGCCGGTTGGCGAGAAGGACCGTTGCCAATTCCCATCCCAGCGATGACGGCGCCAAAGGCAGAGTCCTGCGAGTCTTCAGTAATTACCCGACACCTTTATATTGATGCAGGGATCGTGCAAGATAAGAAACGCCCAGGACTTCATCGGTAGGATACTATTTACGTCCCGAAACGGCCGATGTAGTATTACCGTATGTCATCGAAAGCTTGCGCTGGATCCTGATTGTTTGGTAAACAGAGGGGATTATATTACATCGGGCCTTTGTTCAGACCCTCAGAAAGCATGAGGGATATCTGGATCATTGGTCCCCGAGGCTTGCGACTACCGCACTGGTCCCATCACTGGATTCTTTCCTTGGCGCAATGGACAAACTGCATTGGTGCATATCGTGTAATGGTACATAGAGTGTAATTGGAGATCCTAGAATGATTACAAGTCCGGGACACCTGAACTGGAGTAAAATTAAAACCAGACTTAATTTGCATATTTCTTTTGATGCCACAACAGTTAAGATGCTAGCATCTTTTGTGGGCTCTGGGGGTCAATGTTATACCAATTAGGTCGGGTGAAGATATGAAGATACATTGCAGATTCAGACGACAAATTGACATGAGGACTATTCGGCAGTAACGGACAAGACACTTCTGATGAGGCTTGACTGTGGATAATGCAGCGCTTTTCTCAACTTGCTCCGGTCTAGAATACCGGTCTAGAATGAAGATCCCTGGCAAGCCTTTATACGAAAGAGTCTCTTTCACGAGGGATTCGTCGGTGCTTTTCGGAGCCGAATGGAAAAACTCATTCGGAGCAGACAAAAGCGGACGGTGTGAATTACAGTGTTCAAGTTTCAGGGAAGCAAAGGACCTTTGAAACGATTGTTCCCAGGTTAACTGGCAATGATAAAGAAGGACAGCCAGCAAAGATACTTTAAATGAAGAAGAGCCTTGTACTTTCAGCATATTTCAATTTGCACACCAAAATCTAACCGACTGCAGATGATGAACATAACTTGACAAATTACAACTGCAGCGTTCAGTTACTTAGTAATTCTTAATCGATTTTACACCACCAATTACCTGAACAGTAATACAGATTCTGCTATTTCCACGGAGAAAAAAGCGGGTAGCCACATCGATTGACAAATATGGGGTCCACGGACTTTGAACTGAGGGTAACTCGGCACCTTTGGCGTTCTTCAAAGGGTAAGGGCATTCCTTTTCGTTCCGAGATTAATTCTCTCCTCTGTGCAGTCATTCCTGGGGCAGTGAACGAACGCTGCGCCCAAGATTGGCGCTTGCTTACAGTTTACCAGACGTTTGCAAGCCCTTAAGGTCTCTTCTACAAGGGAAAAACGCCGTCCAATGAGGTGAGCCAACAAAACCCGTACTCTCATTTCAGACCCTTGGAAGCCTTTAAAGAAAACGTGCTCATGACGGGCTTATGGATGAGTTGTCACTGCTTTTTGTTCAATGGTCAAAAAGGGACCGTATACCGGGGAAAATACCACAAAAGAAAGCCTTGTTGTTAAGCCAATACCTCCGCTTGTGTCCGGGCTCTGCTGTGCCACACGTGCATGACTGTGCCACTTGCGCGAATCGTCCAACTTGTCAAAGTCAACGGGGGTCTGCATTTCTTTGAGCGAGGAACGGGGGCTGGGGGTCGTGGACTGCGAACAGAAAAAAAAAAGGGTTATGATCTTGAACTGCCATGTGATGGTAGTATCTACTGCATATCAATGCAGATAAAGGGTTTGCAGAACGGCTGGACAATGCACCGCTTCACGAATGAAATGTGTTGCGAAATCACAAGAAAAGCTTGCAGAACTCATGTCCGCAACCCGCAATAAAAATGTCACTCAACTTGTCCATTTCCACCAATTTTCCTGAGCAATTTTCCTTTGGTTGCAGCTCCCTGACTATACAGCTCGATCGGTAATAGCTTCCTATAGGGTACTAGTTTCTGACCACCATGGCGGCGCTAAACGACCGCCCGTGGTATTCGACAAGGGATTACTTTCAGTACCCATGCCTTTGGATCAAAACAGATGGGCCTGTCGGCGGAATAGGACGCAATGGTCTAGACATGCGAACCAAGGACAACTATCAAGCTGCCTGGACAAAGTGGGGATTCCCGTTGCTGTCCAGCACGAATGCCTCCGATGCACGAGAAATTCCGAGTCATACCTCCTATGTGCCTCCCGCTGCCGAAGCCCCGATGCTACATGTTAGAAGGCCGTTGACGTTGTCCATTCAGGTACACAATCAGTGAAGCTTAAGATATGCGTTCGATATCCTGTGAACGGGCTTCTCATGACCCTAACCTCTGTACACAGGGACTGGAAGAAACGATCGAGAACAACCAGAGTCTTTCTCTTGAGATGCAGAACGCAATGCCGCCGACGCCAAATCTCCAAGAGATCCTGCAACCCTCCTCCGCAACTACATGTTACTTACCCGCCAACGACCTGGTCTCATGTGACGAGCCTCTTAGGACCTGGCCCGACAGCATCACAGGATTGTCATCCAACGTCTATCAGACAGATTACGTTCCCCAGCCGCTCACCGTATTCAGTGCCACAAGCGATCCATATGATACATCAGTCACAACGGCAGCCAACTGTACGACACCACATCCTTCGCCTTCAGAATGCGGCTTCCAACCTACCACTCTACCGGAACTCGCGACTGTCGAGGCAATCAACGAGATGGTTATCGGTCAGCCTTCAACTACGGACAATCCGATGATTGACACGTCTACCTACAGATCCCCGCAATCAAAGACCAAAAAGCCGCAAGGTGGAGAGTTCGCTTATTCTTGCACATTCCCTGGCTGTCCCAAAGAATTTCCAAAAAAGCAGAATCTTTTAAGCCATATTAGATGCCACTCTGGTAGGTGTCGCTATAATCCACTGCATTATTCTATGTGCTTTTGCTTATGCAGCCTTAGATGAACGTCCCCATGTGTGCGCGCAATGTTCTGCGTGCTTTCGCAGAAAGCATGATCTTCAGCGTCATTTCCGTTCCAGACATGCAGTTTCTAAGCCTCATCATTGTTCGTATTGTGGAAAACCGTTTGCTAGGACAGATGGGCTGCGGCGACATTTAGTGGCGAGAGAGAGTAGAGGTGCGTGTGGGTAATCGGATCAAAAGGGTGGGTAAAATGGGCCGGGTTGCTAGATTTGTTATGTCACCCCGAACAAAATAAATTCTCGATATATCGTAAAAGAATGGATATACGGTGGCCCGCAGATATTTGGCAACGTCATGAGCGATGACACCCGGAACAGAAATATACTTATGTACTAAACTAAAGACCAACTGACATTTGAACAAGGATATCCGATGGCTATCATATTGCTAACACCATTTCTCCACAATTTTACCAAAGTCCATGCTCGAGCCCATCACATCTGCATACAGTTCTCTGATTTCGTCGCCCACTCCATGGAGATTTGAAACCAATGCCCAAGAGCGACGTTGAAATAGATAGACGGGGTCGCAATCCCTTCCCACACAAGCTTGGTTTGAGATGAGCGTGTCTGCTAGGCTTACTGTGTCGGGTTCAATCTCAGAACCTTCGACGGAAGCCGCTACCGCTTCGCGGGGTATATGGAAGTGGGAAATGTGAAAGTCTGAGTGATACATGAGTCCTTTGCCATCCGCCGAGCCGACAGGAGAACCCCGGTTCAGGGCACTGTCAGAGAAACTAGTATATCTGTAGGTCGGTGGGAGGGGATCATACATTCGTTCGTTCCTGGTCGCGACTTCCTCATGACCGAAATGAACCGTTCGTCGACGAGATAGATGACCGCTTGTCACAAAAATGTCAGCGGGATCCTTGGGCAAAGCATCAGCTGTATCGAACTCCTCTAACCATACTGGCGCACCATACGGCCCAGTTTTGTCGACGGCAGCATGATACGACAAGTATATTTGTGGGACTTGTAACGCTTCATTGGCCAGGGCGGGTTGTTTTTTTTTCCAAGTTGGCAGGAATCCATCCAACCGCCAACCTTTCTTTTGTCGCTTCCCTTTGAACAATGAGGACCGCCATGTCTGACGGCGGGTGTCGTCGTCTGTTAGGCTGTGGGACCTACGCAAAGCCGTTTGTGCGGGGCCCTTTCGCGTGTCAGCCCAACTGTTTGAGCGCCGCAAGACAATAGTGGTGCTGGATTTGACAGTGGTGCGTGTTGGGATGTTTGAATCAGTAGGACTGGGATGTATGGGCTCGGACTTTTTGCCAAAGATTCGTGAAAGAAATGCTGAAGGCATACGTCAAACTATTTGCTGGGCTACATGAGGAATATGGGCGAGGCAATATGGACGAAACATTCGGTTTTAATCTCACGAAACAAGCAGTGCAAGTGTTCAGGATTTTTGACAGTGGTGCCCGCGACCACTTTGTGTTGCCTGAAACGCACGAGTGAAGGCTTGTCTCGTGTTTGCTCGTGCAGCTTTCAGTAATTCTTACCGACAGCGTCAAGTATTTTGCGAGATGGAAAACCTCTTGAGCATAAGTGCAATTGCCATTTCAAGTTAAGAAGTCAAATATTGGACAGACTTTGCAGGACATATTTGCTATCACCGACAAGCACAGCAGCCCGCAATAACCTGCAGGGAATGTCCAAACAATGGAATACCCTTGTGCTCAAGCCATTTCAACGTTCAACTAATCACAGACATGGACATCAGCAATTGAAAGATTCAAAGACGCTAGAGCCCAACCAGCGTCAATGGAGGGAAGGGATTGATGTGTGCAATGGGGCTGTCCGAAAACTGTCAGTTGTCCGGACGCGCGATCAGTCTCGCGCAAAACACTCCAGGCATCAATACCATTGCTTGTACTTTGCAACCCACACATTTCCTCCACATTCTTTTTCGACCATCACAGGTAAAAGTCACCCGCACGAGGCAGTATTTGATATTGCTGTGGAACCCAAGTAGCCCTTACAAAAATGGAGGACGAAACTCCAGAACAGCGCGCTCTGCGGAAGAAGTTGGAGGACTATCGCCAGAAGAAAGAAGAAGAGCGGAAAAAGTACGTTGAATAGTTGCTGGATAGTTCTATTGGTCTAGCCAGGTTGCGACTAGTGAAATACTGCATGGTTGGCAAGAGCCGGCTTAACTGGGCTGCACGCGGAAGTTTTGCAGACAGTGCAGAGACTGCCAACGTATCTGGGCATATCTTGGTTTAGATACATGGGTAACTTCAAGCGCTTCGGGGGGCGTGTCCATGTTTGGAGCGATGACAGTAGGTTAAGCAAATGACATCTCACCTTTTTTGTTTGCGCTTGTCTTATCTAGCACGAAAAAGGGTACCGCGAAACCATTTGTCGTTGCTCCAAGTAAGGATGTTCTCCACGCTCCCATTAATACCTCTACAAATGGTACTGTACAGTGCGAACATTGCCTCTTGCACGATTGCTTTCATTGTGTTAAAATAGCCGGCACCCTTGAAGAGAGAACACGGGCAGCATCCAAGCCCCGGTTCAGCGCATTTGGATCCACGATTCCAAGAAAACCGGCAGCACCGTCAGCAAAGGCCGCAGTGCCCAAAACAAAATCAGTCGCAAGGGTGGCATCATCGAACTCTCTGGGAACGGCAAAAGCGACTGGTGCCGTTGGAAACGGGAAGCCGGCGTTGCAAAATCTGAAGGCAACCAGCCCATCCACGACCGTCAGGCGAAATGCACCTCCATCAAAATCCGTTCCTCCACCTCCTGTAAGCAGAAAGCCCACCATCTCAAAAGCAGCACCTCCACGAAAATCAACAATCCCAAGTGCTACGAATTCAACGGCTCCCACTCGCCCGCAGAAATCAAGCGCATCAGTGTCAAAGATCGTCACGCGTGCTGCTTCAAAAAATACGCAGGCTCCAATCGTATCCGGCTCCGTACCAGCTCGTGAGCCTCCATTAACAAAGACTGGATTCAACAAAGGACGTGTTGAGGGCCAGCTTGAGGGATCAACTCAGCCTCGGCACTTGGCTGGAGCTAATGAGATAGAAGACAATACTGCTGCGCTCCAGCATAATGAGGAACGTAACTTGGGAGCCTTGGTCCGGGAAGCGACCCTTGCCTGGTGAGTCAACTAAAGCCTAGAGGCTAGCAAGCAAATTCTTACAGGATCTTGTGGATAGCCTCCACCAAACACCTCCCAGGAAGGCTGCCGTTTCATCTATAGGTATACAGACTTCACCCGCCCTGATGGAAAGACTGGTCGAACAATTTCTCCGAGACCATCAAGAAGCCAGGGGTCTCGTTGAACCAACCAGCCGATCTACTACATTGATCGGCTCTACGGAACCCAAAGGCCCATCATACCCAGCTCTGTCAGAGTTTGAGGCCACCCATCTCCATAGTACCTATTTCAACACAAAAGGAGATGTTACTGAAGACACAGACCCGAATACAAGCTTGTATCCTGATATACCAGACTTCGAACCCATGGAGTTCGATACCCCCAAGGCGGTAGACCGGGAGGGGAAAATACGATCGGCTCTTCTTGATATCAAAACCGATGCCGAGTTTTACAAGGAACACATAAAGTAAGTACCTTGTAAAAAATCATAAGGTCCCACGCCCATTGGATAACGTGCTACGTTTTTAGGAGCTCCCCCTTTCATTTCTTCTTAAGCCCTATTATTTTGCGAGTCGTCAACGTTGACCAAGGATATGTGGTTGCGGAAAAGAACGTGGACGTACCTCTTGTTGACTGTTTTACGTGGCTGGATGCCTTTATCGCATATCAGGTAGTGAAAACGTTCTCAATGAGGTAATACTTGCCATCATTAATCTGAAGGTTGCAGAATTTCGGCCCATCCATTGGACAAGCTCTTTTCCAGCTTGTTGCCATTTCTGCATTTAGGTCGCGCAAACACGATACCGATGCAAAGGTGGTACGAAGGGTACAATTTGCCAGTGAAGGGCGACCTCGATTTATACGGCAACCGCCATACTTACGAAAAGAATTTTGGATGAACTGGATGTGGTTTGAGTGGAAACATGGCTTCTTTGAGAATTCGCTGAATATTTTATATTTTGGGTGCGGGATGTTTGATAATGAAGAGGTTAGTTGCAGTGATGATCATTTTTCATAAGCCGATGATTAAGATGGGGTCATTGTTCAGACGAAAGCAGAATTGCAAGCATACTGGCAGCGTTGTGCAGAACGTCATAATGAGGAACTTCAAAACGGCGAAAACCGCGAGGCAGAATACAGTCCTCCACCACCTGCAATGCATATTCTTGAGCCAGGTCAGAGCCCGCCCTTGCCATCCTGGACTAGTGAAGGAGGTCGCAATTCACAGCTCGACATGACCGTTACCCCGTCCCCACCACGATCAGCCTACCTTGAAGGCAGGATTCGGCGTCCATTCGCTGATACGCCAGTCTTCCCTGAAACACCCTTGGAAAAAATCGGTATTCGAGCACTGAACAATGATGTGACTCCAACTCCAAGAAATCTTGGATCCCTGCTGAGGTCTGGACGTCAAAGAGTGGGATCCACACCCTATCCGAGAAAATCAGATGTGTATGGCGAAATTATCGGAATGCTCGGTGCCATGCAGCTGAACGATGATGGACAGGCACACGAGGATGCCATGGAGGATGTAGTGACCTCGGAAAATAAAGAGAATGAGGTGAAAAGTGCCGTTGGGACACCTAGAGCAAAGAAGGAAGGAAAAAAGCGTGTTGGCGTAAGGTTTGGACCTGAGGTAATGGAGGGCTCCACCGTGACACTATTGACTCCAGTTAGGGCCAAGAAGAAAGATAGAGAAGGTGGATATCCTGATGGTCGACTTGTACACTCAAAGCTTGCCCTAATCACACATTCATTTACAGCGCTTGGTGTGGATGCTGTGCTTACGCCTGTTCGGCGGTCAATGCGCAATTACAATGAGGATGATTATGTTATTACCAAGACACCAGCCGAAGACGACGTGAAAACTGAGTTGCGGGAATGGGAAAAGAGCACGCAAATGCAGGATAGAAGGAACACTGACTCGTCTACACTGACTGAGGATAAAATTGCCCGTCTTTTGCAGGAACATGGCTATGCATTTGTGCCGAATAAGGTAAGGAGCAATCAAGAAGAATATGACATGGCTCTGGCTTAATTTTGGTTGATGTTATTAGGCTCTGAATGTCCAGACACCCACAGCTGGGCGACGAATGGCCAATGCAATGAGTGCAAAAAAATAGAAACTGCATGAAAGGGCGGTTAGTGTGAAAGAAATACTGAATAGTGAGAGAACCTTTTGCTCAGATTTCGTGGTCGAATGGGCGGAAAAGAAATATGCAAGCTCAGAGAGTTGCCTGTACATTACATACCTACAGCTTTTAATTCTGAGCGGATTCCTCGCGCATGGGTTCCTGTACTAGAAGGCGGAACGCACATTTTTGTTAAAACTCGGGGTATTCTTCACACGTTGGGACGGTCACCACCAATATGAATATGCAGATAGACTCCAAAAAAAGGACGGGTGATATAGTGTGCTCCTCTCAATGAAATGATGTCACTCGCTTACGATGGTATTTCGAGTTTCCTGTCCTTGTGTCCTCAGATTGGAACCCTTGGTGCAGCACTTTCCGTGCAGAACACTTAGAACGCGTAGCGGAGTTTCAATCACGTTTAGTCATAACCGCTGAATACAAATCCACACTTCCGATAATCGCAGTTACCTTAAAACTGAAAGAATGTGTGAACAAGCAGAGCGTAGGGACCATATGCCTTGTAAGGCTGCAAACCTGCTGCAAGAGGTTCTGTCTAGGATTATGTTTATTGCTTGGATATGTAAACAAACCAGAAACTCCCTTTCGTTGGATAGCCTGGAAGGCGGGACGGTAAACCTGGGCCGTGGCTCGGTACCACCCGTGGATAAGCGGCCAGCAGGGCCAAACGATCTTTTTGGCGGCCGGGACATCGGAACCACCCCCACCGTCTAGCTTACGAGATCAACATCACAGTCCAGCTTCGACTTTTTTAAACATGCTTTTCATACGACTGTAGTCCCGCATCGCAAAGTGCGGTTGGACTACGACCTCTTTAGTGCTCAATATGTCAGATCGGGTAGAGGATCCGGTGGAAATACTCATTCCTGGGGAGAGCATTATCCCGTCCAATCCAGAGCAACCCGTATCGACTATCGTCGTCCAACCAGCAGCCATTGGATCTCAGGTCGTCCATCCCATCAATCCTGAACTTAACAAATGGCTCCCAAGTCGGGCTGTTCTCCACTGGCTAACACCCTTCGTACGCCTCGCCTCTCGTCATCCCCTGCAAAATGAAGATTTATTTGATCCTCATCCTCGCTTCTCGGCCAGCGTCTTGGGCAAATTACTTGCAGCTCGAACAAAAAACCTTCGCAGAGAATCATCACCACCAATACCGACACCGTCAATCGAGCGCCCATCTATGGTTCACCTTGCAAGCGCTACCAGTACAGTGAATGGTTCTACTGAATCTCTGGCTGATGACTCTACACGACGCCGGAATGCATGGAATGAAGACAAAAACGACAAATTCGTACAACCTACGGGATTCATTGATGCTCAATTGAAGAAGAAGTTCCGGAGAGAGTTGATTTACAGTGCCTGGACGTTATTCAAATCAGACTGGTGGGTTGGATCACATCATTGCGATGTATGATGAGGATAGCACCAATTACGCTCATTTTTGCTCAGGATCGCTTCAGGAATTGCACATGTCGTGGGTGCGGTCTCGAGTGTTCTTTCTCCGGTAGGCGTGAGGCTAGCGCTAGCTTCAAGAATTCTCTTTGCTCATGCCTATACTATACCTTAGTTGATCCTTGAAAATATCATATCAACATTACAAGATGCAAGCGCACCAACATACCAAGGTTACTTACTCTGCCTCGCACTATTGGCGCTTCAGATGCTGCAATCCGTGTGCACCTGTTACTATTCAAAAAAAGATGCTGAATTGGGTAAGTTATGTTATTTCGGTAAGCCAGTACCAACCAGAATATTAAATATGCGATTATTTAGCAATTGCCCTTAGATCGCTATTTATCGGTGCAGTATATCGCAAGTCATTACGTTTATCGGCTGTGGCCCGTCAGGTATTTGTCGAATTAGTGGCGAAGATTGAGACAATCTGGGCTAAAAAATCTGTCTTTCTCACAGGAGTATTCAAATGGAAGGATAGTTAATCTTCTTTCAACTGATGCGACAGTTTTTGAGTTTTTTGGCCTTACCTTGCACGATGCATGGGTTGTGCCGTTGCAAGTAGGGTTCTGATCGTTCAATGAGCGGATCCTGGTTACATGTTTAATTAACCGCTTATTGCAACTAGATACTCTGTACATCTGCATTGATCATCTACTACCTCCGGTTTGCGGGACTTGCCGGAATAGGTCTCATGATACTATGTAGCATTGTTCAATCGTTCATGATGCGGCTGATTGCGAAATACGAATCAGCGTCGTTGAAGCAGACGGATCTGAGGATAAAGCAGATTAGTGAGATGTTGAATGGTAATTGTTTCATCTTGTTTGCACTTGGTAAGAGCTATACGCACTTACCTTACACAATACGCATAGGAATCAAAATCATCAAATTGTTCGCATGGGAGGAGAGCTTTCTTAAGCGAATTGGGAGTGTCCGCAGCTTGGAATTGAAGTCCTTAACAAAGGTGACTGTCACCAGTGCCTTATTTTATGGGTTCTCCTATGTATGTATCGGTGTGATTATTGTTTCTATGGTAGCATTGCTTAATACCCTTTCACGATAGGTGGTGCCCAGCTTGGTGGCCGTCGCAACTTTTATCGTCTACCAGGTGGCCCTCAACCAACCTCTTTCAGCGGATATTGTTTTTCCAGCTTTGGCACTGGTGAACCTTCTGAGAGTTCCCTTGATGAGTGTTCCAGAAATTGCGGGGTTCGTGGATTATAGTCCTTACCGGCATCGGAAATAAGTGTTGGAAAAATAACAGCCATATCTGGTCGTTAGATATGCCATTGAAGCGCGGGTCGCACTAGATCGACTCTCCCGATTTTTAGCGGCCCCTGAAATGGATGATGTGGGAAAACTTCTACATAATAAAGAGAGAGGCGGACCTTTTGCGGTGAAATTATCCAACGCTGATTTTGAATGGGAAAAGTGGAGTGGGGAGTCCGATCACGATAGCGAGGTACATGTTGCTCGAGATATATCCGTGCAAACGCCAACTTGTTGGCATTGACATTTGTCTGCAAACTTGCAGGCTACCGGCGGGGGATGTTCGGAAGGCTCCCGATCCAAATTTTTGGAAGTTAGTCCCGTATCCGCCTTTTATTCTCCGATAACCTCGCAAACCTTCAGTCCAGCAAGTTCAAGTGGTAGCATAGCCGGTTCCGGGCTATCTTCACTTTCGAGCAACTCCCTGAGCGCCATCACTCTTGAAATACCTCATAATAGCCTGTGCGCCGTCATTGGACCGGTCGGTTCTGGGAAATCATCCCTTTTGTTAGGTCTGTTAGGGGAGATGCGGCACATCCGCGGAGGTATGCACGTTACCCGTCCGATTGCATACTCCCCTCAACAAGCTTGGCTTCTCAATGCTACACTGCGGGATAACATCTTGTTTGGAAGCCCCTTTGATAAATCCCGTTACAACGCGGTGATAAAGGCAGCAGCATTAGTTCGAGATCTTGAACAATTGCCGAGAGGGGACATGACCGAAGTTGGTGAGCGAGGAGTAGCATTGAGTGGAGGACAGGCTGCGCGAGTTAATATTGCAAGGGCAATGTATTCTAACGCAAAGCTGCTATTACTTGATGATCCCCTGGCCGCGGTTGACGCTCATGTTGGCCAACAACTCTTTAGCGACGGCATCAGAAAGTACTGTGCTGATCGCACACGCATACTGGTAACGCACCAATTAGGCGTGTTATCGAATGTTGATTACATTGTATATATGGAGAACTGCCAAATAAAGGAAAAGGGCACATATCACGAGCTCATGGAGAGAAACGGACGTGTTGCTGCACTCGTGCGCGAGCATGCGAATCAAAGCGTCGAAGCTAGCGGTGAAGAACTGGAAGTCTCAAACCTTGCTATTGCCGTCACTGTCCCTCAAGCAAAGGCTTCACCGTCACCCGTCACTCGAGCCAGACCTGTGAGTCCAGCGGCTCCAAAACAACCCACAACAGTCGGCGGCAACATTCTTATCGAAGAGGAACGCGAGACTGGAGCAGTGAAACTGCAATTGTATATTATTTATATGCGGGCGGCGGGAGGATTTTTGCTGTGGTTAGGTGTAATTTCGGTCGTATTTTTCATTCAGATGGATAAGGTCGTTACGGATTTGTGGCTTGTTTGGTGGAGTACCGAGAAATTCGATGCAGGAAAAGGAGTGTATGTGGGTGTTTATGCTGGCTTGGGTCTCGTTCAAGCACTCTCTGCTGGTAGGATGTGCCTTCGGTCTCACCTATGCTGGGCACAACTAACCTCATGACTCCTCTCTTTTCCTTTTTCGCAGCTACGCTTGCCTTGCTGACAACCGCCGCCAGTTTGCGCGCTTCAAACGTGCTTCATTCGAATGCGCTAAAGCGCCTGATGTATGCACCAATGTCCTTCTTCGATGGCACACCTGCTGGTCGAATATTGTCTCGATTTTCCCGGGATGTGGCAGAGATTGATAGATGGCTGGCATTGACCATAAGATCCCTTATGAATCTCTGGGGGAGTGTTATAGCGAGTATTGGGTTGATTGGATATGCAGTACCAGTGATTTTTGGTACGTTAGTTTGTTGTCCTCTGTCATGAAATTGGGCCGAAATTGCCATGTGGAAGTTAACTCCTTTGTCCTACACAGTTGTATTTGCACCACTGCTTCCGATCTACTATTTTGTACAGGGCCTTTATCGAAAGTAAGTAGCGAAACGATCCAATACTAGCATCCATTCTGAAATTGCTTACTGACTTGTTTTCCAGTGCCGCACGAGAGCTGAAGCGTCTCGAATCACTGGCTCGGTCACCTCTGTTCGGACACTTTAGTGAGTCCCTCAATGGTAAGGGCATGGCGTGGTGCAGCCTGGCCTTGGAGCTCTTCTCATGGATGTAAATGTCACGGACAGGTCTTCCGACCTTGCGAGCCTACTCTGCCACATCTCGCTTCGTTACCCGTGCTGATACCTTCTTGGACAACGCAAACAGACCTTCTCTCATCAAATACTATGTAAACGCATGGGTAGCGTTGCGAATGGAGATCTTGTGTGGATTCGTCTGCTTCATGGTAAGCTTACATGAAGATTGTTAAAGAAATCATCCTAAGCTAACGGCACCCAATGTGTCATCTCAAGGTCGCTACACTTGGCCTGGCTTTTCGCATTTCACCTTCTCTGTTGGGTCTCGCTCTTAGCTATACGCTCTCGCTGACAAGTGCCTTGAATAGCGCAATGAACGTTTTCGCAAACACGGAATCCAGAATGAACTGTGTCGAGGTTTGTTCGTTCGTCTAGCTACGATGTGCACTGTCGAAGGTCGTAATCATATTCTCTTGCTACTCAGCGCATTAACTACTATGCAACTGCCATCCCAATGGAACCCCAATCAGTTGCTGACGTACCGCGAAATTCAGTAGAACCCGAACCCACCCGAACCAACAAAGTTGTCCCTACAAGAACCAAACCTAACCTTCCACGCCTGCAGATCCCTCGTCCAAAATGGCCATCTTTGGGCGCGATTGAGTTCATAAATTATTCGCTAAGATACAACCCTGATAATCCTCCGGTTCTACGAAACATTACCTTGTCCATTGGAATGAAGGAAAAGGTGGGGATTGTGGGTCGAACTGGGGCGGGAAAGAGCAGTATCATTGCTGGGCTGTACAGGCTAGCGGAGGCTTCTTCCGGAAAAATCACGATAGATGGGGTGGATATTTCCACCGTAACTCTGAAGCAGTTAAGAAGAAGCTTATCGATGTAGGTGCATAGAATGTTTGCCAGTATGTGTTCAAAACTAACGGCTGGCGACGTTTTCGCAACCAGTATTCCTCAAGCACCAATTCTCTTTGGTAACGTAATGCACCGATGATGAATATGAAAGTGTTTCAAGCTAATATCTTTTCGGCTCATCTTTCTATAGAGGGTACAATACGCAGTAATCTCGACCCTACCGGCTTTCATCCAGACCAACATCTCTGGAAGATTCTCGAGAGATGTCGATTAAAGTCCTTTGTTGCTTCCATGCCCAGAAAGCTAGATGGACAAATTACCGAAAACGGGGAAAATCTGTCAGTCGGACAACGGCAATTGCTTTGTCTGGGCAGAGCTATGTTAATGTCTCCGAAAATTTTGATTATTGATGAGGCAACTGCGAACGTTGATTACGAGGTATGGTTAGAAATCTATTTGATCATCCTCAGCATGTTTGTTTATTTCACCTAATATCTCCAAAGACGGACGCTATGATTCAGCAAGTGCTCCGTACCCACCTACGTCAATGTACAATCCTTACCATAGCCCATCGGTATGTCTATGCCGCATGAATAGGACGCATGATGTATGGTACTAACATTCGGTTTAAACTAGACTTTCAACCATCATGGATTATGACAAAATCCTAGTTCTTGACCACGGACGTGTCGCTGAATTTGATTCTCCTCCCAATCTCCTTGCTAACCCGGAATCAGAATTTAGTAAGCTAGCTGAAGAAACCATGGGAGATAAGGCGGAGTCGTTGAAGAGTTTAGCCACAGAAGGGGGGAGTAGTAGTTGGGGGGATAAACTGGATTTAAATGAATAGATCTATATGTAAATACAGTCAATGGGTTATGTGCCGAGGATCCCGTCCAATGAAAGTCGGCGATACGCATGTGGAGCCTATCGAAGATTCGAAAGTGGTGGAACATCGATGTATATCGATTTGAAAAAAAAACAATACATGTTCGAGCTACTGATATTCCTATTACTACCTATAATCGAGAAAAAGTGCAGCACAACAATGTATTTAACCGCAATGCAATGGAACTAGGAATAAGGACACTATGAATGGGGATGATAGACGTGAATGTACAATTTCATAAGCATCACTTGCTCCTCCATCGGCAGGGTTACAGTAATTATACTCAACTTTGAGACAGACTCTCTCTCCAAAGAACGTTAAGAATGGCTTGACTACCTTGGATTAACTCACCATCTAGCTAGTAGCTACCGTCAAACCGAAAGTTATGGTTTACTTATCACTACAACCACGTTATTAGGGTCGGAGGTTCGGAGGCTAGCTATAGCTTAATTTAGCCCGTTCCATGGAGCTTCCTTCATGACAGATAACCTTCCATAGCAATGGCTCTCCTGAATAAATACTTTCCGGGCTATTCAAATAATACCTGCTGATATGTTATTTAGCTCCAAGCGTACTTCCAGAGACAATCCATAATTCTGGCCCATGGAACCTCAATATATGCAACGTATTGGACGTTCCCATACAGATGCAGAAAGACTATTCAAATGGTTAGACTACTCTTCCTTTTTCAAATCTCTGCTTTGCTTGGAAAATTTCTCTCATTTCTCTCCATCTTAAACGAACATGGCACCCTCTATTAAAAGACCACGGCAAACAGTAAATCACTCTGGGCCTGTACTCACTCTTCCTCCCCTGCCGGTCGACATCTTTCCGCTGCTAGCTCAATGGTGCGATCCTGTCACCGCTGGCAGATTACGGGCAACTTGTCGAAGCGCTCAACTAGCCATCACACAAAAGCATCTAGCTTGGTCCTGGTACCAATTGGATGAGTTTGCCCTATATATCGAAGGTGACGACCAGTATGACAAGACGTTTTGGTATGCGGACTCAGAATTACTGCTTGGCACAAGTTACCCATTTGCTAGTGCATTACGGGCACGGTTAATTCTTGGCAGGCTGCCAAAACAGTTTTGTTCTGCCAATCTTCAAGACGCTCTCTCAAAAGCTGTCGTCAACAATCGTATTGAAACCGTTCAGACGCTTCTCCAGTTCAGCAATATTGATCCGGATCACTTCATACTTGTGAAAGCGGCTTCGAAAGGGTTCAAAGATATGTGCGAATTGCTCCTTGATTATGGTGCCGATGTTCATGTATGTGATGATTTGGCACTGCGAATCGCCGCCAGCAACGGAGACAAGGAAACCATGGTTTGCCTGATTAAGCGCGGTGCATCGGTGCACCATGCTTCGGTTTTGCCTCAAGCAGTCTCGAGTGGATCTTTGGAAGCCGTCAAGTTTTTGAAGGACTCTGGCGGTGTAACTCCAATAAACGTAAACTTTGCCATTCTAGAGTGCTTTGTTGGTAAACGCGACTGTCCAATTGATATCATTCGTTTTCTTTTGCACCATGGCGCCGATCCCTCGGCGAGGCCAACGAGAAGAAGTGAATCAATCCTCGTGCGGGCTGTAAAAAGAGGATGGTGCGAAGCTGTGTTGCTGTTATTGGATTATCAGGCAGATAAGTATTGTCGTGAAAAGGCATTTGCAGCGCTGATCTTTCTCGCTCGCAAGAATCCATCCGACGCCGCAACGATGATGGATATTTTGATCAATGTCGGTGGTGTCGATATTTCCACCATACATTCAAGAGAAGTCATTCTGGATCTTTGCCAATTCGGACTCTTGCGAAAATGTATCTTAAACATCCTCCGGCCTTACATGACGTCAAGATTTCTGGTGCAAATGCTGAAAGAAACTCTCATCAGCAGACGGATTTGTGAATGGACGGCGATCTTTCAAGCGAAAATGCTCGTATCAATTGGTGCGAGTACGAGGCGTCTCGATGAAAGTGTGTTTATCGACGCTATCACCGTAGCAAGAGATGATGTTACCATTTTGCTTGCCAAGTGGGGGATAAAGGTGGACAGGTACTGGTTGGATTGGGCGCAGGACGTAGCCTCAACGAGGGGACAATCATTGATGGGCCCGATCCGGATAGCAGTCAGGATTCTGGAAGGACAATTACCAAAAGAGCTGGAAAAGGACACATTTTGATGGGGTTTTGCAATGTAACTCTTTGCTTTGCACTTGTAAATAGAAAATATAAAGTGAAAACTGATTGGAGCAAAACTTAGGGAGTGCTGAATAAATCCTGTTCTGACTTGGGTATAAAAATTACTACTCATTATACACAACCCCCTTGGGCTTTTGCACTCTCACATCCCATATGCAAACTCTGGCGGGATCAAACCAACTGGTCGAGGGGCCTCGCTCTCTACCTTCTCCTCTTTACCACCCACCCTGGCAACCGCCGAGGCTCTTCTCGACTCACTCTCTCCCTCTTCGGCGACCTCCTTCACACATGACTGTCTTCTCTCCGCAGTGCTCAATCGCTCCAAAACAGTCTCTCTTCTCTTCTGCACAGGTAGGTTACCCTGTTCCCAGAGACCCATCATCAGAACTCGATACTCTTCTGTTCTTATAAACTTTGGAACAGAATCGCCAGCAACAACTTGAAAGATGTGAGCCTCTGTCGCAGAGAACATCCAAGGTTCGAACGTTTCTTGGACTTTCTTTTCGTTGGCTACTTGCCAAAAGGCTTTTGGAAGGGCTTGAAGAACATCGCGGAAGGCTACTGAAGTGGGGTTGATGGGGTCCCGTATTGCAAGAAGAGATGCAGGAAAGTGCGCGAAGAACGGTTCAAATGGCTCCATTACAGATGTGAGGTATTTGATGAGCTTGGAAGGAATATTAATTTCGTGACTAGAGGTGGGTGTTATGTACTTTAAGTAAATTGCCACTGCATGAGGGACAAGGGTCTCCTTGTCTTTTTTGTGTTGAATGTCGCGCACGACTTCTCTGCTTTCTTCATCTAGATTTTCGATGGATTGACTCCGATCGTAGCACATTCTAAACCTTTCCGCATCGACCATAAAGTCGTAGTTTTCCTCGCAAAATAGGGTCGTTACAAAGGATTGAAAGAGACTGCGAACGGGAGGGAGGGAGAGAATAGTTGTCAGGCGGGATGTGTGGGTCTCTTTTTGCGTTTCCCAAGGGAATGACGGGAGCACACTTATGCTGCCACGGCGGGCAGGGGGATGCGAGATGGAAATGGATCGGGCGCGAGTGTCTGAGGAACTTGGAATATCTTGGGTGGTAAACGATGTTTGCCGGCGATTCTTCATGAAGGGGAAAGCATTGCTGCTGCTTTGAGGTTGGACTGTCGCCAGCATTTCAGACGATTTCCGCACAAATTCGTCGAACTTGTCGAGATTCTCCTTTGAGATTATAGGTTTCCCGTCGTCCATCAAGTGACCTGTACCAGTATTCCCATGCGTACTCATTTTCTTTAGCCTTTCACCGATTCCGGACATGTTGTCTTTCACACCTGCGAAAAAGTCTTTCACACCCGGCACCTTTTGTTCTGGCCATCCGGCAATACTTGCACCCAAACCTGTCACCTGGTACAAGATGCCTTTATGATCTCTAAACACCTTCTCGGACGAATCGATTTGGCGAATCCACCCGGCAGCCATAAATCTATCCGCAATATTAAGACATTCTTCAGAAGTCATAGCTGTTGTGGTTTCCAGAAGATGGACAATGGCTTCATGTCCGGTAAAAGTATCGGTATAAGTTTTAAGCATGTGCATCCGGTCCTTTACAAGGATTCCCGGCAGGGGGGTTGAGGCGGTGACACTAGCTCTAGGAGTGTTGCTTTCCGATGAACCTGGAGAAGATGAATTCAATGGGCCAGAGAGTTGTTCCCCAGCCTTTTCTTTCTCTGGCGTCCATTCATTCGGTCCATCTGAGCCAGCAAATCGCTTGAAGATGGTGGTAGGATCCGTTACACACACTCCATATCGGAATTCCAGATGAACGATCGGTGAATCTGCGCGACGCTTTGTATCGCTTTTCACTTGCAGTCCTTTTCGGCCGATCGCGTATACACCTTTTGGCTTGACGCTGTCCTCGTCACCCTCAAGCGCCCGGAGAAGCCGGCCTTGAATGTAACGGTGGATGACTCGCGTGGCATCCTCCCGGTCTAAGCCTGATGTGACAGATTGTAAGGCAGTTATGGCCTCATCTCCCGTAAAAGTATTGGGAACAGTTTTGAGTCGGACGCGATGATCTGCTAACGGAAGGACGCGGGTGAAATATGTGAAAACTTGGAGCAACTGGACCTATAAATTGTTGACATGAAAAGTTATTAATTTCGCCACCACTCTTGAATTCAAAAAGTTTAGAGCCGCATCACAGCTTCCTTCCTTACCCGATTTTCAGAATCCAAAATTGAGAGCGGATTTTCAGAGTCAAATTGTGGACAAAAAACGTTGGAGGTCATGATTGATATGTTCAGGTCAGATCAAACAAGAAAAGAAAGACACTATCCGGAGAGCAATAGAACAAGGGCTGGTCCGGGGTTTAAATAGGCCAAGGTAGAGTGGCAGATCTGCCAATATACTTTCTCCCACTACCATCCCATCCGACGCCCCCTTCCGAACAGTATCAAAGGGACACTCTATTCATTTTCCGCATGCCCCAAAATAGACCCTTCTACACCACGCTACTGCTATTGACCCTCATCGTCTGCACACATTGGAGAATATCACATAACTCTAAGAAACAAACGTGCATCGCAGATCCCAATTCCACAACCACAGAGGTGCCCTTAAACCCACCCGCTGGAGATACCCGAACGGCGAAGAAAGCACCGCTCTGCTGAGTCAGCACGGACGCGTGATAACGTCAATATACGCGTGACACTATCCATGCTGAGGTGAAGAGACTTTCAACCAGGTTGGGGGCTGTTTGCAACTCGTTGACAAACCCTCGCTGACGGCCTGAACGAGTTTCTTTACGGTATTTTTTTGATTGGGTGTGTGGGTGGTGGAAGACAAGAGCATACTGTTGTTGTTCTGTTGTTGTTGTTCCGTCTGGCTCTTGAGCACACAACCTGGCAAACCCGCGCGAGTGTCCAATTTTATCGCCTCCCGCCCCAGACTGGTCATATTTGACTGATAACCATGGCCAGGACGTCCAAGCTTCACTCCAGTAAGCATCGCTTTTTTTCTACTCTTTCTGACACAATCCAAACACATCTCTTTAGCAAATATTGGCCCATATCCTGCACACCGCATACAGACCCATCTGCCAGCGGCATCGCACATTGCTCCGTCGGCAGAGTGCTGCATACTCTCTATTCCACGATCCATAGAATTCTATGACCTTCCCCCTGAACTGAGAATCAGAATCTTTAGGTTTTTGGAGGAAGATGAATTGCGTCGGTGCCTGGGTGTGAGTGCTTGCATTCCTTCTCCCTGATGTCTGGAAGGTGTCATAAACAGGGAAAAATGACATTTTAGGTATGTCGGCAGTGGAGGAACGATGCGAGTGATGGTTCGCTGTGGGGGGTTATTGATTTGAAGAGGTAATGTGGTCCAGTGTTGCTTTGAGAGATCTGCGTGCCGCCATGGTAGGTTGGGGTTGTTTACTGACTAGTGTTTCGGGTAGGTACACGCGCCCAGTGTCGGAACAGTATGTTAAATGCCTGGTCAAACGAGCCGGCACATTTCTGCATACTGCGAATTTTCGGTAATCCGCATTTCTTTAGAATTATGCAGTAATAATCAACCTCGTATCTAATTTCCCATCTTAGAAATTGTAACCCGCCTCTCCACCTCCTCCCTTCCATTACGCATCTCAGCCTAGTAGGATGCCATTCTGTAACCTCGTACACTCTCTCAGACTTTTTGTCTGTGCGTAACACGGTGCTCCAGACACTCAATCTATCGTCACTCCAATGTATTGGGACCGTACATCTTCTTCTTATCGGTCTGAATTTTCCAGGGTTGCAGGACCTGGATGTAGGATGTTGTCCCGGCGTGGATGACAAGGGACTTGTCAGTGTTGTTAGAGGATGCAAGCAACTGAGGAGGTTCAGGTCTCCTGGCTGCATCAATGTAGGAGATGAAGGAGTGCAGGCGCTGATGGGGCTGGCAACATTGACACATTTGAATATCTCCCATTGTTCAAATGTGACTAATTTGGCAAGATCGGGAAGGTCGATGCTGACACATCTTCAACTCTCGACCCTTCAACGACTGGCACTACAGAACTTCTACCATCTGCCGCGGAGCATAACTCACCTTGTTCTTTCATCCTCTCCGCACCTTACCGATATTGAATTGGACGCAATTTCCCGGCTCCCACTGAGCCACTTGGATCTGGACTCTTGCGGACTCATTTCCGACCGGACAGCACATTACCTCTGCGCACATCAAACCAAAGATACCCTTTCCTACCTTTCACTTGCCTCCACGTCCGTCACGGCGGCAGGCATCTGCACCATTCTCCGATACTGTTCCAATATGCAACATCTCGATGTCACCTCTACAGCTGCGAATGACTCGGTTCTTAAACTGCTAGGCTACCTTCATGCAAAAACCGGATCTGGTGAATTCAAGTTACGATGCGTAGAGGTTGTGGATTGTGTCGGGATAACAAAGGAGGCCGTTCTAAGAGCTAGGGCTTGCGGGGTTGTGGTCAAGAGCTTCTGGAATGGGGAAGGTACGAGGGCCGGCAGTGGACAGCAAAGTCCCGGAGAGAGACAAGCAGGTGAACAGAGGAGAAGAGTGAGTAGTGGAGCAATAAGTAGAAGGAGGGTTTGTGTGATCTTGTGATATTTGTAGAGGTTCTCTGTGTTTGGTTTTCCCGACAGTCTTTTTTTTTTTTTGGCGTATGCTGTCGTTAGTTAGTCATGGTTTTGAGTGAAAAACTTTTTCTATGCTAGGTATTCAGTTTGCAATAATTCAAGTCATTAATGAGAAATGAGATGGGGCGTATCTGTAATTTATTATCCGTTATGGCAAAGTAAAAAACAGAAGAAGACTTGGTGAAGTACCAGAGTTCATATTGCTTATCAAATTGCTTCATCATCAAATGTTGTTGTCGGCCATTCTTTTTCGCTCAGACTTCAGAGTGCGCAATGCATCTGCCAACAAGTCTTTTTTTCCGCAAGACCTCAATCCCAGTAAAGGGGACAAGGACGGGATTTTTGCCTGGAAAGCGCAGATTAAGTCTAGTTTCGTTCTTATCAGCTCGACCCGACAAGTGTCAAAACAACTGTTCATAGCACCATTTCCTTGCGCTGTTCAGACATGTGTTGCTGGCAAAAGCAATGTTGACACTGCCCTTAACGTTTTTAGCGCATAAAGTGGGGGCAAGGCAAAGGTTTTTGTTTATAATCCCCCTATCTTTGATTACGTCATGGGACGATCGGTCTGATCACATGGGCTACCTGAGGGGGGTGAAATGGGGGTCGGAAATTGCCTCATGGTAGACTGCAGATTGTTTGCATTTTAGCTTTTTTTTGTTCGTCTCGTCGTCGTCGTTATTGTTTTTGCCTGGTTTAGAAAGGTGTGTATATCACTTACTACTAACAAGTTGTGAATTCATTGGTGATTAGGAAGGTTTTTGGCGTCCGAGGGAGTTCGCGTGCCCTTATAGAATTCATGTACTTACTTGTCCTTGTGCAAATGTTTGTCAAAAGAGCATACAGGTTCCAGGGCCATAGAATTCGATCTCGTCGAGCCCTACCTTTCATTCTGATACGTTTTTGCCAAAAAGCCTCATGCACTTTACATCTCAGTTAACGAGCGTAACGGCGATTGTCAACACTTTGCTGGCTGCACACGTTTCAGCAACAAAAGGAAATGGTGTTGTGCCGCTCACCAGCACGCCTTGGCTAGAGCGTCGTGCGTTGAATGCATCTCTGGCACAGAATTGTTTAAATTTCGGGAGATGGGATGAGAGCCTGGGACACTGCGAGTGTCCGCCTGGTTTTGGGGGCAATGATTGCGGCACGCCTTGTAAGTGGCCGTTAGATTCTATTGCCTTTACAAGTTGTCGCTGACCAAATTGATTTCATTCCCGTTTATATGCATGTAGTATGTGATTCGCTGCCAGACGGTCCAAATAGACATCCTCGTGATCCACACCAGCATAGCTGCCTCTGTGCCGACGGATGGACAGGAATCAACTGCAATGTCTGCATGAGGAACGATGTATGTGATGCGCTTGTACCTCCATTAGGACCTGGGGAAGAGGCGACATGTTTTTCGAGTATTCGGCCGATAAATCGGAATTATTTGCAGTGCGAAGTGACCAGTCAGTAGGGCCCTTTGATTGCGCAGCTTGAGAAATGCATACTTAACAAGGGTCACGTTGACTATAGACAAAGCGATTGTAGAACAGCTGGACGGGAAAAAGGCGGAGATAACATATGCGTGCGATGCATCCGATGGATCTTGTGCATTCCAGTTCTGGGCAGACGAGCAGGAAAGCTTCTTTTGTCAGTTGAGCGAATGTACCGCCAATGAAGGTATTTTGGCATTGTCCGTTACTTGATAGAATCGGTCATATGTTTATCACTGGTCACTCGTACTACTACAGCGCACAGCAAAGGGGTAAATCGCACCACCATAAACTGCGCGAAAATGCATTGCGGCTGCTACCCAGGACGTATGCTTTGTGATCCAAACGGAATGGACCTTTCGGAATGGTTTGCATCGGACGATCCTGAAGAAGGTGGACCGGTGGGACCTGGAACCTTGCAGTGCGAAGAAACCGAAACACATGAAGGGGAGTTACCGGATCGGAAATGCACGTTCTCTGGTACGATGTTTGCGTCCTGCTATGTGGAGATAGACCGCATTGCTAATAGATGTGAATCGCAGAACCCCATATGAACAATCTGATATCGACATTTTTTGGAGACGATAACATCAAACTGGCATGTCCTATCGCCGGGGAATGCGTTCGTGCCAGCCAAATCCCAGGTGCGCCAGGTGGTGTACCGGGTGACCAACCTCCAGACGGTAGTTCAGGCTTTTCACCCCTCCTCATCGGGCTCATGTGCGCTGGGGCAGCGGTTCTTCTCGCCGGCGTGTTTGGTGGTATCTGGTGGGCGCGCGAGCAGACTGTCAAAGAGTTCGCGGGAATATATGAGGCCATTGACGAGATTGACGCTTATGATTATGAAGATGATGAAAATGGGACACGAAGAGCTGCCATGATGAGTAATCACACGCCGGCGGAGATTATGTTCCGAGATGTTACTTATTTGATTGATCGGAGCGCACATCCAAAGAGAAAGTGGTGGCCTTTTACTAAGAACGCTGCGACCACGACTCACTCAGGAACGCAGGATGGGAACAAGCTCATGGTTTTGGATGGTGTCCAGGGTATTGTCAGACCGGGTGAAGTGATGGCTATCATGGGCGGATCAGGGGCTGGTAAAACCACCTTTTTGGATATCCTTGCCAGAAAGAACAAGAGTGGTATAGTGACTGGTGAAGTAATAGTTAATGGTAAATTTATGGGGGATGAGGAATATCGATCTATTATAGGGTAAGCATGAGCTTGTTTCGATCAAACATTCGATCGCTCGTTCACATGTTACGTCTCTCAGCTATGTGGACCAAGAAGACACCTTAATGGACACGCTGACCGTTTACGAAACAATAATGTATTCTGCCCTCCTTCGTCTTCCCCGCACCATGTCTCCCGAAGCCAAAAGGGCTAGAGTCATGGAAACGATGATGGAGCTCGATATTCTGCACATTGCTAATCGGCGGATTGGGTCAGCGGGAACCAGGGGGATTAGCGGGGGAGAGAAGCGTCGAGTATCCATTGCCTGCGAGCTGGTAACGGGTGCCAGTGTGTTGTTTTTGGATGAGCCTACCAGTGGTGAGTTGCGATGTCCGCACGCCTTGACAATTATGTGCCTACTGGACTAACACTGTGGTGATGAAGGTCTGGATGCGTTCAATGCCTACAACGTCATTGAATGCCTGGTGAATTTGGCGCGAACGTATCATCGTACTGTCATACTGACAATCCACCAACCCCGATCCAACATCTACGCGTTATTCGATAAGTTAGTGCTGTTGGCGCGTGGAAAGATGGTGTATTCGGGTCCAGCACAAGAGCCGTGTCGGGACTTTTTTCATAAGCAGGGGTTTGTCTGTCCTGTTGGTTTCAATATTGCAGATTATTTGGGTAAGTGCTCATGGTATCAGAAAATGGATTTTAGTGAGCGAGGCTAACGAGTGTACTGTTCAGTGGATTTGACAATGCATGTTGCGAATGAGGTCGATACTCCACCTCAATCGGCCATCGGGTCAGCTAGCGAAGTACCATCACCTACGGATGGTCTGGCACCGGTCTTTGTGCCCGTGTCAACTTCATCATCTACTCCTTCCACCTGGTCATCGCTTCCTGCGGTTCCGCGTCGAAGAAGGTCAAATGTACGCTTACAGCAGGAAACGGATTTGTTCACACCGCATAAAACGGTGGATGAGGAGGATGAAGGTGTAGGTATGCCAAATGGAGCTGACGCGGATACCGGTGGGGAGACCTCCTCTCTGACGCCTGTAGAGGAGTTGAAACCTTTGTTACCGCTTCCGAATGAGCGGTACAGTGTTCATGACGGGCATACTCTCGGCCGTGCCACGTCGAAGCAATCCTTGGCGTCGAAACGTGGATCGATTATACACGGGGAGAGTAATCGGCAATTAAGGGCGCTTGCGACTGCTTATGGCGAAAGTCAGGTTGGCGAGACCATGGCACGGACGATTGATGAGGCGGTCAGGGAAGCCAATGCTCGACAACCAGCTGCAACTGTAGAAAGTAGTCTGGACGGCTTGAGCAACCATGTTCAACGGATTCTGAATACCAAGACGCACCACCGTGCTACGCTCTGGACCCAATTCCGTATCCTTTCCTCTCGAACGTTCAAACACTTGTATCGTAATCCGGATCTATTGCGGACACACTATATTATTAGTGTTGTTGTGGCGATTTGCCTGGGGTTATTGTTTTGGAAAGTTGATTTGAGTTTGAGTGGGTTTCAAAATCGGATGGGGGTGCTGTTTTTTGTGTGTAGCGTTTTTGGGTTTGGTTGTCTAAGTTCTATGCAGGTCAGTTTTTCCTTTTTTCCTGAATGGTTGCTTGCTTCTGTGCGAATATGTGGTTGACACCCAGAGGCGTTTTAGGTATTTGCGAGTGAGAGGTTAATTTTTGTGAGGGAGCGGGCAAATGGATATTATAGTCCTGTGACATACTTTATGTCCAAGGTAAGGTCGCTGGTATTGTCTACTGCGAATGCAAAATGCGAACGTGGCAACTCAACACATACGTTGGGTTAGGTCCTATTCGACCTCATCCCTCTTCGAGTGATCCCACCCATCCTCCTCGGCCTCATCTCCTACCATATGATTGGTCTCCGCGCCGACAACATCTTTTTCCTACTCCGATTTCTGTTGGTCCTGGTTTTGTTCAACTTGACCGCCGCAGCCTGCTGTCTGGCCATCAGTATCATCATTTCTGACTCTGGCGTGGCTACATTGGTTGCGACCCTTGTCATGCTCTTTGAAATGCTCTTTGGTGGCATGCTCTTGAATAAGGCGACCATACCATGGATTGCTCGATGGGCCTGTCACGGCAGTTTCTTTAACGCTGGGTGGGAGGCCCTTATGGTGAATGAAGTCAACGGGCTGATGCTGTACGAAACGAAATTCGGGTTGAAGATTAATGTGCCAGGAACGTTGGTTTTACAGACATTTGGATTGAATGCGCAGGGATATTGGGGGGATGTTGTGAGGTTGGGGGGAATGTTGGGGATATTACTGTTTGCCGGTTTCTTGTGGCTGGCGGTGGTAGTCAAGGAACGACGGTAAAGAGAATCGCATGAAGGGGTGTGCATGGTACCTGATACTTTGGAGTATTACTTTTGATTAATACATAACAATGGAATTCTGATTGTTTCCTTCAAGCACAAAATCACTGCATCCATATTTACAAGAACATTTGATGAATATTAAACCATGAACAATACTTTCTAAACTATTTCACCAATATAAAATGACTTTGCCAAATGGAAATGCACCCACAAACGCCAATTTCCAATGCTGATACGCAAACGGGAGACCTTATCATACTGCATAAGTCTTTTTGGTTTTGCGCACGACCAAATGAACAAAAACTCTTACCAATGATAGTCACGGCAAAAATGAGCGCCAATAGGAAATGAATCAGCGCAATGCCCCACCCAAACAGTAAAAACCACAAAATGTTGAAAAAGAATCTACACCCATTCACACCCTCTCTTGCCGCTATTTCCGATCCAAAGGGGAGTAATGCGAGTGCACCGAGTTTGATGGCTTCGATTCCGAATGGGAAACCAACGACTACGAACAACAGGGTCATTACGGTAAAACAATATTCAATATCAATGTGTTGTATCAAGCAAAAAAAACATGTGGTACATACTTGTTAGCATGAGAACCACACCTCCCAAGCAATCTAAAACCATAGAGTCAGTGACAGGTCAAACTAAAAAAAAGCGAATTACCACAGAACGTACAAAAGAGAAAGAGCACCTCTCCTCCCAAGAGGATCCACAAAATGTTTAAAAGCACATTATGGCATTCCATTGTTCGTCCTGTTTTGCTTGCTTGTGTTGTTTTTGGCTGTTGTAAGAATGGGCCAACACCTAGGAAAACCGCTTTCAAGTAATGGGCTAGTGTGCAAATTGACACCCCGACAAGAACAAGTACAAGCCCTTGAAGCAAAGTCAAAACCAGATCGACGTTGCTTACATCAGATCATGACGTTTTCAGTCACGTGGATGTTTAACATTCACGTGTTACCTGGTTTCTTTTTAGCAATTTTACTTTTTGCTTTGAACACTTACTGAGTCACAGTGCGTCCCCCGCATCTGTTGGCACGCGGGGCTCTGGTCTGCTGGTCTAGTCTTTGCATCCGATATTTTGTATTCGGTGATCAATTGGCGTTTGTGGACAGAGCAAGATTGCTTCCATGTCTCTGGTGCTCACTCGTCGCAAAAGAATGATAGGAGTGCTGGCAGGTAACGCCAAATAAAGAGCTGTCAAAGAGTAGTAAAGCTGCAAGTCAGAGCTTCGAGTGGCAGATCAAAGACGTTGTGCCTTCATGGCTTGCATTCATCTGCTTGCCTTACTAGATGCGAGTGCCAAATGTCCGAATGTCCGAATGCTATGTGTTCACGTGATTTAAAGATTTCGGAGCGTCGCAAATTTTATTGCCATGTGACAACTTAATCCTCGGAAAGACGAGGAGCGAGATAAAAAACACGTGGTAAAAGTGACAAATCGTGACGCCAAAAGTGTGAAAGAAAATGAAGAAGACCGTGATTCGAATGGATACAAATTAGCATGTATTCACACTTATTCACATTATGAATATTATTATATTATATGCCGATTCATTGGAATGTGTGTAATGCTAACCATCTCAAATGTAACCAATTGGCAATAATAAACAAAATGGCAAATCTGAAGGGCCGTTCAATCGGGATGTCGACGAGGAATATAAAAACAGGCTCGGCATGCTTTCCCCTCAGTTCGTTCGTTGTCCTCCTCCCACCACGTTACTATTGAATAGTGTTTTGGTTTTATTTTAATTATATAGAGTTATCCCACGTAGATTAGTTTTTATTTTGTCACATCTCTTGCATCAACATGTCGACCAAACTGGGCGTCAACCAGTCTACGGCTGAGCTTCCCTCCAAAAACACCTCGAACGATGAGCTCATTGTTCCCGAAGTTGCTCCCTCTCGCCGTGGAGCATGGAACAACCCAAACAATCTGAAGCCAGCGGGGCCACAAGGCTTTGAATCACTCGCGGCAGAGCGCGCGAAAGCATCCTTTGATCCGAGCCAGCTGTCTGTCTTGCTGCACGGAAAGGAGAATTTGGAAGTGGAAAAGATGATTTTGGAGGTGTTGGAGAGTGAGGAAGTATTTAGCAAGGAGAATCTTCACTTTATGTCCAGGGAGCAAAGATTCCAGAACGCGATGGCAAGGGGAAAAAGGATGTTGGAATTGGCAAAGGAAAAGGGATGGAACATGGATTTGATATTCCGAGCCATGCTATTGCTGGATGAGCCAGGACCTTTTTCTCTGCACTATTCCATGTTCATTCCTACTCTGGAAGGTGAGCTGCGAGGCTTGAGTTTTCATTTCTTTTGGTCACGTGGGCGCGACGGGTAAATTGAGGGTGAGCTTTATCTTGCTGGAACGTTTACGTCGTCGTTGAACACGGCTGTCGCCGGGGTTGTCGCAGACACGACCGTTGAGCTTCAAGGCATTCGTGGCTTACAGTATCGCTGTTTCTGTACGACGACGACTACCGATCATGGCTTTCGCCTGTACAACTCTTGTACTCTTGCACACCGATCGCTGACTAATCAATTGTCGCGTTGGCTTAGGGCAAGGCAGCGATGAACAAAAAGCGAAATGGCTTCCCCTCGCATTTGACAACAAAATCATTGGTTGTTACGCTCAAACTGAGCTAGGCCACGGCTCGAATGTCCAAGGCCTTGAAACTCTGGCCACTTACATTCCCGAGACGCAAGAGTTTGAGATCCACTCTCCCTCATTGACAGCATCCAAATGGTGGATCGGAGGTTTGGGCCGTACTGCAACTCATGCGATCGTGGTTGCGCGCTTGATCCTTAAGGGCAAGGACCTTGGAACCCACACCTTTTTGGTTCAAATTCGGTCTTTGAAGGACCACGTCCCCTTGCCTGGTATTACAATTGGCGACATTGGACCAAAGTACGGATACAATTGTGTCGACAATGGCTTCATGTTGTTTGACCGTGTTCGTGTTCCCCGCGAGTCCATGTTGATGCGGTACGCTCGGGTTGAACCGGATGGTACCTACGTCCGCCCTCCGTCCAGCAAGCTGTCCTACGGTACCATGGTGTTTGTCCGATCGTCAATCGTGTCTAACGCGGCCAAGAACCTTGCACGGGCAGCTACAATTGCAACCCGGTACTCTGCCGTTCGTCGTCAATTTAGCAATGCGGAGGCTAGCAAGGAAGACGTTGTCGCTGGGGATTACAATGTAAAGAAGCTTCTGCCCCGGCCTGCCGAGACTGCTGTCATTGACTACCCCATGCAGCAGTATCGTCTCTTGACCCAAATTGCAAAGTCCTACGCTCTCCACTTCACCGGCGTATCGATGATGGAGTCATACCACCAACTGGTGCGGGATCTGAGTAACGGCAAGATTGATGGGCTTCCGGAAGTCCATGCTACCAGTTCTGGGTTGAAGGGATTGACCACGGATATGGCTGCTGCTGGTATGGAAGACCTCAGGAGATCATGCGGTGGACACGGATTCTTGAAAAACAGCGGATTCCCCGAGTTTATTGCAGACTATTTGCCTAATGTTACATACGAGGGCGACAACTACATGCTGACCCAACAAACTGCTCGCTATCTCGTCAAGACATTCCGTTCATTAAAAAAGATGAAAGCAAGCCCTTCTAACGCCCCTGAAAACATCACCCCAACTACCCGGTACCTCCTCGATGCAGCCCAACCGTCCTTCTCCGCTGAGACATGGCCCGTAAAGTCTGCGGCGGACCTTGAGAACCCTTCCCTCCTCACAGCAGCCTTTGCCCACCGGGCCGGGCAACTGGTCGCCGACCTGGTCCGGGCCTTGGACAGTGGCGAATTAACCTGGACGACAGCACAGCTGGACATTTACAAAGTGTCTCGTGCACACTGCCAATACATTTTGGTTGACAACTTTTGCCGTGCCCTCCAAGGCGAGGCTATCCGGTCCCAACCTCCTTCCATCCAGATTCTCCTCCACCGCCTATTTACCCTCTTTACGCTCGACACCATGGAGACCGAGCTGGGTAGTTTCCTCTCCTCGTCACCAACTTTTATCAACCCGACACAAATCTCCCTCATACGCCAGGGCGTACGAAGTCTCGTCAATGCCCTTCGTCCCGATGCGGTAGCATTGGTTGATGCATGGGGATTCAGCGACTATGTTCTAAACTCTGATTTGGGACGGGCTGACGGTAGGGTTTATGAGAGTTTGGTGGAGAGTGCTGGTCGCAATCCTCTGAATCTCGGAGAGAATTTCCCAGTTGTGAGTGGGTACGCCGAACATTATGCGCCATTGATTAAGGGCTCTGGTGCCGTCAGAGCCAAGTTGTAGACTATGTTATTGTTTTGATATCTCGTGTATTTTGTGAATGTTGTGTGATAATTTTTTATAAAGAACAAAATATATACATGTTATTATTTGCCCAAGCACATTACTAAGAATTCATATACGCCAACAATTCCTTGCGATCGTTTCGTTCCTTTTCTACCAGCTCTTTCCGGCGTTTCTTTGTGACTCGCTCAACATGGGCCTCCACCAAGGTGTGGGTGACCCTTTTCCGCCCCGTCTCTCCTCCAACACCGCGCCGATCTCGTTTTAGTCGCGTAGCAATCGGCTGCTGACGACCCTGCTCATCGACACCCAGTCCGGTCCCGTACGTCCAACCCTGATCTTGCAGCATTTGGAATCCCTTGTTCGTAGCGTCCAGGCCATAGTTGGGCGCTGACCGGCCTGGGGAGAGGGAGAGGAGATGGGGGATTGAAGTTGAATGAATTTCAACTGGGGTCGAGTGGGGGGAATTGCACGTTTGACAATAATAGGGTCCAGGTGGTGATGTTCTTGCGGGCGGTTTGACACTGGAACTACACAGGGCATTTGATATGACCAATCTATAAATTTCTGCTGATGAAGTGTCATGCTCTGCTTTTTGTGCATCTTGTATTCGATGTTGCGCAAGAACAAAGGGTATTGGGTTTGAGCCTGTTAGGGCTTTGAAAGTCTTCCATGGTTCCGGCCTTTCTTTTCCCTCAACCTTTGCTCGGTCTCCTTCTAGGGTTTGGTGTGTTATGTCTTGGATCTCTTGAAAGTCGTCCGTGGTCAGGTCTATGCACTCTGACTGCTGGTTGTGCTGGTCGTCAATGGTAAGGTCAATGCAGTCGGCCATGAAAGGTGTTCAAAAGCCAGACGCATCGGAGACGTTCAAATGATTGTTAATCATGTGTCATCACGTGACAAATGCGCAGTAGAAGCCAAAGTTCAACGCAAGTATTTCAAGCTTTTATTATCGCTATTTTGCAACTTACTGAGTTATCCAAGAAAAAGTGAGAAGTCAAATGCACATCTTTTGTTTATCTGCATATTGCACCTAAAAATATGAATGAAATGGTGGACATGTCACTCTATAAAACTGTTCCAATCCTCTTCCATTCCAATAGTGTGACGTGTATGAGTCTCGCTGTGCCACTGTTAAGACTGGATTATATAAGGGAGCTTAGGAGCTTGCGATCTTTTTTTCTTGTAGGTTTTTTTTCTTGTTCATCCCATCATGGTCGCTCCTTCTCAAGTCATCTTGCGCTTTGCAGGCCATGCAGACCTCCGCACGCGGCTGGTACTGTCGATCCTGACAAACACTCCCGTGTACATTTCCGCTATTCATTGTTCTGAAGATGATTCTGTGCCAGGACTGACGGATTTTGAATTGGATTTTGTGTCACTTCTTTGTTTGTTGACTTGCTCTACGCACCAAGTGTTGCATGATGGAACTGCACTCAAGTTTACCCCTGGACCTCCCACATTGAATGACGTTCAACATTCATGCTGCCCTGCGCGGTCGGTGGGATACTATTTGGAACCATTGCTCCTATTATCGGTCTTTTGCGAAATCCATCTAGAGCTCATTGGGATCACAAACGACAAGACTGCATTGTCGGTGGACACGCTATTAGGTGTTCATGTGCCTGTTTTGCGAGAATTTGGGGTTGAGCCGCCGGTTTTGACGATCCACCTACGAGGAGCACCTCCTGATGGACTTGGACGAGTATCCCTGCATTCTGTACCAAGATTACGTCCCCTTCGTGCTCCGATACTCACGACACAAGCTCCTACTACTCATATAAGAGGTACATGCTACACATCCCATATTCCTCCCTCATTAGCGACCGATCCGATCACATCCGCCACAGCGCTATTAAAGCGCACTATCCCCGACGTCCATATCACTCAATGTACATTACCAACGTCTTCAACACCAGGGTACGCCTTGACCCTAACTGCGCACGCCGAACCACATACGACATTGTCGGCTTCTTGTGCCTTCCTTCCTCGCCCTGGGCAAACCGATGTGACCCATCCGTTACCTGAGACACTCGGGATCCGGACTGCAAGACTGCTGCTGCAGGAGATGAAGAAGGGTGGTTGTGTAGATAAGACTGCACAGGGGTTTGTGTTGGTTCTCTTGGCATTGGCGGAGGGTAAAGGACAAGTCAGGGTGGGAGGGATTGAGCCCTTGACGTGAGTATTTTTATTCTTCCTTGGCGCTTGCTCTGTCGTTTGATTGCTGACTCACTTTGATTGCAGTATTCCACTCTTGACGTCCCTAAAGACTTTCCTCAAGACTTCCATCTCCATTGCACCCGATCAGTCCACACGAACGTTCATCTTGACCGGCCAGGGAATTGCCTTCATACCCCGCCTACATCCCCTATAACTCCTGTCCTCCTGTACTATAGGACCGTATACACGAATTGCACATAGACTTTTAGATACGCCATTTTTGCATTTGCAATATATTTCACAAAACATTCCGTGCACAAAAAGCCCAACATTATGTACATCATCATTCTAAGAACCTTCCTACCCCTGCGCCAACCACACCCACCCAAGCTACTAATCCTAACCCCATCCACCATACCAACAAGGCATGTACAACCGTAGTCATTACCGGATACGTTCGCGGTCTATCAAAAAAAATGTCAACACGTGCTGTCATGAAAGACTTAATGATGGTACTCACAATCCAACTTCGCAACATGCAAAAAACATTGCAGCATATACCATTCCAGGTGGAGAGGGTGGACTAGCCAACAGCGTCACAACCTAAGCAAAACACATTATGATCAGACACATTCGAAAAAATCACACAACCCACGCGCGGCCAAAAAAAACGCTACCGTTGTTGCAAATACACCAACCCGCCGCTTCTCAGCCCATGATTCATTGTTGGTCGTGCTGGGTAGTGAAGGGACCGGTCGGACTGAAGCGGTATCCTATAGCAATACCAGATTTTAATAATATCCATTATATGATGAACGCAAAATTATAAACTCTGGCCCAGACGACGATAAGCGCCAAACAAAAGAAGCTTACCCAACGGGCAGTCCTGACTTCAGGCTCCGAATACCTCCTGGGTACCCCATCACCAGCTCCGTGTACTTTCAGCTCCTCAAAAGTCAGTTTCTTGACGACTCTTTTTAGCCCATCATCAGTTCGAAACGTCTCGGTTCGTGTTGATTCCAAGGATGGGTTTGGCGTCAGAGGTGACGAACGGTTAGATGTACTTAGGTGTCCGTAGGTGGAGAGGATTTCTTCTACTGATGGGCGATCGCGGGCGTTGCGGCTGAGGAGCTTTGTGACAAGGGATTGGAGTTCGGTAGGCACGCGGGTGCCGTGATCTGGAAACGTAACGCTTTGCCAATTCCAACTTTAACGATACATGTTCTGTTGCTCAATGACCTTCTATATAGATTCTTACCTCTCAAACCCAACAATCTCCTCTCTCAGCGCATCAACATCATCTGTCTGCGAATAAGGTACACTAGAATAACACAAAAAGTACAAAACGACACCTAGGGACCACATATCGGCTTTGGGAGAGTGGTCGTTCAGATAGTGACCGGACGAGTCTTTTACGAGGAGTTCGGGAGGCATGAATTCAAGGGTTCCAGTCGCCCCTGTGCGTTCGCGTTGGGTTTCATCAGATAGGACTTCGCATTCACCGAAATCAGAAATGAGGATGCGAGGGCTGTCGGCAGTGATGCTTTACTGAGTATACCAGTTCGTTGACCACTGCAAACGATAAATTGTACATACATTTCGTCCTTGTCGCTCGGATCGGCGAAATGGAGTAATAAATTCGGAGGTTTCTACGATACCGGAATCAGTTATCACCAACTCTCTCCGATTGATAAAAATGCCGCTCAACACAACCGTACCAAATCTCGATGAATGATGCCATGCTTATGCAAATGCGCCAAACCCTTACATATATCCAGAAACAAACACCAGATTTCATAATCTTTCAAGAACCGCACCTTCTTCCCCTGGGGCCCCCGTCCAATTCCTCCATGCATTTGCGCTCGATTGGACCTGGTCGATTTGGAGACTGACGAAGAAGAAAGGGAAGAGATGGATGGTGGAAGGCGTGACTGTTCTTGGCGTCGTCGTTTGCGTTCGCGCAATCGTTTGACGCGTTCTTTGGGCGTTAGGTGGCTAAAGTCCCTGTCGTCATCAGAAGAGATTTGGCCGCTGTTAACTATGCTGTCGGTGGAATCTGGATGCCATTGGACGTAGATGTATTCTTCGAGGTTGCCGCCGTTGGCGAGTTCCATTAGAACGAAAAGACACGGGACTTCAGGGCCTAGCAACTATGTCTCGTAAGATCCGTATTCGTCTGGGAACCAAATCTGGACGATGAATTGTCATCAAAGTGAACGCACCGAATTGGGTGAGCTGCCTATGCTCCAGCCAAGCATGCTTATATTCGATAATATTCGGATGCCGCAATCGTTCCAAAAGATGTACTTCTTTCAACATGCGAACTAACCATGCATGAGACGTCCCCACCGGGATTGCCTTGACTGCAAACTGTCCAAGGGGAACTTGGTCAAGAATCTTTAAAAGGGTGACTGTGTCAGCAAATGACCGTGGCAAGGACGAGAAGGGCAGGCAAAACAAGTACATGTTGACAGAGAAAAACGCTTCCCCGTAATCCCCTTCCCAATTTCCGCTCTTCAACGAAAAACCTATCGTAATAGCCCTGATTGAAACTACTCTCGCTCAAACCTGTAGGTTCGGCGCTTTGTGTCGGCTCCGAAAAGGAGAGAGAAGGAATGGGGCGGGGTTTTGGATCATGGGCGCTGGACGATTTTGTCGGAGAACTTGGGGGAGGAAGATGTGCTTGTCCATCAGAATCGCCTACATCCGGTCTTTGCAGATCGGAATGGCAAAGATGAAACCGTGGATTAACGGAACAGTCAAGATAAATATTGTGTCGCATTCTGGGGCCACAAACCGATCATTACGTTATAGACTCAAGCAGCCTAAAATAGTCCTGGTTTATAAACGAATCACATAATTCAGTCTCTTCTTCACTGTCATCCTGCTGCGCACTTCTCCGGCGTTTCGACCATGGTCGTCGACAGAGAAGACAAAGCTTATCGGTGACTACGTGGGAAACGCTGGGCGTGGCGCGTTGGACAACAACCTTCTTCTCATCACGGTTGTAAAGAACAGCCCGACCAGTTGCGGCCTTGTGTAGAATAACATTCCAAGGTGTGTGAGGTATCAAAGCCGCAGATCCTGCATTTTTTGAGGAGGAAGGCTCTGAAGTCCCGTTTGGAGAGCGGGGTAGGTGGACCAGTGCTCTGTCAACGTCAGAGATTTGTGATTGTAGTCTAGGAACCACGTCCCATGCCCCATGACGGACAATACTCCATTTATCTCCTGTACCCTGACTTTCCAATTTGTCGTCGTCAAGTGGAAAGGTGTTTGCACGGCGCCGAAACGGGGGATCGCTATCAGTGCTAGATCGCCGCTTCAGAGTCATTCTTTTGGACTCCCTGGCAGACAAAAAGATGTGCAACAATACTGCCTTTATTCAACAGATGCCGCTATCCACCGCTTGACGTTTGCTCATTCAAAACCTGAGCATTGGGGCAGGCGGCAAGTCAACCTTGCGATGGGTTGCGTAATGAGAGTCAGTCGGACATCACGTGGTATGATCACGGGACTATCGCTCGTGTGTTCGCGTCCCTTTTGAAAACGAACTTTTTGTTGGAATGCTTGCACACAGTTGGTCGGAATGGCAAGGTCAGGATAAGCACCCAGGATCTTTATCATATGGATATCTGAGAAGGATTAGAATAACTCATTATGTCGAGCAGGGCTGGGAAGAAACGAATAGCATTGCAACCCTTTCAGCAGGCAGTTGGCATATGGCTAGGTGTCTGCCTGCTCAGCTTTTGGACAGGTATATTGAGCCGGTGTTTGTTTATCATATTCTCGAACATGTCCTGAGTCTTCCCTTTTAGCATTCCCTATTGAATGGATGCTAATGTCTGCGTTGACGATCACAATATTTATACAAGCATATGAACTGGGTGCCATTGTTTTTTCTGCTCTTTTATTTTTAATTTTTGTATCGGATCTCCTAGTGTAAGTGCAATCATTGATTCGTAAAGGAACTCTGTCTGACGGTTCTATTCGCTTACGACAGGTACTGGTTAATACCCTACGAAGTAACAACATTCCACGCATCCTTCACTGTCCACACGTTCCTTGTATATGGCATGCATGGGTTCGGTCTTTCCCTCGACGTTGCAAACATGAAAAGTTGGCTGATCGTGCTAGCTATGATTGTGCTCCGCTTCACAGTTTGGGATCCATGGATTCATGTGGCACCCCCATCATTTATGGCTCCCGTCGCAGCACATTGCACTGTTACTGGAGCATACTACCTCTTTTGGAAGGTTCTCTTCCTGAGCTATAAAAACTTTGATCAGATCAGCTTCTTCTTTGGTGTTCTCTTACCAGATGAACCTGTGATTGTCATCAAAGATATAACGGAAACGACCTCTAATATCTATTGGAGAGCGGAACCTGTTTATGGAGTGGAAGTGCAGCGGCATCTGATTGAAGTCAACGGTATTGTAGTTGGCGAAACGTCCAAGGATGAAACGAGCGTGCTTCTTACGGGACTGCGACCCGAGACCCGCCATAGGGTTCGCGTTTGGGCATGTGCGGGAAGACGAACAAGAACGCCATCAAAGACTGTTTTGATGAAGACATTGAAGTCGTCACCAAAGGCGTCTGAGGACAAAGGTACTTTTGGATTGTGTGTGTCCAGTTTCCTCGGCTCAGTAGTAACGGCTTCCCTACAAAAGGTAGAGCGATCTCCGATAGCCATATGAATACTGATAAACCGGAACCTTGCTGCGAGGAGCGTCAACTAGATGAGCAGCTAGCGCGCGTAAACGAAGAGATTGCGTCTTTGAAGAAGCAGCGGACTGAGATCGAAGAATCTCAAGTGGATGCAGAGGAGCAATTTCAAAGAGAGCAAGCAGAGATCAATGCTGAGGTTGTTAACCTGAACAATTCACGAAAAGCTGGTGAAGCGCCTCGGGCGGAGCTGAAAGCGCGCATCAAAACCTTGGAGGACTACCGGCGCCAGGCGGACGAGTTGACAGCCAAATTGGAAAACAAACTGACCCGTGAGTTGAAATTGCGACAAGAGACCATTGACACAATGGAGAGTCGAAAACAGGAAATGGTTGCACTCGAAAAAGAACTGATCAGAATACGAGATGAGTCAAAAGCAGTGAGTACGGAAGCCGATGCCCGTCAGCAAGACTTGGAGAAGCATGTACAAGAGCGAGTAGACGAGATATCAAAGCTGGAAGGGGAGCTATCCCACCAGGAAAAGCTGCTGGATGAAAATCGGAAGCAGATTCGCGAAAGAGAATCTCAACTTCAAACCATCGAAGCCGACATCCGCGCAACCGCCACTGATAGACCCGACTCGAATACACTCGGCGAAAACTCTTGGTACAATCTCTTTACTCGTCTGCAGGAGGAACACAAGGTACTCCAAGCCGATCTCCGTGAAGAAAGTCGCTTGAAAATGCGGCTTTTGCAACGTTTGGCTGAGCTCAGAGACCGAGAGAGGAGGCGATTAGAACGCGACCAAGAGATCCGAAGAGGTGGTGCTGGGAAATATGCGACATGGAGTAGATCCAATCGGCCATCTCCTCTTCCCCCACCTGGATTCGAGGTCCGACGAGGAACGAATAACGCTTCCTTTGCCGGTTCTGCGGTACCTGTGTCGCCAGGACCACGTTCAGCAACCGTCACGAGTCCAAGCGTTGGACATGCTCGGCCAACACAAACGCAAAACTCACCAGGATTGGGTGGTCATGACCACCCGGCCCTAGATATCATTCCTCACTACCTCGATCTTCCCACAGTACCCATTTCTCCTACCCCAACCCTTGGATATCCAGCAACAGCAAGTACAGACTCGCTCTCTTTGTTTAGACATGGGCCCGTCACTTCCCTCGCTACAGATCTAGACGATCGTGATCCATTTGGATTTAGGAAGATGGTGGTGGATGGTCGAGTATTGGAGGACGCGAAGGGTCTCGGTCAGGGGTATCAAAGACGGGCGTCGTTGGGCGATGCGAGGAGTGGTATGGCTGGGGACTGAAATAGGGGGTATATAGAATCGTTTGCGTGGTTGAGGGTGTCCTACTATGTTCAGTTCCGCAACCCATCAATAGTCTCAAAATACATCCTCGACAGCATGCTGTCCTGCCATCGTTAGACACAAATATGCAAGTGTATTCAAAACCAAGTGAAGGTCCTGGTGACAGCAAAAAATAACATGAGGCACGCAATATACAGACGACAAATTGCTATCGCAACTCGATAGCTCCCTGTCGTGCCTTATGTCTCCAAACGTCATCAAAAGGTCCACCACCATTCCGATGTCTTCGCCAAGTCCCATCCCTCACCCTCCACCACATTTCCCGCAACTCATGCCGGAACACGCCCGCCAAAACCGCACCTCCCAATCCTAAAATAACAAACACAGTCGTAATCACTACTTTTGAACTACCCTTTCCATTACCTATTCCAAGACCTTTTCCCGCCTCTGGCACAGTGTTATCTTGCGGAGGTCGTACCGCATTGCAGTTGATGGCGGATGGGAGTTCGAGGGGTGGCGTGGGCTTACCCGGATCGACACAGGAGGCAGGACCAACCCGTATTTCCGGATCGCCTGTTAAAAGTTTCAGTTTAGCTTACACTTTTCAAAATAATATAGACATACGCTGCATACCTTCATTGAGACTTCGGAAATATTTATACACCTTGCCGGACGCAGGAGTATCCCCAAAAACATCGAGCAGATCTGCAATTACCGAAGCTTTAGTGGCGGACGATTTCCAGATATGAATTGTCGCCACCCACCTTTAAGAACCAACTCAGGCTTTGCCCAGTGGTTCTGCGGAAACACTTCAATCGCACAAAGAAGATTTAGTGACAGAGATCGCTATGCAGCAAATTAGATCCCAAACTTACTGTCATAACCGCTAGGATTCCTTAACTGATCTGGTCGGTATGCCCTACCGCGCGTGGCACCTTTTCCAAACGGGAAGTCCGACACAATGTCTTGTACCCCAAAGTTCACTGCAAGGTCCGTGTACCGATAAGTAACTGTCGATCCCGGTGTCTCTGTTCCATCAATCAACAAGTCTGTTTTCCATAACAGCGAAACTGCGTCGGATTGTTTGCTGTTCGGGGGAAGAATCAAGGGTCGTCCACCTGCATCCCTGATAAAGGCTGTATTGTACTCCACATCGAGAGATTCAAACGTGGTTGTCGTTGGCGCTCCCAAAGTCTTGGCTCCAATCCATGCTACATTAATTGGAAACCAGGGCGCAGTGTTATTGAGGCATGTGTATGGTCTTTCGATCGCATTTGCAAAGGTTGCGGTGGCATTGTGTTCGTTGTTGTAAAATAGCGAAAAGAACTTTACCCACTCGGCCCGGGCTAGTGGAGATGTCTCGGCACGCATAGCATTCACAACACTTATAAATGGGATATTGCTATTTGCAGGAGATGTACCAAACCCGACGTTCACCGTTGTGGGGAGACTATCAGTCCTAGTGAAAGACCTTGTCACATTCGTTCCCAGTTGCTTCAGCAAACAAGGCGATGTTACGGTTTCAGGGCTTATCCCTACGTAATTTATGGTAGGCCGTAAACCCAAGCGCTGCAAACATACGAAAGAATATCACTACGAGCTCATTCATATAGTATGACGAAATTACCTCAATAAATGCAACAGAATAGATATCTGAGGCGCCAAGTGCTACGCTCGACACTGGGACAGCGATCGCGGTGGTACCCGGTGTTGAAGGAGCAGGGGAGTTGCAGAGATACAGCGTGTATGTGACCGCTTGTGATGACGGCGCTCGCACGGTCACTTCTTTGTAAAACTTCTTGTAGACAACCTCAAAGTTCTTCGCGTACGCTGCAAATCGTGAATGTAGCAATGGTCTTGCGAATGAGTTTTCACGGCCTAATTCAGTGCACTAAACGCAAGACGTACTTAGGGTGATCCTATCCGCTGCATCTGCAAAGTAATCCACATTGGGATCAAAGGCGCCGACAATTGGACCTCCTACACACGTTTGACCCCAAACAGGCGTAAAGAGCACGCTTGCAGCGAGGAGTAAACCATGCCACATCATTGCAATGAGTCCGCAAGCAGCCGACCTTCTCCTGTGGTTAGGTGAGAGCCCTCCACGTTAAGATGGAGCTGTGGTTGGCACCTGGATGTCGCTCCAATGGGGCTTTTCACAATGAGCTAAAAGGAGCGGGGATAGCGCTTCAGGGCTTTGCAACTGTGTTTGTTGCGAGGCAACGCGTGGCACAGTCGAGAATAACCAGCACTGCTGTTGAAGGTTGACTTGAAATTCCGCTGGAAATCAAATTGCCAAAAAGGATGGGCAAGTCTTCGAAAGATAAGGTTAGACCGAACAACCCGGAGCATGTCTGATATTTGTCTTGTTAACCGAACCGTCTAGCGAGATATCTATTACCGATTGGCTAAAGAACAAGGCTGGCGGGCACGAAGTGCGTTCAAGCTGCTGCAAATTGGTATGTCTTTAGCATGCCACACTTTTTATCACGGTATGTGACGAACTGAGGAGGTTGGTTATATTTTAGATGAGGAGTTTAATATTTTTCAGGGAGTAAATCGATGTGTTGATCTCTGCGCTGCTCCCGGCAGCTGGAGTCAAGTCCTGAGTAAGGTTAGCCCAAATTTGAGTTGCAGTCTCTTTTCTGTTCCATGTAGTTCTGCATGGTTTAATTGAGATCAAGCGGATCTTTGTAGAATCTCAAGTCTGATGATCCAGCCACTCGACCAAAAATTGTGGCAGTGGATTTGCAGGCCATGGTAGGGTTTGACTCTGTCCTGCGCTGATTGTACAAGCCTACAAATTGACGGGCATCAGGCGCCTCTTCCAGGAGTGATTCAGCTACAAGGAGATATCACTAAGCGATCGACTGCAGAGCAGATCGTATCCTACTTTGAGGGACAGCTTGCGGATTTAGTAGTTTGCGACGGTGCGCCGGATGGTGTGTACCGACTATCTGGCTCTCTGCTACAAAATCCTGTCGAGAAACTGTATCTTACATCCTTTTTTAGTGACCGGTCTGCACGACATGGATGAGTACATTCAAGCCCAGCTCTTACTAGCGGTAACTAAAGAACTCAGAGTAGTTTTTGGATATGTAGCTGAGCCATTTTAAATGCCAGGCACTCAACATCACAACACATGTTCTACGACCAGGTGGAACTTTTGTAGCGAAGATTTTCAGAGGCAAAGACATATCCCTCCTCTATGCTCAAATGAAAGTTTTCTTTCCGGTGGTGACGTGCTCGAAGCCACGAAGTTCGCGAAATTCTAGTATAGGTAACCTTTACCACCTTCTGTTGTGACCCACATACGCGCTCATCACCGCATGCCAACTGGTTTCCATGTACCACAGAGGCATTTATCGTATGCCAAGATTATACTCCACCCGAGGGATATATTCCGACGATGCTAAATCCCTTGCTGGATCTGACATACGATGAGAAGAACGAGCTCACAGGTGTTAACCGCGTTATTGTACCTTTTGTGGCATGTGGAGATTTGAGTGGGTTTGATTCTGATCAGACTTATCCCTTACCGGTACGTTAAAGGAAGCCATAAGAACCTGTGAAGCGGCTGTCGCTAATTGGAACTGGATATCCTTCAGAAGGGAGATGGTGCAGAGTACAGCACGTTGGAGCCAGTTCAAGCACCTATCCGTCCGCCTTATCAGACCTATATTGATAAAAAAAAGAGGAATGAGTTACCATAGATCTTACCTTGCGGCGCAAAACGTTGTTGTTGCAGTAACGTTCCCTGTTGCATAGACAGGACATTTCAACCGCTTATGGGAACTGACTATTTCATACAACGACATAGAAGAATGCCGTGTCAGGCTTACCGTGACATGTGGTAGTTATTTATATTACGCAAGGATTTGTTGTCGCGCCCAATCACCCTGAAGGGGATACGACCCTGAAGCCGAAACGTTTGCTATAAATTAATGTCGGTACATATTTTCTACATTTGAACTCAGCCTATAGCCATCATTTACACACAAAATACCTATTGTGGGCAATGGTGGCCGGGCCAATAGGTGTCTGTTGCTCTGTCAGTTAGCATGATGATAAAGTTTCCCAAACCCATCATTGGGCAACCAGCAAAAGGAGAGTCAGTCAAGCGACTGGGGGCATTGAAGAAGAATTGATCGTTCTTTTGGAAGGCATGTACACTATGTCTTATACGCTTGACTTTGAAGGAGAATAGATGCATGTAGCGTGCTAACTGCTGGTGGAGAACAGACACAATGCCTCAACACGTTTTCGTAACAATACCAACCCTGCTTTGGTTTGGAACAGGTTTGTGCTCCCACCATGGGGGTTTAAAAATGCCCCCAAGAAGAGGATCAACAGCCATGTAATTTTATATTGTTCGCGGTGATTCCGCGGTAGAATGGCTCTACATTCAGCAAGACACTTGGGATACATATTTTTACCAACGAGCCCAGCGTAAAAATATATATGATGTCTTTTGCAATCAACGCAGCAGCGGAGATCCTCCGGTATTTACCAAAAGCTGTGTATCCTGTTCCTTGTGGTGACATTTTCCTTTCGTCGGATCTGCGGGTATCTCTTCTTAAAGGACAAACGCACGAGTTCATCGGACAGCCTTACTAGTCAGAGAATCCAGAAATGCAAGGCGCAGGGGCAGGAAAAATGGACCCGAACAGGCAGTCAACTCTTGAGAAGGTATAGCTTCAAGCCAACTTGCTAAAAGAACCGCCAAAGATTTTCCGGAATGGGAACACCTGCGAGACTGAGATCTTCCCACTTCCATAGGCCATTTTCCAGCTTCTCTACGCCATGACCAAAGGTGCTGAGTTCTCACCGGCCATCGGAGTTATTCATCAGCTTGTAGAAGTAAGAATGCGTTAATTCGTACTGTATGGGACCCACTCCTTTCTAATGCTTTGCCTCGCAGGACATGCAATTCTTAGTTGTCCCATGGGATTCAAGAACGCTCATCAAGTACGCTCCAAGATGGCTGGATTACGTCTTCGACCCCTTCCGATGGGCTACCCACAACTATCTATATCTGAGAGTGGTCCTTTGGATTTTATTTGCTGGAGTGATGATGACGTTTCTCATGGTTGGTGTTGTTGCCGCACAGTTCAAAAAGTAGGTAACTCTGGTATATTTGGACCAACCTGCAAAATGTTGCCTTCAATAACGCTGTGCAATGATTGTCCATAGAGGGTCATTCAAGGTATTTCATGGCTGTTTTGCGTTGGGAACCGTAATACTAGGACGTTCACCATCATGCAACCATCACAGTGGATCTGGCCGCTCGTTCTTCTCCGCTATTCGTCAACATTGATCTCAACAGTCCTTTTCCAGCCCATCGTAGAAATCTTCGTCGTAACTGTTTACTGCCGGAGTGATCCTGCGACAGGCAATCTCATCGTAGGCGACATGACCGAGGTCGCTTGCTTTTCTGCGGAGCATTTGCCCATGTTTGTCTCGGCTTGTCTTGGAATAATTCTGATCGTGCCTTTCGGTGCTTTGATCAACTACGTGTTCGTGGAGTGTGAGCCAGGTAGCAGGTGAGCTTGTAGCGGTGAATTCAAATGATCTTCGTACTGGCCAACTATTGGAGCTTTAAAGGAACCCTGGAGCCAAGGCGCATGGCATGTGCGATCTTGTTTACCTCATCTGCAAGGTAATCAGCCTTGCGAGCGGGTGAAGAAGCGCTTTTGCTCTAACCTGTTGGCCACTGTCTAGCTCGTTCTCGTCATTGTGCAACGCAGCTCATGTATCGATAATCAACTTATTTCTCTGTTCGTCATTCACCCGATCCTGATTTACACATACACCCGATACCAGCCGTATTTCAATGGCTACATGAACAGCGTTCGAGTTGGGATATTCACTGCAACTCTTCTGTCCGCGATTGTCAGCATGGTCACCTATAAAACCACAACGCCTGAGGGTAGCTCTTCTCCGCTACCGATCATCTTTCTCATTCTTTCCATACCTACCGGCCTTGTAATTGGATTTTGGCTAACCAAAGCCGTGCGCGAGCTTATCGTCCGCCGGATAATGTACAACATCAAATTAAAATTGGAAATAGAGAGTGCCGACACCGAACGAGGATGTCTGTCACCTGCTGCGACGTTAGCACCATCAAACTTAAAGAGGAAGAAATCTATGTTCACGCCTGGCATGAGTATGTCGATCGTGGCCACCGCAGTTGAAACAGAGAACAAGGGAAAGACTTGTCATGAGGCGAGAGAAAGTGTAGACAGCAGTCCTAAAACTCCGAAAGCGTTGGCCGCCATCCAGGATTACAAGAGCGTAACAGCCCGCAAGAGCCTTCGACCGCCTGTTGTGTTCAAATCTTGGTTAGAGGCTGACATTGGCTGCAGGTTCCTCCGGGAAAGCGTCCGTGACGCGGCATCTCTGGAGATAATGACAATAGTGTTCATGGAAGCGATTGAGGTATTTTCAGACTGCCCTTACTTCATATTATGCGACGCACTTATAATATTGCCGTCTATGCCCTGCTTCAGCAATACCCAAAGCATCCAGGTTTAGCACTCAATTACGCATATTATCTCTGGACCTTTGGTGATGATCCAAACACTGCCCAGTACTATGTCGAAGGTGACTTTGAGGTTACTTGTCTGTGCACATGCCGGAAAGATTGAACAATCCTTCTAAATGTCCATACAGCGGCGAAGGCTAATTCCCCTTCTTTTGATGTCCGGTTCAGGATATATATGGAGGAGAGAGAACACGAGCAAGGTATATATACTAGGATCTGCATAATGACGCCTGTTCGTGGTTGCTAAGACATTTCCAGAGTCTCGTGCGGAGGACCTTGCGACTAGCTCATTCAATGTAGCGAGTTACGGTACAGTTCTTTTTGAGATCTAAATTTGCGTGATAGCCGGAAGCTGAAGGCATATTATAATCCAGTTGAATATCAGTCCATGGAACGACAGGCTATTGAGTCGCACCTGCGTTCACTGACCGCGATGAAATTATTCTGGTCTTCATTGGCTAGAGAGCAGGTAAGCGTAACAAGCAAGACGTCGCATTTTATCCAAATTTGCTAATGTTACTCTGCTCGCAGCTGAATGTAAAGACCTTCCCAGCCTATCTCGATGTCATGTATAACACTCAATCGTCTGCAACAATTTACTACGAAAAATTATTGGAGCGGTTTCCGAACTCAAAACAAATATTGCGGCTCGTGAGTAGTTTCCTCTAATATGTCAAGCGCATCCAACATACTTAAACTCTTCTGGTTTTGAGTATGCAAAATATCTCTTGACTGTGAAGAATAAGTAAGAATTGCTCTCAGGAGGCAATGCCTTGTCGCCGTATGAAATGGACTGGCTAATTGCATTTTCCACTTAACTAGCCAGGAGCTCGGTGTGCAACTGCTAACGCAAGCGGAAGATATTGAGTATCGTGAACAGCAGGAAGCGCACGAGAGAGCCATGCGTGTTAGAACGGTCGGCTCTGGACGACAGTCTGTTCAAAACTTGAGTCGGTTTAAGAGCAACTCCATAATGCAGGGAGAGCTTTCTGCAGCGAGTTCGGGTCCATTACCCATTGAGGATGGCAAGCGTCAGGGACCAGGCGACCAGCAGAGTCAACGAGAGAGCTCCAATGCTGAGGATGGCCTAAGCATGCAGGTACCTGGGACGAAAATGGTGGAAACCGTGAGAAAACGGACCTTGCCAACAATTGAAGACGTACCAAGTGGAAGTGACGTTTTCAAATCAGACGATAAGGAGTTGGAAAGACCCCCGCAAGGAGTTTTTGTGGAGTTTGCAGAGACTAGCTCTGACATTAATCGCCCACCATCGCCCGAATTGCCCGTCCAGTCAACCATGTCTGTCGGGAGTAAGATTGCGAACGAGAATCCTCCTGTTCTTAAAGTGAGCCTTCATCGAGCCAAATCCCAGACGTCGTCCAACAACTCCAACAGGGACAGCCGTAGACAAAAGGCGATAAGGACTCGTATGAGGGAGAACATGATATCTTGTACGGGAATACCAATCAGTTTTCCACTAAGTGTTTCTTTAACCGAATTTGCTGTATTGTAGCGGTCCGTAAATGTACCTTGTACGGTAGGGTTTGGTTTTTGCTGTTACTGGGATTGTTGATTGGCAATTACCATGAATCGAGCGGCATGTTTAATGCCCCCACCACGTTTCTGTCAACACTTCGGGTATTGTGACTTCCCCTATACTGATTATGTATTGATTCCTGTGAGTTAATCTAAGCTTACTGCAGGAGAACACCAAAGCTCGACGCTCTTGCACTACAGCAGCCCTTGCGGTAAGAGTTCTAGGTTGTACTTTTGAACGGGGGCTATGCGTGTCCTAAATAAATCATGTAGATTCGTGGGTTGTGGGTTGCGGGAAAATTAGGCGATCATGCCAAATGGAACGAGTCGACTCACAAGTTGGTTGCGGAAGTGCAGCGGGCACACACCCTGATTATTCCCACCTTTTACCAGACTGCGGCGTTTGAAGTCGAAAATGCAGTCATCGTCAGATATTCGAAGAGCGAGTGGGGTTCACCTGGAACTGTAATGCACCTCAACCCATACGAGCTCATATTATTGACGACATCTAGCGCAGAGGCGATCCTCAGGCATAAATGGGAGGACTTTTTGGACTATGCCAGAATGGAGCAAGATGTTGAAATTCGGATGTGGTTTGATAATACTTTGAAGGTGACCCGAAAATGAGCTCATAGGTTAAAATACGACCGCGTAATCAATCGTTTCTTTTAAGATGTGTGACTCCTTTGATTGGTTTGCCACAAAAGCTCTCAACGATTACCTGGACGGATCCACAAACCGGAGCCAAATTGTCGTAGCCCTTCTTATTATCGTAATTGTGGTCTTGTTACTTGCGGCAGGAATTTTCTACGTAACTCTTCGACAAGCTGCCGCGAAACATAAGGTCGTCATTGATGTGCTAAAAAACATTCCAAAGTCGTCTCGTCACAAAATCGTTGATAACCTTGAAGAGGAGATTGAAGAACTTCTGGAGTTGGAGGACACCCAGGATCGGAAGCAAGTCGGTATTACACGCGATATAGAGACAAGCGTATCGAAGTGGTTGATTGTGAAGTACACCTGGTCATATATTGCGGCAGTGTCTGTATTGGCATGTCTGGCGGTCTCGCTATTCATTCCACCGATGCTTTCAGGTTCACATACGGATAACGTGAGTGTGGCATATGTCAGGTGCTGTGGGCATTGCAAGCAAGCTGAATCCGCCTTTGTTCCCGCAGACGGCCTTTATGATCTTAGCGTCAAATAGCAGGAGATACGAATCACAGGTATAGCTCTCCTGGACAGTACTTGAAGATTTCTCTCCTCTGACCTTCTTCTCCGTTCAGACCATCAACTATTTGGCTCATGAACTAGCTGCTGCAGATAGCCACACCTGGGCTCCGTACCAAGTACAGCTCCTGACCGAGATCAGAATTGACATGCTAGAGGTATAAAAGCAGCATAGGCAATTGAGCGTGACCTCAAGGCTCAACCTTCCTCATATCCAGCGCCTGCACCATGATGTCTTGAACGGAGCAGGGAAGACGCCATCCTTGAACACCATTCCTGAAGTGGATGGTCTAACAAGGTATCTGAATATGTCTGCTGCCGTTTGCTACTTTCCTTGCCTCATCCTGATCAACTCTACTTAGGATCGGTGGAATGTGCCTGAGGGATTCCGGCTGTCAGGACATAGCCTACAATGCTACCATTGGCTTCACCCAGGATTTCATATATTCCGGTGCCAATAACATACTTACTACCTTGTTTGATCGGGTAGGTCACCCGACTACTTGGGCTGTGGTGCCGAGGGCAGGTACTTACGTTGTATGCTAAATGGGTTCCAGGCAAGGCACTTCGTAGCTACGGGAGATTACTCCCGTGACAATCCCGACCTTCTCCTTATGGAAAACATTGAAGTCGATATTGCCGACGGTCTTAAAGCTGTCGATGAACTCTTATTGACAGTCGCTAAAGCGGTCAGTAATCATTACATGCAAGTCGTCAACATCCTGTTTTCTGTGACGATCGTGTACTATGTGCTGTTCTATACATACTTCTTCTGGATGATCATCCGTGCGGTGCAGGCACAGATTCGACAAATGGTTGCCGTCATATTCTGGGTCCCGAGCGATATACTGTCGGAATGCCCGCAAATGCAAAGCTTTATTAACTTGGGAGGTATAGCACAGGCTGCTGAAATGGATAAGAAAACTCGTTAGAATGAGTCGTTGATCAACCGAATGATGGTGAAAAGATAGGAAGCGGGAATGAAGGGCAAATAGGACGAAGTCAGCATAAGAGAATATATCCTTTTACATTCTTTTTTAAATAAACAAGCCCCGAACGTACAGTATGCTGGATGTTTAACAATAATTAAGCCAAGTACATATCTTGTGTAACGTTTGGATCACCTGACTAGATTGACTCATAGTTAAATGTCATGGAAACGGCAATTGAACAACTGCTGTTCACCGTTTCGGCCCATCTCTGCAACATTCAACATTCCGAATTCGTAAAAATGGCGGATGTTGCAGGGTTGAGAAGACGACGAGACCAGGAGGAGGAAGATGTAGATGGGGATCCTAAAAGATTGCGAATCGATTCTCAGGAGCGCAGTGAAGGTGTTGCCCCTCAAGCGATACCCGCAGACGATGACAGTGACGACGATGTGGGGCCGATGCCCGAGGCTCCAGATATTAGCACGACGAAGAAAAAAAAGACAAGAGGTGAGAATGAGCTAGCAGCGGCTTTTGCCTGGTGCTCGTCAATAATCCACCGTAGTTCTCATGCACGAGCGATTGTACCTCGACAATCTCCCCTCGGCTGATATGTATGAGAGAAGTCTTATGCACAGGGACGTAGTCAACTTTGTCGCCGTAACAAGGTATACATTAATCATATTGGATTGCTGTCGACCCTGTCTCTTTTGACCCACAGTTGCATTCGACAGAACGGACTTTTTAATTACAACATCGGTCGACGGGCACGTGAAGTTTTGGAAGAAAACGGAAAAGGGGATTGAATTTGTGAAGCATTTCCGATCACATTTGGGTGCAGTTGTTGCTATTAATGTGAGCGATGATGGTACTCTTCTCGCAACTGCGGGAGCGGATAAGGCCTTGAAAATATTTGACGTCGTAAATTTTGGTGCGGACAGGCGATGCCTTCTTCCAGCATGTATCCGTCTCTCATTAGCTAAATTATATAGATATGATCAACATGATGAAGTTGAGCTACCTTCCGAATGCCGTGTGTTGGGCGTATCGGAAGGGCCAGGCGCAAGCGCTACTGGCCTGGTACGTGACTACTACTCTTCCACTGTATCTGCTTTTTACATCCCTCACGACGTCCATGCTCATGTTAGCAACCCAAATCATCCATAGCTCCGATCGAGAGTCGTCAGCCATACATCTATATGATGGTAGAGGTGGCCCCGATTCACTCTTCACAATCAACAATTTGCATGTCGATCCAGTTCATATCATGCGTTATAACCCGGTAGCGGATGTGATTGTCAGTGTGGATAGCGGAGGAATGGTCGAGTATTGGCATCCCGATGTGGATAGCGGGTATACTTTACCTAGCCCGCCTGTGGTTGACTGGGAATTCAAAAGCGACACTGATCTTTATGAATTCAAAAAGGTGGGCACTTATTGTTTGATTCTGGGAAGATACGATATACTGAAACAAACCCTTTCAGGCGAAGAAAGCACCCTCTTCCCTGACCTTTTCGCCAGATTTTTCTAAATTTGTCACATTTGGATTCAGTGATCGACAAATTAGAGTTTTCAATTTCCGTAGTGGCAAGCTGATCCGCAAGTATGATGAAAGCTTGACTGTAGTGTCCGAGATGCAGCAGGCTGGAACCGCCATATACTCGTTAGACGACATGGAGTTCGGACGACGCTTGGCCATTGAACGAGAGATAGAAAAGGTGAAAGGTGGACAGAGTGCGACAGCAAATGCAGTTTTTGACGAGTCGGGCAACTTCGTGATATATCCCACACTTCTTGGGATTAAAGTAGTGAATATTCGAACCAACAAGGTGGTGCGGCTTATCGGCAAAGCCGAGACACAGAGATTCCTGAATGTGGCATTATATCAAGGAGCTCCTCGAAAGAAGGGACTGATTACACTTGCAATGGCGGCGTCGGACAATCCGGTGTACAAAGAGACCGAAGCTCTGGATCCGACGCTTTTTTGCACGGCATATAAGCGGAACCGGTTCTACTGTTTTTCGAAACGTGATGCCGATTCTGAGGAATCAGGTGGCAGCAGCACAGGACGCGATATATTTAACGAAAAGCCTTCTCGCGAAGAGCAGACCGTTGCGGCAGCACAGTCCAATCTTTCGCGCACACTTGGAAGCTCTGCCATAATTCATACATCTTATGGCGACATTCACGTTAGATTGTTTCCCGAGTATGCCCCCAAGGCGGTCGAGAACTTTGTGGGCCTGGCGAAGAAGGGCTATTATGATAATGTGATCTTCCATCGAGTGATCAAAGGATTTATGATTCAAACTGGGGATCCTTTTGGTGATGGTACCGGAGGCGAAAGCTTATGGGGTAACGATTTCGAGGATGAGTTCAACCGTGCGGTCAAGCATGATCGGCCATACACCTTAAGTATGGCGAATGTTGGACCCAACACCAATGGCAGTCAATTCTTCATTACTACAGTGCCAACGGTGAGTGCGCAGTCTCATACTGATTCTCATGCCGCGGTGCGGTGAATAATGCTCATGGTTTGATCCTGTATATAGCCATGGTTGGACAATAAGCACACTATTTTCGGACGAGCTACCGGTGGAATGGATGTCATCCAGCGTATTGAAGCTGCCAGGACAGACAAGACGGATAAGCCCTTTGAAGATATACACATCTTGAGTATTGAAGTCCGGTAGAATAAAGTGTACATATAACTGGTCTTGCGTGGCGATTGAGTATGCTCTAATTTAACCGTCGTCTGTGAGCCCTCTAACAATCAAGCTCAACAAATGCTGCAAAACACCTCAGTGGCTGTATGGCGGAAGCCTCGTCGACTAGTGAATTTTTTTGATTCCGTATTGAATGTGTATTTCAAGCGCGGTGGTGCGCAGTAGTCTGTCCGGATTAGCGTTGGTCAATCCAGGCGGGAAATCTCATCACTTCCGTTGAAGATCCAACTAGCCGCTCGTGCATCCGCCGCGCAGCGGCGGGTTTTTAAATTCAGGAGCCACTTTTTCGCCGTGAACCTTCCCGTCACGTTCCCAAGTTTACAGGAATGTGTTGGGCCGGTTATATCTTTTCCGGGATTGATACAACCCACGAGCGCAGTTATCGATAGCGGAGTTTAAGAATCATTTACAGAATGATTTGCGTCTTTCACCAAAATCCCCTTCATGCCGCATTCCAACTTCCAACCTCTCATTGGCACATGTCCGTAGCGCGCAAAAAGAACTCCGCGTGGGCAGGGCTTTTGTTTGCGTTCGCCCCACTAGACATCCGCGCACACTTTTAGAAGGTTTGCTTATCTACATGCGACTGAGTATAATAATGCCTTGGGTGTCCCACATCATTTGTATCGGCAATGACGCTGTGGGGGTTGCCTACTGCGCCTTCCCCATAGAAGCTTTTTGCTGCCTTTGTCACTTTTTTTTTTGTCTTGGCGGGACCGGATGTTCAAGCCACTTGCAGCAATCTGATGTGCCCAAGTATTGAACACTGAAGGACATAAAAGGGGCCGAGCAACGACTCCGCTTCCGTCGTCCGCTAGGTTACCACCTTTCTGTATATGCTTTGTACTATATTGTGTCCCATCTGAAATTACCATCGACCACTGGGACCACTTGAGATGGCGAACATTATGGATTTAGTTGAAATAACAGGTATTCCTCGTCTTCTCGCAGCACGTTGGCCTTTTTGAAGAGGACACTTCACACATTAACCTCCACGGGTTCCTAATATCTTTCAGCAGACGAGCCCTCTGCAGCTCCATCGCCAACATTCCCCTTTGCATTACCCGCTACTTGTGTACGCAGTCGTCTTCCATCATTCGACATGTATTCTGTTGCCAGCGGTTCCCTGCCTTCTTCCGAACTTTCCACGGCTTGTTCATCTCCTGTTGCCAGTAAACCTACCACAAAGGATGGATTTACTCTTTTACTGGAAGCGGCCTTCTTGGAGGACAAAGAAAATACTGTCAAGAAGCATCAGCCTCCTACAAATGACACACCCCCCCGGTCTCCAAATCGTTGCATTACCCATGGAAATTTCGAAGGGGAGATCACTGTAATAGGGGATTATACGGCACCTGTAAGGTAAGAATATCGACGCTGTTAGCATTCTACAATCCAGTGTTTCCGTGCTGTATAGCATTGATCTTACTAATCGTCTCTGTAGAATTGGATATGGCCCCAGGTTTACTATTAATCTTGGCACTGCTTCCCAGCAACGTCCTTATATTGTCATTGAATGGAACCCGTTTGCCCAGCGTTTTGAACTTCGTGTATGTGGACAGGGGACCGTGACGGTCGGGATCAATACATTTAGTCAGAACAGTCATCCGGCGGTCTTGGAAACGTTCTCTACCTTTCGGCTGGACAACGCGCGATTCTGCTTCCTTCGACCAAATGTACCTTCACCAATTGTCACTGGGCGACATGCGGGATTAGCTCTTCCCTCTCGGTCAAGTGATATCTATTGCCCTCGCATCGCGGGAGCAGTTGCCGGATGCCCTTCCTATCTTGGCTTGGCTATATCAGGGGTTTGCATGAATGGGTCGGCCGGCTCATCCGTGCTCAGTAAAACACCAAAGGTGCCTTGCCCTATAACTAGGACTCCCGATCCATCAATGGAGCCCATGGACATGGATCGTGTACACATGCGGCCAAACTTGTCTTGGGCAAACCTGATCATTGGTGCATTCAAATCGTCTGGCAAGACCAAGTTACTGTGAGTTGAACAGCATACTGTAAATGCTTCATCATTCAGTGCCTTATAGTTCAGATTTGATAGTGTCTCCGACATCTACGCCGAAATCGCTCGTACACATCCTTATTATCGGGTGAGATCGGGCAAGAAAGGACATAACTGGAGGAACGCGGTTCGACACGCTCTGTCTGTGAACACTTGCTTCTTCCGTCTCAACGAGAACGAGTATAAAGGGGGGTATTGGTCCTTCTCTGAGAAAACTGGACCAACAACAGCCAGAAGATGTCCAATGGCAACACAGCGCACCGAGCGACAGGGTACTGTTGACAATATGGACAGGAAAAATATCACCAGCGCCATCACCAATCTTTTACCTTCTCCGTTACCTTCCCCTGATATTGATACTGGATCTTGCATTCATTCCCCTTTCGAGGTCTCCCAATGTACGGTTCGAGCAGCCAACAGTAACTCGACTTCGAATGACTCTACGCTTCCGCCCATCATGAATTCGCTCCACAAGCTTCCACCTTTGGGCAATGCGCTTCCTACTCTCAATTATCTGACAACCATCGATATTGACATGAAGAACCGTCTGGAGGACGGTACCGCTGCCGCTTCGATTCGGAAACGTACCTCTTTACCTTCCAGTACGAATGCTCCGAAGAAGAGTCGTGTTGCAGTTGTGGTCTAACCACACTGCATTTCTTGTAGATACTTCAAATGTATATTGGATATAAAAATATGGGTCGTGTGGTAAATATGCTGAGGAAATGAACACATCGGTGACTTGAGGACAGTGTTCTATAAAACATGGCGCTAACTGATGTATTCTGTAAATTATTAATTAAAGCAAACTTTGATATTAATTATCCTGAAAGGCACTGGTGGATATCGATATCCTAAATAATATAAATAGTATATACAGTACATGTTCCGATAGGATTGGCGCAAGTCTTCCACTTGGAATGCCATCATGGAATGCCTGGAATTTGAGCCCCTATTGTGCAAATAGCGCCTAACCGATCAGATACCAGCATTCGTAGCTCATGAAATACCATGTGCAATAGAGCTGAGCACTGCCTGTTTATTCTCTATAAGGCGTGCCTAAATGCAAAGCGAATCAGTAATTTCAACAGAACAATTCTACTGAAGAAGGTGCGTACCAGCTCCTGTCTTCGCTCGGTAAGCTTTAGTCGAGCTAGCGCCATGTCTGGAGGCAAATCGCAGAAGCTTCGCAGAGTGATGTCCTTCTTTTCCAGTTCATTGGCCATCGCGTCAACCTCAGACTGCAGGGCCAAGATGGTGTCATGACGATAAAGATCGATATCTGGGGGTATAAGAGCCTATGCAGGGTTATCAGAACAGAGCCTCGAGAATACGCAGTCAAGGGCCCACATAGACTTATGGAACGGCGCCCTCACCTCTAGCTCGGCCAGCCTATTGTTATATTCGTGACCCTTTTGCCGCAGAACGTCTGTATTTCGATTGTATTCCAGCAGCCGCTGGTTATCCACTTCTTCCCCCTCTTGGAGTTCTGAAAATATACTAAGAACGATCGGTTCTCTCAGAAAATATATGCCAAGTATAATAACAACATTCTTTGCACTCACCTAGCCACTCGTCCAGAATATTCATCGACGTCGTGCATTCGCCGTTCCAGCGACTCAAGTAGCTTTGCTTGACGTACATGGTTTTCTTCAGCCTCCTGCTCTTCTATGAGGAGATCTGTCATGGCACACTGGAAGCTGTTTCGCGTTAGGAAGTTCCAAACCAACCAACTTGGGTAGCACTGGTATACCTGACAGCATTTGTTTCGCCAAGTCCTAATATCATGGCTAGATTTGTCAAGGCATCCAAATTTGCTTCGCCGCCCTTCGACAGGTGCTGTCTACTAACTCTCAAAGTATCAAGGATACTGGACAGCCGTTTTGCTACAACATCAGGATTTTGCAGAATTCACGCTTGAGCTCCTCAATCTAGGGATGACCAATCTTGCTACACTCCTTACCTTCGTAAATATAGTCAGCTTCCAGAATCTCATCTGCCTCGGACGTAACTTCTTTGAGCCCTTCACGCTGACAGTCACGGGCAGCGATCCCTTTCAAGAACCTGACGGAAGCCGACGACGAGAGCAGCTCATCCAGGTGGTTGGAGGCAGTTGCGTCAAATGTTTCGGGGTGATTGGTAGAGAGCGACGAGAGAAGGTGAGATAGCTCTTCCGGATTATCTGCTTCACCGTTCATTTTCGCTTGATACAACGTTGCGGGCTAGATCCCTCATGCATCTGGCTTCGAGACTTCATGCAATTGCATTGGTAGTGTCACGTGATGAATCATCGACCACAGCGTGCATCTAACAAACAGCTTGCTGCGGGCTTCCAGCTTCCAGCATCCCATGTTGGCTTAAAGTCACTCCAGTATACTGTGACGACGATAGCATAATAGGTAGATAAGCGAATAATACCCTCCGAATGCAGTTTCATCCCTTGCAACCCATTTTAGTTGATAGTTGCAGCATGTCAAACAATAGCGAAAATCAGGGATAATATATCATGCTGATGACGAACGTATGAGGGAATCATTTATATCCTTCAGTAAGGGAATATGTATAATATAGGACAGATGTTGTGCGGATCTGATTTGTAGAGTGCAATGTCCAGCTCTAAACCCGGATGACATCCAGCTTGGGCGGGGATAGTTTTCCAATGGGAATGAGAGTCAGAAACGATACGGAATTTCTGGACAGGCGGCGACCCCATTTTCACGCTGGCTTTGGGCCTTGGTCAATTGTCTACCCCACTTTGTCTCGATATTGCATTACTAACTGATTCTTCTTTTAGCTAATATATCCCTTCCCGCCCAGGTCCCATGCTCCTCCCATTGCTCCTGGCTAACGTTATGGGCCTTGCATTCTGTGTTTGTATTAATCACAATAATTTGAGACAGCCAAGCTAGAGCTCGTTCCTTTATTTAGTAGAGTTATTTTAATGACCTTGAGTCCGATAGCCCTCCATGCACGTACAATGCTGATTATTCTTGGACAAAGTTATTTTGGCAATCATACTTAGGATGTCACTTTGCATCCTCAATCACGATTAGCTTGGCGCTTATCGTCATGTGAGTTATGCGTATTGATAATTAACAAAATAATAATGCAGAGTTGACGATAATCTCCATTGTCTTAAATGCTTGTCCCCCATTGACATTCTTTAAGTTAACCAGTGGCGTGCGCGTGACTAAGCCACTAATTGTGGTCAGCCGGAGAAACTCGACTCCGTCCCCCAGCGCACGACAGTTACCTACGTTCCTGGAATTCTTATCGTGCCATATCGTAAACAAAACAGACCACGCGTACAATTATCGGATCGTCGGACTTTGTCACCCACTTTTGGTTCATTCAGCGCCTGCGCCTTCTGGTTTGTTTGACTGTTTACCTCGACCCTTGGATTCCTCTGAATGATGTTAATCCCTTGGCACATTATAATCGAGATTCTAACTTTGGATTCAGCCATGGCTCAAGTTGGATATTATGAGCGGTTCCAACGGGAGTCAATCTTTTCTGGTGTGAATTGGCCCTGGCTCACCAACCAGCTCAACGGTGACAGTCGTAAGAGGGACATTCTGACGCTGGGGACGCGGCTGCTGAAACCACACTGTTCGGTGGTTTGCAGCATGAATGAATTCCTCTAGCTTCTTGCTGACTGCACGCCTTTGCAACGTCGTAATCCCCCTGAACTCCCCTGGTGATGGAGCGTGCATATCATTCGCGTGCGGATCCAGCCAAGTCAAGTGTTGGCGAATGCAGACATGTATTGGTTCAATTACTCAAATACGCCCAGCAACTATTGCTGATCCTGCCCTCCCCCATACCTTTCGGAGTTGTTTTGTGGCTGGGAATGGCAGGATGCAACGCCGCGTATTGTTTCTGCTTGCTTTTGTTTATGCTCAGCGTGCGTCCCAGGCCTCGTCTTCAGTGTTTGGGGACTGAGTGAGCGTGCATAAAAGCCTCGCTTCTGACCGTCTCCCTAGGACTGAACATCGTGAATTCACTTCCGTTATACCTACTCCCTCTCTTTGTTTAAACTTTCATTGCAATGGACAACTTTGAACACATTGCCAACATATCGAAAGGGGGCACGATTGCCATAGTGGTAGTGTGTATCACCTTTATTGACCAGATTGAGAAAGTGAGGAACAAGTTCCTGCTTGGTTCCATCATTAGCTACGCCTGCTTGATGTTCATCGCGACGATAACCGTGAGCAAAGCGTGGGAGAGCCTCATCGTTGGGAACTTCGAAAAGTTTGCGAACCTCATGATAGTCACCCAGGTGAGTACCGAGTACGCGTTACGAGGTTAACTGATTCTAAAAGTTGATTGAAAGGTCACCTACGTTGGTGCCTTTACGTCGCTCGTATTTCACAGCGCCTATCGTGCGACCTTAATTCTGGCTCCAAGGTTTCCTCATACTGCGAAAGCGGCGACTTGTGTGGCCTTGACACAAGGCTTCATTCACGGGGCAGCTTCGTACTACTGGTAGGTGTTAATCTGCGTTGATCGGATATACTATCCTTGATGATGCGCTGTCCGTTTCATATTTGTCATATAAATGGTGAGAGGACAAGCACTTACACTTTTTTCATTGCAAAGGGGAATGAATATCAAAGCAAACTACGGAACGTTGCGATCTGAGATCTCTTCGAGGATGGAGATCGTCGTTCTGATTTACTACAGCCTCGTCGAATCAATCCTATTCTTGATGATTCAGTACAAGATAATTCAAGTCAAAGCAGCCACTCTAAAATCCGGAGACACAAACAAGATTAAACTTGTGCTCTACGCGAAAGGGCTGCTGAGGTCCGCAGCCTACATAGTGAACATTGCACTCATTTATGTTTCGCTCGGGAACATCATTCCGTACTTGAAAAATTGGAACTATCCAATTCTCTGTCCATCCTTCATTTTGATGATTATTCTCACGGACTCGACTCGTTTCCAAGAGTGCATTGAAAAGCTTTCTCCCAGCACGACGACGACGACGACATCCAACTCGAAAAAGCCGACAGATTCAACAATAGCAAGGACCAAGACCACGGATGACAAAGGACCTACCATTATCGCTTCAAAGCGGGATACTATGAGCGAAGACCACAATGTGTGAGCAGAGGAGCAGAGCAGGTATGATATTATATGCTGCGAAAAGTTAAAATACCTTTGCATCGGAATGGCTAACGCGCAGTAACTCGCTTAGATTACGTGAGCGTGATCAATATACCACGGCGCATAAAAGATACCCAAAAACGGAGGCCGATCAGACAAACATTAGAATTTAAATGAAATGATGTCTTACTATGGCTCTGGCAATAAAGCATTTATTTCAAACTGCAAGACGTTGCGAATAATGTGTTGGATATGATTGCCCTTTTTTTTTCCGCAAGACAACGTCACTTTATATCTAGGTTCATGACCGCCTTTGCGGCAGATCACTAGGCATTTGCAGGTGCATGTAAGTGGACGACGTTGTAAAACACATTTGTCCCGCTGCAGACATAAGAACAATAAGTGCTCTTGTAGACTCTTTCCTCCGAAAACCTCCTGAACACAAGAAATGGAACATTTCTGACAATGAGCAGAAATATATGATCCCAGCGAGCGATTTGATACGATTGATGTTCCCGCAAATCAAGAGAGACAAGCAAATGCCAAACCTCATGTGCTGCCATAAGCGAGATGGAGCGGCTGCTGATCAAACCCATATCGCGGTGCGTTATTGCTCTCTGAATGCCGGTAACTCAAGAAACATGCAGAGTTTGGCACAGCCGATGCCCTTTCCGACCCCATGTGTACAACCATTCGCTCTTCTGATCGGAAAATTTATTGATGATAGCTCAGTTTGGTTCTTCGACGCACTTGTAGATGCATTAATACGACGACGCGCCAATATACTGAAACTTACAGACACACCTACCGACAAGCTGTCAGTACAGATAGAGTCTCAGTACCATTCTGCCATTCCGCCGTCGAACTTCTGAGCAGAATCGCTGCTTGAAAACGAAATCAGTTCGCGTTGCGGTTGATACCGGGCGGACCCTTTGAATTCTGTGGGCGGTGTTGGTCCGTACGCGGTCACAGAAAGGGCAGGCAAGAGTCAACACCGCCCACAAAATTCAAACTCTACCACGGTACCTCAATCACGCCTTAGGACTTTGGATACGATGTTGCATTATTTGCATAATTCTATTTTGCAGGTAATCTTTTAACCACAAAAGTGTATTACAATTTTTCTACTTCCATTTCTTCCTCGTCCTCTGCCAGATCACATACTCCGAACCATGTCAACTTTCTCAGCGCGCTGCAGCATAGGATAACTTTTCCAATAAGGGAAGGTAAACCCATGAACATGAGACATAAACTCCTGAATCGAAGCTGCCATTCCATCACATCTATGTAGGCAACTCCTCGAACGAACTTTATGATACCTCCATACCAACCAGTGAGGACAAAACAGGAAAGCAAGAAGAGTACCTCCAGCAAAAATGAGTAAATGTGGATTTTCGTCACAAGTTCCGCATTACCTTGCCGTGGAATACGTGGGGCTAATTGGAAGTATGCAACTCGGCTGATACTTTCGAACATTTGCTGTGGCAGAGCTCGCACCCAGGCCCAATTAAAGCGGAGATAAATCGCCGACCGGAGAGAAAATATAGAGCCGTGAATATCGCCAGTTGTGCCACTTGCAATCGCTGCTGCTTGCTCAAGGTCAGGTTCTTCCGGCGGTGCAGCCTTGTAGGTATGCGGAAGGGAGTCATGAGGAAACTGACAACGATACGTGATCGTGCGAGCGATAATATATTCGAGGATGGCTCCAGGAATAAAGGTAAGCAGCGCCATAATGACCATCTCTGAAGGAAAGAGATATGGAAATAGTTTGAAATAGTTCTCAACGGAAAACTGACGGCAATATACTTACGGTTTGGATGATGAATGGTCGTTGAATCCCAATCATACTTTCCCTTCATTCTCCAGCCAACAATGTAGACCACAAAGGTAATGCAATGATAAGCAGCGACTAACAGCACCGCAATCTTGAAAGCCCGTCCGTCCTGAGAATTGGTTCTCTTCACATCAGTTGCCGCACGTCGCCCTTTCCCAAATTTTGTCTGATATAAAGCCTTGATCAAAAGACGGGCAGGCGAGTCGACGCCCGTCGTTCTGGTGACGAATGCACACAAGGCGATGAACATCAAAATAGCGTACAAGGTCAGCAACAACACATTTGGGACCACATTTTTTCGATAGGCATTTGAAACCGCCTCGGAAAAGTCTTTCGATGTGTCCAAGGTGCCGTTTCCTAGGGCTTGGGTATAAAAGGATGTGCCCAGCATGGAGTCAAAGACTTGACGCAACCCTCTTTGTTGAGCTTCCCATTGATAAAGGGCCTCATCTTGGTTAAGCGAGGTGATGATCTGTGTTGAGATTTCATGTCGAATGCGCCCTATGTTATTTGCTGGCATTGGCAGACCTGGAGGGAATAAGCGTTTTTAGCGGAGGGTCGGATGAACTAACTCTTTTGTTACAAGTGGGATGATACCTAGCAATGCGCAAATGGTCGGCGCTACGTCCACAGAATTGAATGGATTAAAAGGATCCAGTGCTCGACGACCCAAGTTAGAGCTCTTCATATACGTCAGCATGAATGTGTTCATTAACACCGGATTGGTTCCTCCATGGCCTAATAAAACCGCTGTCAGTAGGCATAGTGAAAATGCAGAAATTAGTTGAGCTAGGCGTACCTCCTGAATCTACATGCAAGAATAATAGAACATAAGTCAGCAACGGTACCGTCTTCCATAGCAGACTTCGTTTCTTACCTACGTGTCCATGGTCCGCAACAACTATGACCACAGTATCATTACCGATATTTGTGAACACATTTCGCAGTATCTGTGCCTTATCCGAAACCGCTTTGTTGTAGGTATCCAGTTCATTATATTCTCTTGTCACGCCGGAGAGATGCCCCCTATTCAAATGTGGATTAAAATTCAGAGCATCTTTGACTGCGTACGTCAAGTATAGTATTACCTTTCATCAATATCCGAAAAATGAGCCAAATAAAATTCATACTGTTGTCTTCTGGAGACTATCTGCTCAACAGCATTCTCCCGCTGGGTATCAGCAAATTGGGAGTTAGCGACACCCTGTTGGTATCCAAATCCTGCATCGTTTGTTCCCATGCTCGTCAGGTCCAAGTAACTTTCGACAAGGTCACCAAACCAGCTAGATCCAGTCAAACTACACACGCGAATGTCAGTATCTGATACTCAAAAACAAAGTAAATGCACGTACCCCGTTGTACGGTTGCTAGTAAAGGCCAGGGAGAAGATACTGTCAAATGAGGAGAGTTGAACGGCCGCATTGCCAATTACTCCTGTCATCCAGGGTGGACTTCCCGTAATGAACGTGAGCCAGTTTGGAACCGACATGCTAGGAAGTTGCACCTGTGTGCGGCAAGAGCGTGAGGATTTGCCTCCTCAAATCTGAAGTTACGCATGACCATTACCATCATCGGTGCTACCATCAAATCATTTTTGATACTTGGGTCCTGTAGCAAATCTTTGAAATCCTTGTTGGATTGAAGATGGTCTGCCCGCATTCCGTCTAATATCACTAGAAACGCTTTCAATCCCGTTGGATTTCCCAGTTTCGAAACGCCTTGCCGCTCCTGCTCTCCAGCAACCGTTTGTCTGAGTACTCCCAACTGCTCCAAGTTTAGCATTGGGTTCTGATTCGTGATCAATCTCCAAAGCTCCAAGCCCAATACCACTCCAAGGAATATCGTAAAGGTAATCGACAGTGTTCCAAAGAACTTCCACGATACCATGTTCTTACGATATAACGTATCTCCCCTTGAGTTCGTCATCTCCAAATGGCGGTGCCGGAGTTCTTGGAAACTATTCTGAATTTCTCGGCGCATTCGACGATAATGTGAGACCATCTTAGGATGCATGTGTAACCAGGTGAGCTGCCCTATTCTTAAAAGCATTCCTCCACCAGTCAACAAAGCCCGAGGAATCGATGCCGCGCTCAGCGACAGTACGTCGAAGAAGCAGAGAACGATCATCTTGTATGTGATGAACCATTTGGTGGTTTCGCTGAAATCGACAGTGACAGAATAAGATAGGTATAAACATTTCACGCATATTAAAGCTGTGAGGACAGCGACAGCTGTTTGAACTGTAACGGGATGTGTAAACATTGCGCGCTTCGGTGATCATAGCATGCTCCAAACTTACTTGTGTTCAACCATCCATCGTCTTTCATGGTATAATCACTTGGTAACTTTACAAATAATAGTAAGACTGCTAAAGCAATCTCCACCGCGCTCAGAAAAGCAGCTATTGTGGCAATCTTTCTCGCTTCCCTGTGTTGAAGTTTGATGATGGGAAGCTTCTCCGCATCCAACACCAGATTACGGATTATATCCGACGGAGCTACCAAATTACATCCGCCGCTAACGAATTGAACCAGAATCTTTTCTTTATACCCTCCTAGCACCGTGGCTAGTGCATACTCCTCGTTGACGATCCGCGCAATGATGGGCTCGCCAACACGAAGAGGATCACGCGATGACCAGTGTTGCGTTGGAATGACGACGAAAGATGACGGAGCGAGATGTAGCGGCGAGCCATGGCCGGATATTGTGCACTTTATCTTGTTCAATGGCTGCGCGGAGTTCATTCCAGTGGATGACGTGATGTTAAATGAGTCGCTTTCGAGACTCTTCCGAATATGTCCAATGAGAAAGCGCTTCCCAGTGCGCACAAGAATACGCTGTTTACGCTTGGGACTGGCTGTGTCGTCACGACGTTGGTTTGGAGTTTCACCAGAAGAATCCATCGTCACAACTCTTGAGTATTTGATGTTTTGATTCTCTGCAAAGGTATTTGTTTACAAAGCTCAATTTCATTACAGGATTCGAAGCTGGAACTGACCATTTTCATTTATCACTTCCTTCACGCCAGCCATTTTCATGATGCTTCCTACTCGACCGTGGCCAGTCATCAAGCCAGTTGTGCTGCCGATCGTACTATTTGAAGCACGAGCAGATCGGAGGCTCTGTAACTCTTTGCCTTGATCGCTATCTAAAGCTCTAATATTCTAAGCTCAAACGAACGTGTTTCAGAAGTTCTGATAGCGATGACATCTCAATATCGCAGGGTTCACTCTACCGGGGCAGACCCGTCAAATGCGATCGATGTGTTCAACTTTCCTCCCTTCACGGGCTGTAAGCTCCCGGGCATTTGGGCGACCGTATATGCGGAAGTAAAACCTAAAGAGCTGTCGCTCAATGCCCGTGCAGTCAGGGACACCTTCATTTGACTGTTAGGATGACAACTCTATGAGGCAGGCAGCATTAGAGGCTCACCCTTTTGCTGTCAGCACTATGATTATCCCCATCGTTGAACAGTTGATCTTGATCGTCGCTAACTGGCATAACTTTTGGCTTACTTCTCCCAACTAGCTTCGCGCTAAATGATGACATACTGGCTGTTCGGGATCGCATAGTAGGCGATTCGACAGTATTACCTCGCTGCCGTGCTTCCGGCGATCTTACTCCAGCAGATCTGGGTGTGGAAGTGGTTTCCCGCCTGGGAACAAATATGTTTTGAAGTGCGCCGCTATGGGACCCTTGCTCATGCATTGCGGACAACTCAATGTCAGGCCGTTCATAGAGGGGGTTGACAATGTAACTCTCATGATTATCGCCTTCATCAGGAGATTGGGCTAAAATTGGCGATTTGAAGTCACTGGGACGATCTTGTTGCTCCGTCTCGAAACTAACGGGTAGTGACCTCGTAGCGATCTTGTCCTTGCTTGACCGCTTGCGCTGCGATGCCATATTCTTGCTATGTCGCGGGAAATCCTCTTGAAAAGCAGGCGGGGAGGGCCCTATAATGGCGGGAATTTAAATTGTGTAGCCGCGGTAGTGTTTGCTTACATCTAATTCCTGACCCGCCAGGCAAAAGCCCGTAAACAGAAAGACGAAAGAGACGGAGAAACTGGCCAGATGCATTACGTAAGCTACTCAATCAAAAGTTTAGTGTTTAACCTGTGGTTGGATGAACCTCTTCAACATCCAATTAGCACAATTCTTGATGCTGCACCGCTATTTTTCTCACAAGCTCTAACTACATGAGAGAACTAAGGACTTTAGGGGTTCATAGTCGTTGAAATTCATCAAATCGATGCGTTCCTCGCCAACGTAGATCCGTTGTACAATGTTGCGTATTCGCGGATGCCTCAGCGATACGGTGACCCTTAATATCTACATATGTTATTTTTACTAGCTCCAAAAGCTGGGTTATTTACGACTAGTCAAAGATAGTGATGTCAATGCTGGGATTTGAATATGATGCATCAATTCACGTTCATTTAACGCGCATTGATTCTAAAGTCTTTTCGGCCGTCTGTGCAATTATTTCGCGTTCTTCCTGCCGGGCGGCATCATATGATATAGTTTGTTGATTCTGTAGGAACCATATTGTCGTGAGTCGATGCACGACACGGAACGGCAACATAAATGAGGGAACCAACCATTGGATTTTCGGGCGATTTTTTCCATTTTTTCTGAAGAACTTGTTTGTACTGCGATAGTCGCAGACCCGGTTGCTCTGCCTTTAGGATAGGCATCTCCCTCTCCTAGTTATGCTACTTGAGAAACCTGGTGGCATTCATTCAACAGATATGTATCATACCTCGAATGCGGCCCAAGCACTCTTCATCCTTTTTTCTGGATGCCTTTCTATTTTATCCGAGGACTTTCCCTTGGCTCCCGTCGCTGCGACATCCATCAGATCAAGAGCGGCATCTATGCCACTAGCAGCATATTCTGGAATATCCGCTCGAGCATCTGCAGCATATTGCTCAACACGTTCTGATCGCTGAGCAGCCTTCTTTGCAGATCCCTTGACAGGCGCCTTTATCGATGCCAGCTCCTTTTCTTCCGCGGCAAGCATGGCTTCCCTATAGTGAGTTTGAGAGATAAGGCTTGTCGTGAAAAAACGGCGCCAATTCTACATAATGTCAAGATAATCTTTACCGCTCCTTCTTCCTGGCAAGAGCCTCTTGCTAAAATGGAAGGACGATCAATAGAGATATGGTACTGTATCTATTTCTAATAGATACATATTGTGATCCTTGCGTACCCGCTTTTCTTCTTCCAATTGCTTCTTTTTGCTGTCTTTGGCTCCGTCACTCCATTTCGCTGCCTCTTCCGCTTCCTTCTGAGCAGACTGTTTGGTCTTTTTTTCCACGTCTGCTGCTGCCTTTTGCGCTATGCGTTCTTTCTTTGCCATGGCCGGTGTGGTTGCGATTGGAAGAACAGCTTGGAAAGCCAACGATCGGTTAACTGATTCGTATGACTGCATCCGGTTTGATTGCAGAGCAATATCGTGGCTCCACCCAACTTAGTGTGGAGGTGCCACTAGAACTCATTATTATCCGGATTAATCCGGTTAGTCATATCGCATAATCAGCACCCCCTCTATCGCTCAGATTGGTGTGGCATGCATGTAATGTTTTTTTTTTTTTTAAACTGCAGTGAGGTGCATGTGGAAGGTCTATAAAAGGGGGGCCTTTGCTGTCTCTTCCCTCTTTCCTCTTTACCCATCCTCGACTCACAAGCATCTGCCCAACTCTCATCAATCATGAGAATGCCGCTCTGGTGTCGAGGACCTCGCCCTCCCGACAAAAACAACATAACCCCTTGCAAATGCTGCTACTACTATACTGCTACGATCGCAGGTATATCTTGCTGATTTTTCCCATGCGCGTTTTCTCAGTCTAATTATTCTAGTTTACCTTAGTATCTGAAAACATCCTCCGACTCAGAATTTCGGAATCAAGGGCTTAGTAGGATTTCTCTCGTGTGGTGGGCTTAGTTACCCGGTTAGAACAACCGTAATGTATCGCATGTGTAATTGGGCCTAGTGGTAGTTAGTGGAATCGTGCTGCTTTGCACGTACCCCAGTTCAACCCAGGCTGGAACCTGTAGCGAGTTAGGATAGGGGTGGGACTCGTTTGCAGGGTAGGTTATGAAGGGTTGGACAGGCTGGCTAATTGTAAATTAGACCGGCTGTAGTGGGTTGGAGGGAGAATTTGTCCCTAGTGACATTTTCTACCACCTGCACACTAAAAATGAAATTCTATGAGTCTATGATAAATGAAATACATGCTGCAGTACTGTTTGTAGATATATCTTGTAGCTAAAGTCCTGAAAAGCGCTGAGCCGCCCGACCCCGACAATATGAGGTAGATGCGGCACTCCAGCAGGAGTCACATTGTTGCTATCACCTCCGTCTACCTTTATTCCGCACCAACCTCTTCGTCCACGCCTTGTGTTGCTTTCACTTCATCCACCCCCAACAAAATCACATCTGACTCCCCCGGTGAGATATTACCATCCAATACATCCGCTAGCTTGCTAGCCTCCTCTGCCTTTACCCGCTCGGCGATAGCGATCTTACGAAGCTCTTCCTCTCCGGCAGCGACGTCTGGATCACTTTCGTCTTCATTGTCCTCCGTGACGTCGAACATGAGGAGAGGATCATTTTCGTAACAGGGGAACAGGTACCTGTATAAATTATGGTTGGCAATAAGCCGGCACCGACCGAAACTGGTTGTTACTCACTGAGGATCGGTCCAAAATTCTGCCTCTTTGTCAGGCAATTGCGAAAAATGCTGGGTGGCTTTCATATGCGCCGTCATCTCGGTCAAGTCTTCAAATTCGGCGCCACAAGCGTAACATCGACAAAGGGAAGTTTGCTTTCTGATGTAGTTAATGAGCTTAATTGACCCGTAAAAGTCCAGTCCTTGCAAGGAAATGACGGTGCGACATGTTAGTCCGGTATTGTAGATTTAATTTCCACCAAGGGAACTTACCCAATTCATGACGAACTTCTCTCAAATCAAACTTGTGATCATTCTTCATATGCTCATACGCGTCAAATGCCGATGGGAAGACGCACTCATCAAAAAGACACATCGTTGCATCTTCTGTGGTATCAGGCTCGTTCCAATCTTCCCATTCTCTACACAGACATAGGGATGAGTTTCTAGTTCCGGCCCTTAATGCAAAACCATACCTACTCTTCTTTCCGCTCCTCATCACTCTCATATCTCTCATTCTCGTATGCCTCCCAGTTCTTCCCAGGCTCCAGATAATTTATGATATAGAAACGGTCGTATCCTCTGTTACGCGGGTTGATTTTGAAATGTTTTTTCTTCCGCATGTGCTTACGCAGTACAGCGCTGGTCTTAAATATCTTCTCGCAGTATAGACACTGCAGCCCTGCCAACTTCGTTTGCAAGGTCTCCAAAAACGCACTCACTTCAACCAAATTGTCAGGTAAGCCAATGTTGAAACCGTGCTCGCTGAACATGTGTCGGAATAATAGTGTTCTGCTGTCACAGACAACCTTGCAAAAGAGACATTTGCGTGGTATATGGGACTCCTCGTTTCTCTCCCTTTCTTGAATCTTGAGCATTTGATTCAAATTGTCTCTTTGAAGCTTCTCCCGGAATACCTTGTCTTCTAGGTCCGAATCATGGCCCAAAATGTACATAGGCTTTCCATCTGGTGTTTTGTGGTCGGATTTGTAACCAACTTTCTCTATTCCCTGCTCACGAATACACTTCGCCCAGTGTTCAATGTATCTGTCCAGGTACGGTAAAACGTGATGGGCGTTCTTCACATCTACGCCATGTGCGGTCCTAAGATGATCGAGAGCGACCGTGGGATTCGTAGTCGGCTCCGTGCTTGGAGGACAGTCGGGCATTGGACAAAGAAAGATCATCGGTGTCCAAAATGTCAGCGGTACCGCCGGTGGTGCTGGAGATGAGGAACGGGTGGAGTCTTTGTCGGACTCTGACTCCGAACCCGATCCGTGCGAATGCGTAGATGATATGGAGCCTTTGCGCTGCGGAACCGGATCTCTTCCACGCGGTCGCTGAGCTGGAGCGGTGGACGCAGTATGTGGGCGAGCACCAGAAATTGCAGCTTGTCCTTGATTCTGAGATACCTCAGGGCGGAGGTTGGCTTCAACTTGCCGAGATCCACCTCGGGCGGTTGACGTAGCTCGGCCTCGACCCCCTCGCCCACCTCGGCCGCCACGACCCCATTTTTGTCCACCCGTCTTGCCGTTGGGACTTGAAGACCCGTGCACTGGTTTTCCTTTATTACCTGTCGCTTCGGCAGGTTTCGAGGGTAGCTTCTTGTGTCCAGCGCCTGTCACCTTGGTAAAACTGGTATTCGTTTGAGAATCGGCTGACGGTCCTCCAGATGTTACTGCAAGTGCTTGCGCTGAACTCGTTGTTCCTGCTTGTTCTTTCGTCTCAACTTGACCGGCCATGATTAGAGAGATCTCTTGTGGAAAGAGTCTGCAGACCAGTCCAAAAACGTAATATAACCGGTTTTAGGTCACTATGAAATTCAGGCGGCACAGCACTTTGGGCATCTGTCACCGAACCAACTTTCTCGCTCCAGCTCAGAGTAGATCACGATCTATACAAGCATTGAACAATAACCCCAGGCGGGCGAATGGACAAAGTGAAAGGTCCAGTTGCGTTAATATGCACCTTCCTACCTAGCGGCTTCATCCCGTACAGCCCTTGTGTGCTGACTGATTCTTGGCCTGGCCACAGCTACTCACACGGGAACTCGCGGACATGAACGTTATTTCTTTAATCCCGCAGACCCGGAGACGGTATCCAGAGCTGTATCGGAATTTGTGGCGGACTCGGCTACTTTTATAAGTGCAATCGACTGGACAGAACCTTTCATCGCCGTTCTCATATCGTTTCATGTACTCCTGGCACTGTGGGTCGTCCTAACACGGAACAACCAGACGTTAACAGCCAGCAACTTTGTCGCTATAGGTATTTCTTGGTGGTACTGTTGTGCGTGAACGATTACCTTACCTGTATTTGCTATATAGGCGTGTTAGCATTAGCTGCACAGCCCCTCAACTATCTGGCGTCACAGCATTGGGCAACTTTCTCGCGAACAAACTATTTTGATGCACAAGGGGTGTTTATGAGCATCATGTGGGCCGGCCCTTTGATGATCGAGTTGATTTTTTGTGTGGTATGTGCTGAGCCGAAGTCACAATGTCCTGGAATTTTCCTAAGCGAATGCTTTCGGGACAGATAATGCTAGTCCGACAAGCTGGGGACATGGTTGTCAAAGTTAAGCGGGAACAGCTCAAACGGAAGCCTACTGCGAAGTCGAAGGCAAGCAAGAAGGATCAGTAGTGACTATTAAGCTCCGTATATACTTGGTGTGCAGATCTCTAAATCGACCGGAAGGAAAGTACTCGTTGAAGATACTGGCAGTCATATTGCTACGAAGCAGCAAGCAAAGTATGGAACTTGCCTCTCTCACTATGTGCCCTTACGCGCATGTCGTACGTTTTCTGGTGGATCTCCAGATGTATGTAGCATAGATCATGTATATCTAAGAAGAGTGGCGACAAAGGAACCATACTCCTATCCCTTGTCTCCAGATAGTAATCAATCAATGATGTTATGGAGTAGATAATCGTTCAGTAGTTTTACAGAGTAGCAACAAATGAATTTCAAACTCGTCGAGAGAAACGTGTTGGTTCGCTAGGTGGCTGTGCAAAGTATATTTGCATTGATGTAATCCGTCCGTACAAGGTAGAACCTTCGACATGCGCATCTCAGTTCTGCCGATTGTGAAATCCCACCCGCAACCTCTTCTCAAGCACATTTCTATCCCTGCCACATCCGCCTTCCATCCTTCCGTAACACAACCCAACCTCGATGGCAAAGAGCGAAAACTTCTCCCTCGCCTCAGTGAACGTTGGACGTCATGGGCATCAAAGAAATGGGACAATATGAGCCGAAAACCAGCAGAGAGCGTTTCCAAGAGAGTCTGGATATGGGGAGAGAAAGTGAAGGATTTTATTGATGCTGATGAATGGTTTCTGAAAGGAGTCCCGGGAGTTGACGAGATTGATTGGGACCAGCTTCAAGGCGTTACGGTTAGTGGTGTTCGGCTTTGCTTTGATTGGGATCGCTACAAGAAAGTTTAATGGTGGTTACCTGTCATGTAGGTGCCTGTTCACTACCCTAAATCCCTTTTACAGCCACAAGTAGTAGGAAACTTTAATGACCTCATCAATCGCCGCACCCCCCTCCATCACCGTGGCCTAACACTCTCGATTGTTTGTCTGCCATTCTCAATGATGTTTGTCGTCTTTCCCGGACCCAATGTTCCGCTTGCATGGAATCTGTTTCGTCTCTACTCAAACTGGCGAGCCCTCCAGGGTATTCGAACATTGAAGAGATTGCAGACCGAGGACCGAATCGTCTATGTACAAGATTCAGCGCTGGACAAATGTTTAGAGACGTGGGGAGACAAAGAAATTATGCCTAGAGAGGTGGTGGAGATGATTGTCGAGCGTCAAGCCGCAGACGACTCTCTGATACGGGAGTGGGAGAGGGCTGTGAAACAAGTCACCCGACGCATGGAAAAAGCTGAAAGAATAGAAAAGGAATCATGATTATTTAATTATCTTTAGAGAAGGGACAAAGAGAAATGCTGGCTGGAGAAAGTGCTGTGGATCCAAAGAGAGCCCTCCTGATCTATTGAAAAGATGATACATTCATGGCCAATATTCACTCAGCCTATGCGTTTAAGATACTGATTAGAGGATGCAGTCATTTCAATATCTTTCCTCGAATACTCCCTACTCCGAGGAGAGTCGTTATAGAATTGAAGCCCCAAAGGCTTTGAAAGTTGGGGTAAATAGGACTTGAACCTGTTCAAGCAAGATTCAAAGTGAGGCTTGCGGACGCGTCCAGTCGGGCGTTGGGAGGCAAGCAACGATCTAGGCAGTGAAATCAGCACGAATCTTTGGGAATGCCGCGACAGAGACCCACAACATACGACCCTCCCTCCAGTCTATCTGTCCTTGCTGCTATTGCATTCTAAAATGTTGGCCAATCCTGCCGTGGCCGCGCCATCGCAGGAACCGCTCAAGCAGCCGCCCGAGCCAACATCAATACCCGGGAGCAAAGTGTCCTCGCTCCGCGATCTCACACCTTCGTCGTGGTGGGAGCATCTCCGGATAGAGAAGGACAGGGGTGCAAATGCGAGAAATATGCTGAGGTTATACAAGGAGGCAACAAGCAGGTTGGGTAGGATTCTGCACAAAACAAGTGGAATAAGATACTTACTAGGATTGGTGGTCTGGTCAGTATACCGACGGACAAATATCGGAACGATCCATTTCTCCTAGAACTATGGCTGGATAATTTGCAGTTGCTACGGTACGGCCGTCAGCACTCATTTGTAGAGGACACCAAAAAGCGGATGCTTATGCTGGTCATTTGTAGAGCGTCCGGAGAAGACCATGGTGCAATAAGAGATCAATACAAGTTTTTGAAATCCTCAAGAATTGGCGCCGGAAATGCAAAGTTATACTTGGCTTGGGCCAATTTTGAGCGAGTCGCTGGTATGAAACGGTCGAATGAGGTCGAATGCCAAAGTCTCGTATTTGAAACGTGATATTGACCATGGTTGCGTTGATGAAAGGTTACATAGACCGTGCGAAAAATGTCCTTCTCACCGGCATCAGCCAAAACGCCTATCCGGTGGACGATTTACGGTCACTCCTCAGTAAGATCGTGAGTGAAAATGTTACGTCCGAAAGAGGCCCAGCACAGTTCGTGGGTGGCATGGTGGGTACCAGTGGAACAGGAACGGATAGAATCAACAAAGCTCCTGCCGCGAACAGCAAGAAAGTGCCCTTGGTGAGACAGACTAGACCTGCTGAAATTGTCTACCTTACTCACAGATAGCATACTTTGAAGGAACATATAATGGAAGCGCCCGTCAGCAGCAATTCGCTACCTGTTCCGGCAACCGCCAACAGCTCTTTCTCAGAGGACGCTAGTTTTGCAAGTCAACAATCTCTGTCAGAATCAGCTTCTTCTAGCACGTCACCGCCTGGACAAGGGTGAGAACGCGCAACATTGAGTGACCCGGACAAGTCTAAGTGCTTATCAATTTATGACAGTAGCCGACAGCAGAACCGAAAAGGGCTAACCAGAAGCAGAATCGGGAAACTAGGTAAGTCAGGAGCTTTCAACGTAGCGTCATATTTCATCCCGAGCATTTGTGCAAACTCTATCTTTGCCAGGCCCGCCAGCTCGCGTATCGGTACCGCAAGGAGTGGACGACAATCCCAATAGTGCAGCTCTGGAGGGCGCATCTGACGTTGAAGACGGTGCGACATCCCTTCCACATTTTTGCAACACAGCTTTTTTTCTGATCGTAAAGGCTCGTATTAGACATGTCGATGGATTCACAAGGGGAAGATGTTATCTCTAGTTCTCTGCAGACCTCTAAAGACACCTCGCCGCCTTCGCAACCCATGGGCTCTCATTTACCTAGTACGGCGCTGTCACTCCAAGAGCAACAAGGCGTAAGGATTGGTGGGGACAATCCAAGTTTTCGGCTCCATGTTTTATTGTTTTGTTGTTTTACAGAAGCCGATCGAGGTTCATAGGTCAAATGCCGATGTAACCAGTGCCCATTCTCGTACGATTGTACGGCCGCTGCAGGTATTGTACCACGAACCAATCCGATAGCGAGGACAGAGATGCTGAAGCCATTATCGAATCTTCAGAGTACTGCTACTGACCACGAACGAATGCCAGCAGCACCTTCAATATCAACACATTCAGCATCACACGTCACATTAACCCCAATGCCACTGCAAGCTCCTCCCGTTAACGTTTCGCGTCACACACAATTAGACGACGCCCTTGGTAGGCGAGGTTGGAGCGTATCCACGCCATCCCTCACTCAGCGCCCGCCTTTGCGCCGCACCGTTACAATTTCCGATCAACCGAGTGCAAATTCGAGCTCTGCATTCGCCTCATCAGGATGGCACGCGCCATCTAATCGAATAGACGCAATTCCCGCCTTGAATGCTGTGCATCTTTCAACACCCATCCCACCCACGTATGATCAAATACTTCAGATCACACCTACTATCGTCCCTACCAACAGCAGTGCAATGATGGATTGGCGCGTACCCGCGCAGAGTCAGCAGGCAGCAAAAGATAAGACAAGTATCATGGTAAGTGATCATGCCTCCTAAAAAAGACCAAGTGCTGTGCTAATAAGGCTTCGTAGGTCAATGGGGTGCTGTACAAAAAGTTGGGGCTCATTGGACGCGGGGGTAGTAGCAAGGTGTACAAAATCATGTCTGAAGATGGCAAATTGTTTGCCATGAAGAAAGTTAAACTAAAGGGACAAGAAGATAGTGCCATTGAAGGCTATCTAAACGAGATAGCGCTATTGAAACGATTGGATGGCAATGAAAGGATCATCCGTTTGGTCAATGCGGAGATCAATGAAGAGCAGGGGTACCTGTTAATGGTGCGTATGGTGATGTTAGTCAGCAACGTGCTGGCAAATGAGTAATTACATTGCCATAGGTCTTAGAGTACGGGGAGATTGATTTGGCCCATGTGCTGCAAAAGGAACAAGGGGTACCATTGAGTCTTAATTTCATTCGAATGTATTGGGAACAGGTTTGTGGTCCTTTTAGATTCGGTGATCTAAAGCAGCATTGAATAACCTCGTCCGTGGCGTTTGTAGATGTTGCGGGCGGTACACGCAATTCACGAGGAGAATATCATACACAGTGACCTCAAACCAGCGGTATGGCTATCTGGTGGCTCATCAGGGTAGAGGCCAGGACTCACATTAATGTTGCAGAATTTTCTCCTTGTCGGGGGCGCCTTGAAATTGATCGATTTTGGCATCGCAAAGTCAATTCCCAATGATACCACCAATATTCAGCGAGATCACCAAGTAAGCTCGGAGTTCTGATGATATATATGCTTTGGAACGTCGCTAATTATTCTGTATTTCAGACAGGTGCTTATGCTGTTTCATATTTTTGCTTGATGTATTTCAATTGACTTCTGACTTGGTTGATGTTAACAGGAACGATCAACTATATGGCACCCGAGGCTATTGCCTTTGTTGAAATGAGCGGCTCAAAGCGGCAATACCTAAAGGTATGAAAAACCGATCTAGCAGCGGCCACCATATAGATTTGCTTAAGAATGTTCACCCACCCAGCTCGGCCGCTCGAGCGATGTATGGTCTTTAGGCTGCATTCTTTACCAACTAGTTTATGGGCGTCCGCCGTTTGCGCACCTTCCCGTGATGAAAAAGTTACAATGCATTGTGGACCCATCCTACACTATCGAATACGGACCGATAGAAGACTCTAGTCTCCTAGAAGCTATACAGAGTTGTTTGCAAAGGGATCCCAGGAAGAGAATGACAATACCTGAGCTACTTGCACATCGATTCTTACACCCTGCGGGTACTACTAGTACTAGAGGTATTTTTTTTTTGTTTTTAAGGTTGTCGTGAGATACATGGTGACTGATGGCTGTTAAACGTAGGTCCATTAGCTGCAGTCCCACTCGATCGAACGTTAATAACGGATATCGTACAGCAAGTCCTTGCTTTCCGGGATATTGGAGGCTCAGTGTCAATAGAAGAGATGTCAAAGGTGAGCTTGACATATTTCCTTGAGCGGTAACGGGCTCCATGGTGATCCAGCTTGCCCTAGGTCATATATGAACAAATTTTAAAAGGAGAGAAAGTGAATCTTGGTTGTCTTCGATGATTTGCGGAGACGTGGATAGCTGTATCTTGTAGATAGAATGTCGTTTTGACCATAGTTGTCTGTTGTTTTTTTAAGTTATTTTACGATGCGTCTGGGAGCAGTCAGGCCAAAAAATCAACGAGCATCGAAGCGATGGTCTCTGCCAGGTTCGAACTGGCGACCTTCAGTGTGTTAGACTGATGTGATAACCAACTACACCAAGAGACCCTTCGTGTCCTGACTGCGAGCATTGAAGAATCCACCATGTATAATAAGGCCTGCTCTCCTTTGCTCGACTGTAACTTGCATTTTGTAGTTATTGGGAATGTTGTTAACAGGATATCTCAAAGACGAAATTGTAGGCCAGTCACAAATTCTTGTGCTGCATTTTAGACAAAGGAGAATGATGGAAATAAAGTTGCTTTCCAGCAAAGAGATATCCCCATCGATTCCTGCCCTTTGATGGATTGGGGGTCTTCATATTCATTGGAGGTTGTCCGAACGCCCTTTGTCTTGATTTGATCCACACAGCGTGTCAACCAGCACGTCGCGTTCTCAACATCTTGAAAGTCTCTTGAACAGGCATCAGATGTGAAAGGGCGCAACACAAAATAACTGCTGGCTCAATAGTGTCCTTCCCTTGTCCTCTTCATAGTAACTTATGTCAAATATGGGCGGTAGTGGGGAACCAAGCGGGCGGTCTGCACACGACAACGTCGACGGTGTAAGACATTTCCTCGTGAAGAACGCATGCCCAAGCGAAAGAATGACGAAGGACTGGCACCTCAGCAATCAGGAGGAGACTTGCTGGGTGTCAGCTCTTTGGGCTTTGATATTTTGTCAAAAGGCGCTCCAACAACCTTTAGTGTGAAAGAATGGAATACAGGGGGCGGTATGTAACTTGTCTTTTGAGGTGAACGAAAACTCCCACACTGACGACCATTTCATATCTTAGTAATGGGATCAACGATGACTCTCAATGAAGACACTGAAAGCGAAGGACCCTATGTTGGTCTCAGTGCGAAGCTCAGTCGAGCCTTTGTGACGCATATTGTGTTTGCCTTGGTCGTCGTTCTATACACCCTACTCATCCTAGCACAAACCGTGAAAGAAAAAGGCGAAGAGACCAAGCAGCGATTGCGTAGCGGATGTAACGGCATGGAAGTTGCAGCCACTGCCATGGCGTCGGTTCCACACTATGCCGCCGCAGGCTTCAATCAGGCGACCGTCGACTCGATAAATGCCATCACGTCAAGTACAGCAAAAATGCTTTCCGGTGCCGTGGCCATGCTGAACGAGTTGGTCCTTATGGTTTTGCAAAGTTATACGAATCTCCTGTTTTGTATCCTGGATGCGTTTGTCGGGCTGGCAGTCAACACGGTTGCAATGTACGCCGAACAGATCACCGATTTCCTAAACACTCAGTTAGCGGTTATTTCAAATGCTTTGGAAAAAAGTTTGGATGTTCTGAATGGGCAGTTGCAGAACTTTGTAGACCGGCTAGGCGATGCGATCAATACAATCGCAGATGTGTTTGGAGGGCATGTAGATGGAGGAGTTTTTCAGCCAGTAAGATTCCCGTCCGTTAGCAACAAACTCAATTTCCAAATTCCGGACGACTTTGTGAATACATTGAAAAACTTGTCGAATGAAGTACCATCATTTGAGGACTTGGGGGAACAACTCGCTACGCTCATATCCAAACCTTTCGGGCTATTAGAAGGGTTGATTGACGACCAATTGGGAGATTTGAAGGGTATTGCCAATGATGCGAAACTTGTTCCTATACCTGCAGTGGCAGGCCACGTCCAGTTCTGCGATGATGCAATGGATTACGGGTGGATCGATGAACTGGTGCATGCGCTAAATTTGGCCCTGCTTCTTGGCGCAGGGTTGGTGGCTGCCATAGCCTTCTTCTCCATTCTTGCAAACATGGTGACGGTCGTCTACGACCATTGGCAGTTTGAAAAAAGTGTGCGACTCTATGCAAAGATACTGCAAGATCATAAAGGAATCAATCAAACACCAGTTCTGGAAGGGCGGCCTGGGATCAGCACCACGAAAGATGAAAAGGCCGCTCTCCATGCAACGGCTCGAGATTTGATCCATGCAGCGGGTAGTCCGGCCAAGTATCGTTGGATGGACCGACTTACTAAATTTCTGTTTCGATCGGAAAGGAGCCGTGTTCGATTCCATTGGTTTGTCGATTACGTTTCACACAAACCGAGCTTATTGTGTGTCTGCGCAGGCCTTTTAGGGCTTGGTATGGTGCTGCTCCAAATGTGGATGATCGACATAGTTAAAGAGAAAACCGCTCAAGCCGTCAGCGAAGGAATTCACGCGTCCATGGATAAACTTGTACGAACTGTGGTTGCAGAAGTTTATGGCGTAGCACAACCCTATGTAGACGCAACAAACAATCAGATCGACTTGGTTGAGACTACCACAAATCGAGTGCTTTTTGGATGGATAGGCAACATCATAGATGCCATCAATAACACCATGTCCACGTTCGAACAAGGATTTAACAATGCCCTAAACTCAGCTTTTGGATCCGTTCCGCCACTCAAAACGGCGCTTGTTGCTTTTGCAAACTGTGTTGTGGGATCTAAAATCCGGACTCTTGAAGCGGTGTTCGAAGCTCTCACGACGAAATCCCACCTTACCCTTCCGAGGATTCACCTCAACATGATTGCCGGATTGGATGATGATGCTATCCGTCGGCAGCTGCAAACAGCGCAGAGTATCATGGACACCTCGCCTGCGGCTAATACTAATGCGACGATGGATGGGTCGACTGAGAACAGCAATGCGACTACCAATGGAACTCTTGTCAGACGTGTGCGACGGGATGACGCAAATTCAACCACTGTAAGTGACGATGAAGAGAGCATCTTCAAAAGGGAAGTTGAAGCTTTTCTTGAGTCATATCGCAACAGCCTTCGTCAGCAGATCCTTCCCTTTCTCGCAATATTCGGATTTGGGTCGCTGGTTTTCTTTATGGGCTTGATTCGAGTTTGTGTCTGGGTAATCGGTGACCATATTCGACATCGACGCGGTGCGCCGTTAGAAGCTTCAAAGGCCACCTCATCGCTAGCGCGTCCCGCGAACGCATACGCTGGACCCAGCGCACAGGGATGGTTCAGAAAACACAAATCCAGTATGCTCGACAGTAAAAAACGCCAGTCAGAAGAAATGCTGTGTTCAATGGCTGGCCCACATCCCCCAGGTATGGACGCAAGAGATACACTTCAGCCACAACCGGTGATTGGACAAGCATTAGGAAGCGCTTTGCTATTCCGATCCACGACCATCCAGTCGCCATCAGATTCCCCTGTTCTTACGCGCGAGCGGACGGTCCCAAAGGGACCTAGGCAGATGGGTGAAGCCCACGCTTTTGGATCGAGACCAAATGTGTCGCCGTCAGGCCCTCGTGAGATGCATCCTGGGACGCTGAAACCATCCGGATCTCAAGGAGCACTAAGTTCGTTTATCAAACCCTCCAAATTAACCAACCGACCTGTATCTGGAGTGTTTTCGGACTGGGAGGAGAAGCCTGTAGGGCGAGCTGCAACCGCACCAGCGTCGAAAGCTTCACGCGGTTCGGCAGCACACGACATTGAACACTTGGAAGATGACACGCCACGTCCAACAACGCACCCTTATAGTATCTGGAGCCGAAACTATCAATCACAGGCACCTGAAGGGTTTGATGATTGGAACGAAATATCAAATGAAGCAGCCAAAGCTGTCGCGATGTTGGCGGCCAAGGCGAAACACCATGGCGGGCGGCAGGCTTAAATATTTAGATCACGAGCTATTCACATGGAAGTAAATGTTCTGCCTAATGCGCTACCTGCATCTACAGATTCAGATTTTCTCGTTGGTTTTATATATACATGGACCACGCAGGTGCTAGCCTGAGATACTACCCTTCATGTTCCTAAGACATGAGACACGTCAGTTTGCATAAACCTTCTTCCACTGCCAATCGCTTCACATCCTAAATGTCAAGTTAGCGCGACCCCGCAACCAGGTCAACCCCAAACATTACTTACCATGGCTGCCTGCGGGACGATTCAAGTAGACAATGAATATGATTGCGAGATATCGGAAAATAAAGAAAGAGCTAGTAAATTCTTACCATCCATGATACATTCTGCTGAGGTTCCCTGGGTCGACTGCCGTTTGGATGAGCTCATTTATCTGGCACTCGACACTTACGCCCGATGAAAGCTTTTTTCGCACGACGAACAATGCTCGCTCCGCCTCCTTGTTCTGACCCCGGTCATCCCCTATGACCGTCCCATCTCTCCCAGGAATGTCTATGGCTACTTGCTCCTCGGGCGCGCCTTGTCGCCTACGCTGTTCCAATGGTGTCACTTTCCTATGAATGAAAAACCGTAAGACAAGGAGGAAGGGGATGCAATAAGTACAACCTCCGCACCAGTTATACAGGGGGTCATAGCGGAACACATCCAGAATAGTTAACAGAATTTCGGAATCATTACGAAGAACCTTCATGGTTTCCTCGCAACAGCGTCTGAATGCGCCTTCCACACCTGTGATCCCCATCCCATCCACTACAAGAGGCCAGAATGGTTTCAGCGGCTGGTAGGAGCTAATGAGATCATCAAATCGCAGACAGCTCACCAATATCCCGGGTCAGCCTAAAGGGAACGAGTTCCGGAACCGCAAGGATTCGGCCCTGATCAAAGGCAATGCCCAAATCGATGTGCACGACTTCAGCTGTCCCTTTGTCGATCAGAATATTCTGAGCGTGTCGATCCCCCAGTCCTACCACATAGCCGGCCATTGAACTCGCGGCAACACTTCGAGTATATGTCAGACGCCGTTCAAACCTGCCACGTAAATTGAATTAGAATGACCAGAAGATGTATGAATGCTAGGCACATAATGTTACCAATCCAATGGGTCAGGAAACGTTTCAAAAAAGAAATGTCTGAAGACAGGATGGAAATTGCCTTCGATTTGTCGATACAGGGTAATCTTCGTCTGAAGGTTACCCTTTTTGTGTTCCTCGTTCATGCGCGCACGACATTCTGACGGCCGCCAGTCTTTTGGATTGTAGCTTCATAAAAGAATCCCAATGTCAGACTCAGACAATCACATCGAGCACTTGTTTCCCTAGGTCAGTCATACCTCACATGAGCCTTGCTTAGGTACTCTCCAATGGGTAGTGTATTATGGACCCATTCAACAAGCCCAGCGCGCGGGGCTAACGGAACCACTTTGTATGTTCTTATCGTCAGATTTCTTTTTCTGGTTTCCAAATTCTTATTCAAAAGAACATTCATGATAGTGAAGATCTTTGATAGCACCGCTGTAAAATAAGGTGAGTAAGGATTCGCCACAATCCCCAGAGTTGAGCTGTCGCATACCATCCTGTCGGAGATCATCTAATGCAAATAATTACTATACAGGGTGGCATTCGAAACTCCTTCAACCAGAACAGGACGTACCATTTCCCTTGACCAATTGCGTATAGATGTTCCCATCAGTCCCAACACAATCAACTCGCTTTGGCATATTGATTCCACCGGGAACTGCAAAATTCCCTTTGAAACCCTGAATCCGCGGCAAATCATCATAGCGGCAACTCCGGTTGACGGGATGCTCAACCGTAGCAATGGGAACATCAAGACCGTATTTTGCAATGCCTGCAATCTTTGATCTCTTGTCTAACGGAAGGACGCGTGATTCCTTCAACATTGCTGTTGAAATAACTCGCCACGCCAACTCAATGTACGCATCGCATAACCGGTCAACCCGAGTCACCAGGTCACCCAGTGCTTCCGGAGCGCTTAGTTTCTGTAAAAGCCCTTTGGCCGCTGTAACAGTCGGTGTTGATTCAGGTGTACGCTGTCTCGATGACGAAGGAGAACCATACTGATTCCCGTTCTTCAGGGCAATGATTTGATATAACGTGTGGTGAGGATGGTCCTTGGTCATTTTGTATATCAATCGTTGGAGCACCGACTGGAACTGCGCCTCTTGCGCGGGCGGCCTAGATGTAAGCCGGGCTGATAGCTGATACATGAGCACCAAAAATTTCCAGGACTGGATCCGCTCAATGTACCCCAGCATCTGGGCGTTGATTTGATTCCGCTCAACATTAGCAAACCACAATGTGCATAGCCTAAAGACGCACATTTCCGAGTGGGTGTGGCCGTACTCTAAACTTTGCAAATAGTTCTCCACGCTCTTCTCCAAGAAGGTATTTCTGTCGTCCATGTAGCGGCCTTCTTCAGCCATGTCAAGCTTGATCTGTGAAAGCATCTTCTCACGTATGTGCGCATATCGTTTTGCCGCATTAGCATCCCGTCCAGCATATTGCTTGGACAAATCCTCACATGCATTAGCTTCACTCTGCTTGTAGCGAACATGCTCTCGTATCTGCTCTCGTGGGTCGTTCACAAGTAACTCTTGATACTGCCCGTCTGCGAATTTTGCGAGATGGTAGTGTGCCTTGGCCCGCAGTTTGCCGTAGTTTGTTAGAGCACTGGCTTGCACTGCCGGTTCAAAATAATCCTTTAATATGGTTGTTGGCGGCTCAAATCGTGTTTCGGCGACCCATTGTCCTAATTGATACAAGAGTTCCGCCTCAATGTCTCTACTCAAGCTAACACCTGTCGTTCGGGCTTGGTCGTTCGCGTGCAATTGTAGAAAGTGCTTCAACGATCGAGTGGCAACCGTACGATCATCTTGAGCCCATAAACTCTTAAGACCCTCTAGCTTCATCAGTGCCTGTAATTTGTCCGTTGGTAAGAGCAGCTGGTTACCAATCGCATTAGCTACGACGGCGCTGAGCCTTGCGTGGGCAGCGTTTGCAATCTGTAGGTTTCCTGCCTTTCGTGCAAGCTCCGCATACCCTAAGAAATGTTCACAAAGAGCCCTAGTAGCACCGATCGAAAACACGTCATCGCTTCGTTTGTGAGTGCAATACTGAGAAACGAGGACAGAAAGAGTGGAAGTGCGGCTGGCGAGGACAGGTTCCAATTCTGGAAAGCTTTGCCGGTCTGAGAGGATAACTATGCGCAATTTCCACCGCTGCATAAGCGATTGTAAGGCTTCTATGTTCACCGCCTTCGCCACACTAGCCAGCTCATCAAGCTCAGTAAACATTAGCAAAGGGCGAATCACCGGAAAAGGATTGAGTGTTCCACGTAAACTGTGTCCGCGGACAACATCTCCCATTCTTCTGAGCGCGGAAGAAAGGAAAGACGATAAACCATTAAGGTCTCGATCATTGAATGCTTTCATGCAATTGTACAGGTGTTCTTGAGATTGCGGATGACCTATGTGAACATGGGTTATATATGTGGTCAGACCTCCATGCATGTCCAGCTCCCTTACCGGAACGAGCTCTATCAGTGGGCATTTCCCAACGTGCAGTTCGCCACAGGCTTTCATAATGTAATTCGCGCATTTGCTGGTCCATTGGTGTCCCCTGCTGCTGATTACTGTATCCTCGAATGTATGTGTCTAGCACATGGTGGAAGCCTAAACTGCCTAACGATTTCATCAATCCAATCTCAATACTGAGATTATCTTTCTTCGCATTGACAATATGTCCAACTTGAAGCTGAGTCTCTCGAAAGCTAAAAAGCTTCTGCCATGCCCGATCATGTTCATACTTTTGAACGAGCGATGATGGATCATCCAGCATCGTTTCCGACCCGATAGACGTCATCACGCCTTCGAAACCATCAGAATCCCCAATGGCTTGATAGACATCAAGCAGGAGCCTAGCGAGTGACTGTGTGTCACACTGATTCGTTTGGTTAATGGGCAGCGCTGGGGCCCATAATCTCTTGTTCTTCTCCTGTGATATTTCTAGAAACAGAAGCGCGGTTGCAAAGGATCGAGTTTTCGCGGCAGCTTGCGCTACGCAGAGGAAATCCAGGTCCAGCCAAGCGTTGTTATCAAACGGTGTAGCGCTACACGGGTGAGGTTGGGTTCTGAGGAACTAGAGGAAGTTCATGAGTGACCAAATTACTCGCTGCAATTTGTTTTGACAATGTTTCCCCCTCACCTCAATAACATTTAACAGTGACGAAAGAATGCGTGAATCTAATTTTTGATTCTGTTCCATGATGGCCTTCACCTTTTCGGACAGTAGCGTTCTCAACGACATGGGCAGCTTTCTTTTGGTCGATCCCTTGATTGTTTCCGCCTCAAACAACAATGCGCTATGAATTAGGTAAGGGAGCATCATGTCCGCAAAGGCCGGTCGAAATTCAAAGCATAGTCCGAGATTTGGATAGAACTCATCCGTTGGATATGAGGCTATCAAGCTGTTGGCCAACGTAACCGTCCAGTCGTCGAAGGTCTGAATATGAGCGTTCGGGTGCATGGATGTGTCGGATGTCGGCAAGCTGACGTCTAAATCCTCAAGCGGAGGATATGCGCGTTGAGTTGCCAAAACTTTGGTCTTCGGTGCGATCTTCCCCCGAAATATATTAATGTATTTGGACACATCGAGCTCAAGACTTTCAAAAGCATAGTTTCCAGCGTCACACGATAGCAGCTGTCTGAGCGTTCGAACTACAATGCTGACTTGCTTCACGTCGGAGTCCATTAAGTGTTTTTGGAGGTAACTGAGAGCCACGCGGTGTCCGGGAGAGCCAACAGCAAGTTTGCGAGTTACAGGTCCTGTGTTTCCAAGATGTCGCGAGATGGAATAATCGTACTTAACCGCGCGGTGGGTTACCACCGGCGACAGCCTTCCCAGACATTTAACGATCTCTTCCGTTAAAACGTCATCGCATTGCGTGCTATGCAGCATTGCTTGCAAATGCGCTATAACTACACTCACCGTATCTTCGGATATGCGTAATCTGTTAACCAGATCTGTACTCTCCAGCGCACGTCGGAGGTATCTAACTCTGGCAAGCTGCGCCGATGCCGTTGCATCCCCTAACGCCACTAAACTTAACACCAACTGGGGATCTCCATCACATTTCGTCGCCCCATGTCTGTCTCGCAGACCCTCGAACAAGGACAGATTGGAATCAAGCTGGAGTATGGAGAGCGTGACGATTCTTTGATCAACTTTCCAGCAAAGGTCCAAAATACTGTCAAGTAGGGTCTTCACCCTGAGAGCTGCTTCCTGGGTGTTCGAAGCCAGATAGGTGGATATTTGCTCGGCCAAAGCTGGAGCGATCGAAGTTAGGGTCGAACCGATAACAGATTGATCATTCGCTACCGCAAAAGAATAAAGATATTCCAAAATAACGCAACACACTGAGGACATTTCTGGGTACTTCATATTTTGAAGTAGCGTCTGGAGCACTGTTTCAAAAAGAAACGGGTGCATCAATGCCGGAGCAGAGATCGCGACTACAAGACGATACCCATTCGAAATCAATCGGTGCTTGTCATGGACAAAAACCATCTGATCTAAAGACTCGTGCAAGTCCTGCAAGACTCTCTGTAGGCGACCCGGCTTGAAGAACTCATGAAGCGCACTTGTACAATCTCCAGTGGTGGCGCGTTGATCCTCTTGATACAAAGTTTGCAAATATTCAAGTGATTGAATGATGGTACGACTGTCGAATGAGGGCAGATACTGATGTTTCCATAGGCATGAGTGATGTGCAGCGCTGCCGGTAGCTGGGACAGACATTCTTTGGAGAGCTTCACTTAGAATGGAGTACTCTGAATCATCGATACATGTTGCCATGGCTTTCGAGTCGAAGACAGACTTTAACAAATTCGCAATAATTCGCGGAGTTCTTTTCGTCAGTTCAATGTTAAACATTTCGTCACCCATCAAGTCTTTCATAAAGCGAATTGCGGCTTCTGCTGTCCTCGCTTTCGCAGATTGCCCGATTCTTCCCTTGAGCAAGCCCCCATCAATCAGTCGGGGTAGTAAATAAGCCTGAATAAGAAGTGATTAATGCTACATCAAAGTAATCCTTAGCCAGCATGGTATCTTACCATTGACCATGGCAAGGCCCTTTTCAAGATTCGAAGTGCGTCACCCCCACTTTCTTTAATAAGCGTTCTTACAGAATCGAAATCACTGGAGAGCAGCAACTTGGGCACAATATGTTCCGCATACGCAATGAAGAAATCGCTCGCCGAATGAATCGTCAACAGTCCAAAGGGGAATTTGCCGATGTCGTCATCCCAGGCCCACAGCACATGTGGCAACAGTTCCGACAAAAGGTGCGTTCCGTCCTTCAGGCTCAACCGATGTGCTACAACTTCTATAATGGCCTCCACCATGTGCTGTGCATCGTCTTCTTTGCTCATATGGAGCAAGGAGAGCAATACGCTGGCGCGCTCTTGCTCAGTCACCAAGAACACCTCCCCGAGAGTGAGAATGTTACTCAAGAGATGCAGATATCCAAAGCAATTCTTGGCTAGGGTATCGTGAATGTCATTAAAAATGTTTGAATGGTCCTCTGGGTCGAAAATGCCAAAGATCTTTGGCACATCGTGGCCCATACGGATTCGAACAATGAATTCTTCATGCGTCAAGAGTCCGAGGACAATGACCAAGGCTGAGTCCTTGCTGTCGGATCCGAGACATCGCCTAAAATACCCCTGAAAGGAAACTACGTTGTTGATCCCGAAAGCCTTGTCATCAAATATAAGCAAGCAGTTACCTGACCAGGATCGAGTAACAGGTACCTGAGAAGTAATTGCCCTAACTCTAAACACACGCGCCAGCAAACTGTGTTGCCAGATACCTTCTTCATAAAATACGCAAGGAAACTACCAACTTGATCGGTAAGGTCCGCCTCCTCCGTGGCTTTTACCAACGCGGGCAGTAGGGACTTTAAACTTCGTATGATATAGATCCAGACCCACTGGTTCCTCTCGCTATCATAAGTTGATAAAAGGTCAGCACTCCTCTCGATAACAATTCGACATTGATCTGTATGGTGTGGAAATCAGTATCCTTACGGCTGACTTGCATCTTATAAACCATCACTCACCTGTCGTCAGATGGATGGCAGATGCGCACTCCAGAAAATCGACGATCTCGAAACCTAAATGAAACAAGTCAACCGTGTCTGTCGGGATTGCGGTCGCCACTGTATTTTCAATCATATTCCGCAATGAACCCAATTCTGCAGATGCTGCTTGGCCCCAATTCATACTATACAGAAGTCGCATGGCCCGCAACATGAGTGAGTCTCTTTCTATAACCGTCCCAACAGGTGTCGATGATGTCCCATAAAAGTACTCCATCTGTAACGAGGTGATTACAGCGCCGCTCCCTCCACCGACAGTTGTGTCTGGGCTATCAAATTCATCGAACGCCGCTGTAGATGATTTTGTGGTTTGATTGTTTGCAACACCTCTTCGTTTGACGTCAGCATGAAACATCGCTTGCATGACAGCCATGAGGGCAATACCAGTATCAACTGGCATTGGCCAAAGAGGATACCAATGCGTTTCTGCCGGCCGTGTAGATACAGACGTGGGAGCAACACAGTCTCCCTCCATGCAGTCATGGCACTCAGTCAGTATCTGCACTAGCCGTTCAAGAATGCCTACAAAGCTATCGCACCCATTAAGCTGGCGGAGACCTTCATTTAGCCTAGCAGCTATGGCTGACAACAGCAATGCGAGGTTTGACTCGTTAACATGACGTCTCGCCGTGTCGCCGGTGTACGACATTCGACGCGAAACGAAAATAGTAGTGGACAAGGCATCCAATGATTGTCTAACGATTCGCCCCAGTGTATCGCTTTGCTCAGCACTTGGCTTGACTTTTGATATTTCAATCCTGTCCCAACAACTGAGTAGATTCTGCAAATGCTCCTCCAATCCCTTCAAGACGCAGATGCCCTGGTGCGCCAACCCTGTCCTATCCTTTGGCAGTGGCACTCGCACCTGCGATTTCAATTTGGACAAATGCTCAAAGTCCTCATTAACAATGTCTTTCCATAGTATCTTCACCAATGACAATCGCCACTCTGACAAGTGCTCTTCTCCTCCGCAAATACGTACTGGTACGGCGTCGACAGCATCGAATGTTCGCTCATAGCCCGTTGATGGCACCCCACATAAGGATAGCAGTAACGAAGCCAATATTCGGGGTGTAATCAACTGGTTCCTTGATAGATTATTCGTGTTTGATGAAGCATTTGAAGGTGCCAAAACCCATGACGCCACTTCCTGTATGGGAAATGCCTGATCGCCGGAAGCAGCATCTCCAGCTGCTGTAGTCCACTCGATGTACCGCAGCAGGAAATGAAGAGAGCCAGGTGATGGTACCAGGACACCATCGCGCATAGCCCTCAAGATCTCCGCCTTCGCTCCGACGATGATCTCTTCCGATATCAATTGTTTTTCAGTGATAACTTCCATTGCGTAAAATGCAGCCTCGGCTGCGGGTGTATCCGTGACCATGAGTCGCACAGAGGTATTCCACGCTATTTCCCAACCCGTGAATGGAAATGTTCTCGAGTCAGCGGACATTCCATATATCCCAAGGCATATCAATGCCCATCCTTGCAAATCAATGTCGGCACCGGCAGCAATGCTGCTCAAGCTGGCAGTCACATTGGACAGTTTTTCTGATACGTGGGACCCATGTTTGACGAGCAGCAGTGTCACAGCTTGCAATAGGGCAATCTTCTCATCCTTACTCGCAGCCTTCAGCGCCAGTATGCGTGTGATATCAGCTACGACATCGCTTCTCTTTGTTTTCTTCCGTTTGCTCAACGTGTCGGAGACATCATCCTGAGCCGGCGTGATATCATGACCGTGGGTTTGGTCCTTCTCAGGTTTCGCCTCCAGTGCAAGTACATGGAAGAAGACGTCCGAGCACAGGTCCAGAAAAGCAAAAGTCATCATATCTTTGGGTGAAATGTGATTATATACGAGCAAGTCTTCTTTCGTGATAGGGACCAAAAAATCTGGCTGCCGTTTTCTGATTGCCCAAACAAAGAGAGCTATACTCGAGAGTGGACCAAAGCCGAACTTGCTGCTCATTTCGCGCTGAACGCATTCATAAATTTGCGAGCAGTTAGTCTGCCAGTCCGGAGCCGGATTCGTGGTAGACGCGACATGGAGATAGAACCGCATAATACACAATAATTGATAACGGAATGTGTGGTTTGAGCGACTTTCCCATAGGGGTAACAGATGTGGTATGGCTGTTGACAGAAAGTCCTCTACCGCTTGCATATTCTGGTGAGCTGTTTCGAAAAGCAAGTGGTTCGTTGCTGTCAGCAGGGGAGTATGGCAAGGTGTCTCGTGTAAATGGCGCGCAAAGTAGCAACCAAAAAACTCCAAAAAGGAGTCGGCACAGGAGCCCAAATCTTTTGGACATCCGATTACCAGCAGAGCCATTATTCGGGCAAGCTCGATACTATCGGCCGATGTTGACCGCCTCGAGCTACGAAAGTTAGGCAAGGACGTAGGTGAAGGTGTCTCAACGGATTCGAATCCAGATGAACTATCGCCGTCCTCATCCTCAGCATTCAGTCCGTTCATGCAAAGATTCGTAAGAGCGTCCCAGCCATTCAACGGAATATGATCCCTGTACGAGCGGCACGAGAGCATCTGCCGGAGAGCTCTAGTGTATGACACTGCGAGAGGTTTAAAGAGGCCATGACGGTATGGTAGCACTGCAAGAATATGCTCCAGAATTGGTCTAACCAAAGCGCATTTCAGAGATCTATGGGCACGCTCACAAAGCCAGCGAAAATCTTGACCAAGCTCGCTCAATGCTTTTTGGGCCCTCGCAGCGGCGTTTTGACTGCTGGCCTTGGATGTGCCCGAGGATTTCGTTAAGAAGAGCGCCTTCTGCTTCTCTACGCATCTTCATGCAAACATTACGACGAAAATACAGATCGCTGTGGATTATATGGAAAACTTACCTACAGAAACTTTCAAAAATTGTCTTCCAGGTGCCTTCATCGACGTCCAACACGTTACGATCATCTGATAGCAGAGTTTTTAGGGTCGCAAGGCCGGAGTCTCGGTCCTAAACAATGTTAGGGAAACATTTATAGCTTAAATGTCGAAAGCGGTTTACCTCACCTTTGCTTTCTCGGAATCAATCTTCGACAAGGCATTCCTTAAGGTAAACTCTATTGTCATTTTACCCCCAAGCCCTCATGGCTTGCCGGATTCCGCATGGCAAATCGACGACGAACGAGCGCTGGTTGAGGGAGGATCTCGCAGGTGGCACAGCTGTGATGAGTCACGGCTCCAGGATGCAAGCAACACAAGCAACCCTTTGGATAAGTTGGAGATCCACAGATTGGCCAAACGGTTGGGTGCCAGGAAATAAGAGCTTAAGATGTCCCGGCATAGGAACATTAGGAATATAAATCTTGATGGTATCTTACCCTATGCGCAGAGATTCACTTTCGAGCGGTTTTCTTAATTCCGTTCATTCTCTCAGATGAATTAGACGAAGACTATGACGATGACGACTACTACGATGAGGAGGAATATGACGGTATGGGGGATGACGGTGCTATTCTAAAATGGCTGCTGTATGGGCATGGGATACGACAGTGTAATGACTTTTATCCCTACTGCAGGCGATTACACATACGAAGCCCAGGGGGGACACACAGTGGCATCATTTATAGATACAGAACAGAAGCCTGTTACAGAAACCCGAGGTGCCATTAACCTTGTCGAAGAAGTGAGAAACATTGTCGGTGATGATTTTCCAACCGAACAAATATCGGATGTATTGCAAGACAGCGGCAATGATATTGAGCGTGCTGTGAATTTACTATACGGTAACGGATAATGCAACGCTTATAGTACGTAAACTTTTGATACAGAACTCTGATTCTATTAACGCATATTAGACCAAGGTCCGCGGATCGCTCCTCCTCCTGGTTTCCCAGTAGCCCCACCGCCAGGATTTGCATTGAAATCGGATTCACGACAACCAGCATCGCGTATTGCAGGTAAGCACTTCAGGACTTTTAACAGTACGTGCGAAGGTGTGGGTGAAGGGTGCGTCTGCGTCTTGGTGATTACTGTCGAAGCATCCGGGGTATGCACAGTACGCCAATGCTTGCATCACACGAGTTGTTTTCAAGGATCTGGCGGTGACATCTGGAATTCCGTCCAGGTCTAAAATCCGACAAGACCTTAACGATCATTCAAGCTGAGGAAGATGGTGTCGCCTTCCGCACTGCCTATCCTGTAACGGTGGAGATTTCGAAACTCCCATTGAAGGATACCGGAACGAACTCCCAAAAACGTCAGTTGGTGGATGGGATCGAGTCGATGGAGAGTGATAGCGGAAAAACGATTGATGTTGAAACCAGCCGTAGCCCACGCCAAGTGGAGCAAGCATCCACGACAGTTCCCGATATTAAGGAACAGGCTGGTCAGACAACCCACTCACCGACGGACAGCTTTAGGCTCATCGACGCGCGTTCCTCAGCAAAACACGATGCCGTTTCGGCGACCAGTTCAGCTAATTCTATGTACGGCAGCTTGCCTGCACCAAGCTCTCTGGGCAGCAGTTTGCTATCGTCCCTGCCTGCGTCTGGACAGTCACTTGCGCCTTTTGCGTTTCCTCAAGGATTGGCAGGTGCCCCACCATCTGAACAGCGAGCTAAAGAAACAGCCGTATCATCGCTGTCACAAGCACAGCCGTTGTCATCACTCCTCCTCCAAAGTCCATCTTCGAACCTCTCTCAGACCAATTCGCTGTTCCCGCTGCAGCCACAAGGCACCCTCTTGTCATCACTTCATCAATCTACTTCTTCTCTAACAAAGAGCGGGGATGCAATTGGAGTGCTTGGCAACAGTTTAGCACCAGAGAATGCCGTCAAATCTGTCCCCTTTCCCGTTCCGGCAGTCCCACAATCGCAATCGCTATCGTCGCTGTTGAGCAATACTCGTTCACCTTCTGGGGCCCTTCCGCTATCTTCACTGGCCTCGGTCTCATTGGGAAATACTATGGCGGCGACACCGCTGTCTTTAAGCAATCTTTCATCACTCTCGGGTACATCTGGGTTACTGGGAGCCACTCAGAAATCATCCATCAATGACGCCCCAGGTCTGAGTCAATTGGCATCAAATTCCGCAAACATCATGAGCGGCACAGATGCCATTCGATCGGCGCTGGCGGCATTTTCGCTTCAGAGTGCGGGAAACGCTTCTGAGGGGTCTCTTGGAACTGTTCCAGCTGCGTCAACAAAGGAGCCCTTGTCCGTTTTCCCAACACCATTTAAAACCCTCCCAAACTCAGGAATTGGAAAACCGGATGCCGAAACGTCAATTCCCTTCAGCACGCCAAAGTCACAACCCGTCAGGCTGCCAACCACTATTCCGCTCCGCTCTTCCAAACCTCGACATCATAGCGACGCAAATGACGACCCACTCGTTGCAGCACCCTCGACCTTTGCTCAGTTTTTTACACACCACGAGAATGGAGACAAAACAAGTGCCATCTCTAATGATTTTCTGTCGTCCCCTTTTGTACCAGCAGACGACGTGGCGCCTTTTGCATTTGACGCACCAAGTCCGGACGATGTGGTCAATCAAGCAAGATCAAAAATAGGACCTTGTAAGTAGTTTGCGATGATGAAGTATCCGCACTGCACTCGCAATCTCTAATAGGCATGGACAATAAACGTACAGCTGGCAAATCTGCCAAGTTGCCCTCATCAAAACCCACACCTCAAATACGAAAGAAGCAAGAACCCATTCCAGAGCCAATGGATCAGCTTCAGATGGATCTCTCTGGATTGAACCTTGCACCCCCAAAATCGGCAACACTGGCACCACCACCAGCAATGGCAAGAACAGTTTCCGCCTCGAGTTCAAACTCGTCATTAGCGCCTCCTGCGATGGCTAGAACGGGGTCGTCCTCAAGTACCGGACGAAGCTCCCCGAAGCTCAAGCGCATCAACGTGGCTGAGGAGTACAAGAAGCGCAATGCGGAGAAGGAATCTTTAAATTTAGTTGTCGTAGGTAGGATATCCTTTTTCCTCTCACATATCATACCGCTGCTTGAACCTTGCCTATTGAGTAACTCGCTGTATCGCAGGACATGTGGATGCGGGTAAGAGTACTCTAATGGGGCACGTACTATATCTCCTCGGCGAAGTGAATGAGCGAACAATGAAAAAGTATGAGCGTGACGCGGAGAAGATGAAAAAGTCCTCTTTCGCATACGCTTGGGTTCTTGATGAAACTGAAGAGGAGCGGACACGGTGGGTAGTTAGTGGACCAATGTTATAGATTCGGGGTTCAGCTAACTATGTCTTCGCACTTGACGCTAGGGGTGTCACCATTGATGTAGCAATTACCAAGTTCCACACACCTCACCGAAAGTTCACTCTACTTGATGCACCTGGACACAGGGATTTTATCCCAAATATGATGTCTGGAGCTGCCCAGGTACGTGCTGGTAGCATAACCAATGGTTCATGCACCTCAACTAAAATACACGTTGTCAAAGGCTGATGTAGCGATCCTGGTAGTCGATGCTACACCCGGTGAATTTGAAACTGGGTTTGATTCTGGTGGACAAACAAGAGAGCACGCAGTTTTACTCAGAAGTCTGGGTGTTACGCAACTCATTGTGGCTGTTAATAAGCTGGACGTGGTGAGTTTGTTCTTTCCTTATTACCTACAGCACGAGGGAGTTGTTTTGACCAAAGGCGGGTATTTATGCAAAGGTTGATTGGTCAAAGACCCGCTTTGACGAAATTTCAGAAAAGCTTTCCCATTTCCTTTCACAAGTCGGATTTCGAAAGCAAAAGGTCGCGTTTATCCCAACCAGTGGATATACCGGAGAAAACTTGGTAAAACGGGAGAGCGATAAATTGAATGCTTGGTACAGTGGATCAACACTGGTGGAACAAATCGGTACGTGCTCAATGGGGACTTGATAATATGCTTTGACTTTAATCTGTGTCGCGATCCAGATGCATTTGAGGCACCCCAACGGGCTGTAGATAAACCCTTTCGCCTGTCGATTGCGGATTATTTTAAGGGTGGTATCGGCGCAGGCGGCGGAGGAGCTGTATCAGTCAGTGGGAGAATAGAAGCAGGGGGTATACAGGTTGGAGAAGTTGTTCTTGTAATGCCGATCAACGAGTACGGGACCGTACGAGGTGGGTGAGAATTTGGCATGTTGCTGTTTCACGCTTGATCTAATGTTCATCCCTAACAGCGCTAGAAGTGAGCGAAGAAGCGGTCAAATGGGCTGCTGCGGGCGATAGCGTCCTCATGAGTCTAACGGGTGTGGAGATTGCCCATATAAAGTGAGTCGTACACATAGTCTTACAGATGAACCGCATTTCTGACCATGTAATTCAAAGTGTGGGGAGCATTCTGTGCGATCCCTCTGCGCCGGTAGCGGTTACATCGCACTTTCGAGCACAGATTGTTACCTTTGATATCCAGATTCCACTCACCATTGGCGTCCCGGTATATAAACCTGTAAACTATTATGTTACCGCACTAGAACTAACCCAATGACCGTCGGCAGGTGGTACTCCATCACCAATCCCTTACCGAACAATCAACCATTACAAAACTGTCAGCCTTGCTGAACAAAAGTACTGGCGAAACCATCAAAAAGAATCCTAGGGCGTTACCGAAAAACGTTACGGCTGTTGTAGAAATCAAGACATCGCGGCCGATTTGTTTGGAGACGTTCAAAGATAGTAAGGAATTGGGACGGTTCATGTTGAGGGCTGGGCCTGTTACTGTTGCGGCGGGAATAGGTAAGCAGAGATTGGTTTGAGTACGGTTAGTTTTTCTTGGTTGGTCCTAACTCGCCCTACGTTGTAGTTTTGGAGATATTATCGTTCGAAAGAGGACTCCCAGTTGAGCGCACATAGCGAGTCCTGTAATACATGATAATGGGTGGAATGTGCTGCCTTCTTATGAATTGCGGCATGCATTTTTTTTACAGAGCTGTTCAACAGAAGATGCCAAAGCAGCACATGGATGACAATAGATAAACCCTTTGTATATTCAAGACAGGCCAAAAAACAAGAGCACCCATCCCAAAAAACCTAGTGTAGTACCAAATTAGGAAAACTTCCAGGCACCATTCTTTTTCAAACCGGGCATCATCCCGCCTCTAAATGTCATCATTTGACTCGCCATCGACGGACTTCCCAACGCGGCTCCCGGCGTCCCCAAGACAGATGTTGTTGCCACGTGGGGAGATGGGTACCCAGGGGTCATGGACATGGGAAGAGACGTATTCAACGTAGCCAAAGATGAGAGATTCAATCCAGCCAAACTCGAATATGGCATACCCAAAGTGGACAAACTTGACGTGGGAAGGCTGGTCAGGGGCGTCGTACCGACCAATCCACCTGGTGTTGAGACTCCCATGCCCGCAAATGTCGACGGTGTGCCAGTCGAAGTGCCAAGTTTTAGGTTTTGAAGGTACGGGTTGGAACTAAGGGGTGGCAATGGAGTGCCAAGCGGCGGTAAACTAGTTTCCAACGATGTCATCATGACTGAGGATGTAGCGACACCTGGACCGGAACTCGGCCCACCAAAACTAGTGGGTAGCACCTTGGATCGCGGGGGCACATAATCTTTTGCAGCCGCATGCGGTGGGATAGTACCTGCGTTAGTGGGGAACGCGGTTCTGCCGCCCAGATTGGACGGGTAAATGTACTGTTTGCGCGGTGGGAGGGTGCCCTTGAATGCTGGGTCATATTTGCGGAGACGGGACATGTACGAGGAGATGAGTGACTTGGGGAGGAGGTGGGCTGGGAGGGAGAGGGAGGCGAGGTGATGGAGATTCCAGAAAAGCCGTTTGGCTGAGCAACAAAAGAAGAAAAAGGGCATAAATTGTCCAGTCGGCAGCGCTGCATAAAAGAATGGCAGTTTTTGGCCACATACCTATACTCAGTTCCTCCGTTGAAATCTCTCCACTCCCTTCCTCAAACCGTTCTTCCTGCATCGCTTCCAATTCGGCCAAAAGGTCCTTATTTAATGCCAAAATATCCTCCAGCGACATCTTGTCCAACCCCTTCTCCTGATCTCCTTGATCTGATTCTCCCTCCTGAGCTTCCTTTAACAAATCCTGAACAGACAAAACAGCCTCGAGATCTACGCCTTCATCTTCAAGTATCCGTTTGCCTTCCGCATCCAATCGAGCTTGATCAACCAGTTTTTCTATGCCTTCGAGATTATCAACGCGAACTTCCACTGTCGAGCCCGTCCCATCCCCATTTGTCGCCTCCAACTCATCTCCTCTATATATCCGCGCTACCTCTGGTACAGGTGGCTCGTTCGCATCGCCTTCGGGTTCCAGTATAACAACTTGACCCGGCTTTAGGTATTTCACGGACTCGGCTTGGGACAGCGTGGCTTTGGATGTGTCGACCATGGGAGCAAAAGTGTAATACGGACCGTATTCCACAAATTCAACTAAACAGGTAATTGTCAAAACTTGCTGTCAAAAGAGATATTACTTTGGGATCGACGCAAACCTGGCGCAGGCTCATTCCGTTTGTGCCGGCTTTTGGACAGGGTCCGCCCAGCAATCAAAGAAGGGTGCACCAACGACTTTAACGGAGGTACTTGTGTTTGATCTTCAGAGTACGAGGGTATGATATTGACTTTGCCAACATCCTCAACTGGCGGGTACAAGTTAGCCGCGTTCCAGAAAAGTGGCTTCTCAGAGCTTGCACCTACCCAGTTGTATATCGTCCAATGGCTTGGTCTGTGCACTGGAAAAGAAAAATGTGCCGTCTGGTCCGCGCTGACATAATGAATATTTCTGAGGACGGAAAACCCGCTCTGTGTAAACAAGATGAGCATAACCTTCCCTTTCCGTCGCACGAATAGAAAAGCGTACCTTTCACCTCCTAAAACGAACCAATCGATAGACAAAATACAAAAGGTCAGATAGTACCCCAAGCAATGACGAAAACGCGAGTCCCAAGACGCACCGCAGCTTTCGCCTTGCTCCTCGTCGTCTTGAAGTAAGGTGAATCATCGGGCTCAACCGTCAAATGTTTTGGAAACCGCTCATACTGACTATTAATCAGCCGTGTGCCGAATTTCCATAACCGTAAAGCCAATTGATGAATGTCGTCATTGGCAGGGTGATATGACATTGCATTCTTCATGACTAGATCAAAGTCATCCTTTTTGCAGAGCGTCAGTGATATGAGGCGTGAAAATCCGAGCGCTAGGACCAGTGCTTACCTGGAACTCGCATAAAGCACGATAGGACCGTTCAGCGAGTTTCTGTTCCATTGTTCCAAAGTCCATGGGCTTTTTGACGAGTTCGAGGTACTTTGAGTCGGCCTCGACGTTGACAGGGCGGGAAAAGTAGCCTTCTTCGTCCTCACTAGTGTCCAAGCCCCAATCTTTAGTGCATATCAAGTGGAGTGCGTAAAGAAAACACGAAAACATACCTCGAGAGAACTACCAACAACTTTTCCAAAACATCGTACAAGTCATCGATATCCGGTTCAGGGTCCTTTTTGTCCTCAGGTTCCGTTACGCTCTGTTTTCGTGGCCGACCTCTCTTTCGAGGTGTGGTGCTCGGTGCTTGTGATTCTGTTTGGACTTGTTGAGGTGAGGTGTGGGGGGAGGTGGTTGGAGATGCTGTAGGCTGCTCGGCGGGTGCTGGTGAGACGCGGTCACCATTGGATGGTGGATCTATCGCGGAGCTATCGGGAGTGATTGGCTCCTCATTGGTGTCCTCATGGCCATTTTCGTCCGAATCTGCAAAGAACGAGCGTTAAACAAACTCTTTTTGACGCGCGCACACAGCAAAACGTAACATACGTTCAGCTCGAGAACGTTTTCGCCGTGGAGGCATGACAAGACGCCGGTATTATTGAAAGACGAATAAAGAGCTCCACAGGAACGCTCCAGACGATAAACAAGCCCTCGAGAAAATTGCAATGCAAAAAGTAGGAAAAACAAAATCCAACTCGGCCACGACAAATCACGAACCCTCAACCTGTGTTCTCGACGCTGGTTCAAAGCCGAGGTCACGTGACAGATCCCCTCGTCCGAATTCCCAACTGGGGAGATACTCACTCAGAAGCCAAATCCTGCGTTAATTACCTCTACAATTCTCGATCGCTTTGGGGCAAGAATGACAGACCCACCTTCTCCAAACCCATCCTCCGCCCACGTTCCCCAAACACTCAAAACCGCCTTCCCACAAGCCCGTGTCAAAACCATAATGCGCGAAGACAAGGATCTATCTGCAGTCTCACATGACGCCGTCTTTGCAGCGACATTGGCTACCGAAATGTTTTTAGAGTACTTGGTTGATAAAAGTTTTGAGAATACCAAGAAGGAGATGAGAAAGATTGTTAGTTATAAGGATGTTGCGCGGGCTGTTGGTGATCATGGAGAAATGGCATTTTTGGAAGGTGAGGGAGTGTGATCTGAGTATGGCATGGAGATGATAAGCTTACACCCCTTGGACGTATATCAGATGTGATTCCCCCAACATTGTCCGTACGACAGGCCCTGGAAAACAAGGCGAAAATTGATAAACAGCGAGATGGGGTTGCATAGTGGCCGAATGTAATAGTGCGGAGAACCGTATCGACTTTTCCGCATTGTGATCTTGTATATAAGGTTGGATGTGGAGAGTATATAATAGAGAGTCTCAAAAGACTAGAGTAATACCCCAAGACCGAAATTTCACAAACAAAAATCGACAAGTTGTAAAATGGGCTTCATGTACAAATGCGAAAAACAAAACAAACCCAAACCCAAACCCCAACCCCACATTCAACCAGTCTATACTCCAAATCCAATCTGCGATCTAAAGTGCTTTTGCAGCATGTTGTGCTTAATCCCCACTCTCGCCTTGTACTCTTGATTCCGATACAAGACCTTCTTTGCCTCCAATCGTCGTTGATGTGCCGCAACCGCTTGTTCATACGGCGTAGCTTCGTATCCCAGCATTTTATACTGTCCCACCAACCGATGGATCAATACGGAGTCGCGTGAATCCTCGGGTTTGAGATTCTGTCTCCAGAATCGGTTGAACTGGCGATGACCCAGTCGAACTCCACTGGGAAGGATGAGTTGGGTTTCGTCAGGTGATATACGGATGGAACCTAGTGACTCGGATAAATCGCCAAGTTCCTCTTCTTCGTTCTCGTCACTGCCCTCTTCAACATCTTCCCATTCTCCATCTCCTTCCTCTCCTTCCTCGGCCACTTCATCAGGGTACGTTGAGCTAAAGTCGTAGAAATCGGCAATCTCAAGCTCAGCGCCATCCTCGTACAAGATTTTGCAGTGGCCCTTATCGACCATGTGTTTGCGCACAGCTTCCAAACTATGCATCGCCCGTCCTTTGCCATTACAGTACAAACATACATGTCCTACCGCAACCTTTTCGCCAAGATACTTTATCAATCCTTTCAGATCAACCAGGTACTCAATATCGGGGATGAAAAAGCTGTGCGCCTTGGCCATATGCTCCATATTGTTTTCAAAAGACTGCGCAGAATGCAAACAGAACAGACAGTCCAGTTCCGTAAGACGTTCGGCTTGTTCGGCTTTTCGAGCAAGAATGTCCAATACTTGATCTTGTGATGTGGCATTCGCAAGCTCAGCTCTCCAATTCTTTTGTGGAGCTGTGGCGGACCCACTTGAACTCGAAACACCAGAAACCACATTCGACGCCTTTTTCTCGGGTCGACTCAAAGGATCTATGCCTTTTGCTTTCAACTCGTTGAACCGCACCTGAGCGTCCTTGTGCTTTTTGCTACCCAAATGATTCGAATAGGCATTCTGACTGGAATACGTTTTTCGACAGGCAATACACTCTGCAACAAACGCATTCCGGGTCTCATCTTCCTCATTCTTGTGTTTCTGCTGTTCTAATCTAGCCGCAAAATTCTCGGCAGTAACAGGTGGCAATTCGGCAACCTTGCGTTTAAGGTTGTATCTGTGCCAGTCGGTCCGCATGTGATCTCGTTGGGCATCGGCGCTTCGGAAGGCAACGTGGCAAGCTAGGCAGGTGAAGAGATGCGTTCGGGAGGCGGTCGTGGCCGCTGTGGACGCCCGAGAAAAGTCGGAAAAGTCAGAGGCGGTGTCTGAAAAAACTGAGGATGTTTCCACGTCGGCAGCCATGATTGACGACAGCGAATCGGACAACAAGACAAGTGTATAAAGCGTTTCCTGCTTTCGAAATAGTCAAATTCAAACGTGACAACAAAAAAGCGGAATCCCAGCTTGCCCCACAAAAGCAGAAAGGAAAATGCAGTCGGGTGTTGAAAAACTAAAAGCTGTGGAGAAGTCAATGCCCTCGATTTGTCACCTCGTCACCATGACAACAAACAATACATGGATCTGACGTGGGCGAATATGAGACTTGGTGCGATAAAGATTAACATTCATCGCCGACATTTGTTGATAGCGATCAACGTCCGCATCGCCGGCAGACTGTGAAATTGCGGAAGAAGACTCGCTGAGTGAATCCAAAGGATTAGATCAGCTAGCTCACAGAGCACACCACACAGCCTGTCAGCATGAAGGCAGGAAACGAGCCGTCGCTTTTGTCAACGGCAAAAGATGCAGCGGGAACTTCACCCGCCATAACAGTGGAACTAATCTAATCATAGCTCGCTGAAGCAATTGGAGGAACAATTTAATTCTCGCCTCAACTTGCTGGAACAAAAGTTGTTGGATAAACGCCACCGCCTAGAACGAGCAGAAGCAGAAGGCCAATATCACGATGTAAAGACCTTTACAAGAGATTTACGCAAAGCACTCCCTCATTTCGATGGAACAGACCCCACGGAACGCTACCGCGCTTTATCCGGCGACACGGAAGCTACCTCAACTGTTCAAAACTTTCGGCTGAAATGCAATTGACATTGGCAGTGTCAAACCTTGAGGGTATGGCCGCTCTCAAATGATACGAATTTAAAGAACGCCATCCAGATGCCGTTACGGATTGGATCACTTGTAGAGATTGGTTTCTTGAACCGACTTTTTGTTGATGGGGCCGAGAACTTGCTACATAGACAAGAGTTGGAACGTATCCGATAAGCAAACTTTCCGGATCTCGTTACCTTTCATCGCGTTTTTGACGAACATAGGTTTCGCATAAATCTTGCTGATTCTGAGGCGAGAGAGTACTATATCAAAGCGTTGCACCCAAAAGTGTTGGAGGAACTGTTCCTTTCTATTGAAGGACCTCTCCGTAGTCATACCCTGGAATTCCTTATAAAACGCGTTGTGGATGTAGTAGGGAATTTTAAGAAACTCGAAAACTAAACCCAGACTTTCAACAAGAGCGGAGACGATGAAGCCGAGGCCGGCGGGAAGGGTCCACAGAGAAAATCGCAACGGCCCTCAAAGCAAGTGCGGTCACTGCGATAAACAAGGTTGACTTTTGGAAATCATGTCCCTTTACTTGATTCCAAAAGCGACAAAAGTAAGAAGCATACCAAACTGAACGCGAATAAACTGAGAGCCCATACTACGAGGACGACAAGTAACTAAACAACAAGATCAACCTCGGAAAGCCAAAAACAGTACCTATACGCAAAAGGCAAAATGTCATAATGGACACCGTAATTTCAACATATGGACAACAACCGGGATACCCAACTGCGAAATGTTTTTGTATATACCATTTCATACCAACTATACTCTGAACAACATTTAGAAAAGCGGGCTAAAGCTGTGCAAGCCGAGAATTTTAGAGGTGAGGTGGCATATACGGATAGTATGGATCGTGTTTGAAGGTATGTCGTAAATAGGAGGCAGAGAGAACGTTTGTATCAAGTGATGACAGAGTGAAGAGCAATTTGGCTAAAAACGCTTATTTAGAGATCAAGAGTGTATTGTAAGAGTATATGTAGTTTTTTGTATGCAAAAGTATCGTAATAGCAATATAAAACAAGAGTAAATGTTGTTAATAAATTTAATTTCGGGATGCACTTGGGTTATACGTTTTTTTCTTTTTGTAGTTTTTAATTTTGAAAACATGGAAGGGGTTTGTTTATGTTTTTTGCAAAAATCATGTCGAAAATATTTTCCCCCCACGTAGAAACAAAATGCACAAAAAAGAAACCCCCCAATACGCTCATGTAATGCATAGTCTACCGTAAAGAAAAAAATCTAGTATGTAAAACAAGGCTATATCCCGCTATACACAAAAAAAAAGAAATGCATTCATCTAAAAGTCTACCCCCAAATCCCACCAACAAAAACTATATAAAAAACCTCTTTTACACAAAAAAAAAACAACAAAATCTATGCATCCATAAACAACCTAGCCCGATTCCCAACCTCAATATCATCCACAACCATAAACCCATTATACCCATTCCCAATAACAGTTTGTCCAGGCCCAGCACGAGGAGGTTCCTGCCTAATTTTCTTGTTAATTTGATTTTTCTTTCGACGATCTCCGCATTTGCAGATTGTTACGAAAAAGGATATCGTTTGATAAAATATGACTCCGATCAGACGGATGGCGCTTAGGCCTGCGCTTGCGTAGAGGAGGGAGACGAGGTATGTGTCGGCTATGGAGGCTTTGGTTTGGGTTACGACGCCAAAGACTATTGCGTTGGTTGCTAGCCACCAGAGAAGGACTAATGATAGAGTTTAAATAAATCCGTACGATAAACAACGTTCGAAAAAGGTCGAAAGACAAATACTCACGGTTTGTTCTAAAACTCTTGTAATCATCTTCTTGTTTCACCCTAGGATCCACAGCACTGGGTACCTCAACCACCCGACCAGCACCCAACTCTCGCACACGATCCATACCACCCCGCCAAACCCCATCCACATCCCCCCCACTCAAAACCTCAACATCAGCCACGACACTCCCGTCTTTATTTACACCCACAGCCACCTTTGGTAAATCGTTGGAAGCGTTATCCCCCTTGGTACCCCAGGACACGTCGTGGATATTGCAGAGAGCGTAAATTTGGAGGACGTTGATGTAGGAGGGGAGGAGGAGTAGGTATTGGAAGAGGCTTGTAAACATGTGCCAAGGATCGCCTTGCAAGACAGAGCCGAGGAGGTAGACACCATAAGTCGCCGAGAGACCAATAATGTAGCTAAACGCAAAAAAAAGGATCATTCATAACCATCCCCTAACCAGCCAGAAAAAAAAAGCGCAGTGACAATACAAACCTCATTCCACTCCCAATCTCAAAAGCCCCACCCAGTCCGCTTTTCGCTTTTGCCAAATTAAAAATCTTGTATCCAAGTAACGCAAGCATAACCAATCCAATGAACGCGAAAAAGACCATAGAAGCTTTGTAAATCCCTTTCGAAGCTTGTGGTCTGTTGCCCAATGAGGCGATAAAGAGGACCGCGAGAAGGACAGGGTAGACAAGGAAAAAAGCTTGAGCGACGCGTTCGGGGACAATCGACTTGAGTTCCGAGGAAAAGAGAAAGTAAAAAATCTATTTTTTTACAGTGTGGTTAGATAAAAGAATGAAAATGTTTTTTTGGCCAGATATGGAATACGTACGATGGCAAACTGGGATGGACCGAACCAGTTGAATAGGAGTGAGACAAGTGAGTAGCTAGAGAAAGAGAATGATTAATGTCCATACACACTTTGCGAAAAAATCAAGGCAAGACTTACAATGCTTGAACCATAAACGCCAGTTTCCTCCCAATAGAGTGCCGAGTAGTCAAGGTACGGCCAATATTCATAATAGCATACACCTGCGCAAAGAAACTTCCATTTAACCACCGTCGTCGTTGGGCAATAAACTCTGGCACACTATCGGGGACATCGGTTTCTGCCGCAGCTTTGGAAACATAGTGCAACGTCCATTTGCTCAAAGGTTTAGCAACGAGTTCCAATGCGAGAATACGGTCTTCGGCCAGATACAAATTTGCGCTAAAGATCTCTGTTGGGGAATTGGTGCTCGAGGTTTGGTCTTCTCGACGTTCGCCTTTGAAATACGAGGCAAGCGGACCGCGATTTGGCATGTTGTCGAGAAGAGCCGTGTAGCGGTAGGCAGAAAATGCACCAGGGAGTACACCAATGTAACCAAAGACAGATTCGAGGGCTTTAAAAACATCATGTCAGTGCTGATTCGAATAACAATTTTTCCAACAACAACTAATGGTTTCCATTACCTTTATCCAAATGATTACTGATTTTGTACTCAAAGTTTTGACTCGCTACCAACGGATTCAACACGCCTCGCCATGTCATGCCAACCTTGATCTCCCCACACGCACCGGCAATAAGAGGGTTTCTCTCAAAGGCCTTCCAAAGCCTATAAATGCTCCCTGCCATCGGCCTCGTCCCAACGTCAACCAAAAGACAGACCTTTGGTTTCAAAATTGGGCAAAAAGCATTAAAGAACCATCGATGCGAATTAATCTTTTTGGCATTGCGTTCCTTCATGCAGAATATGAATTGGACAGGGGGGATGCCGTTCGATGTGGTCCAAATTTGAAGAGCGGGGTCGAGGACAAGTTGGGCGGTGGATTCAAAAATGTGGGCTGTGGTTGGGGTATTGTTTACTGCAAACTGGGGCAGGCCTTCTTGATACACTCCCATGGTTTGAAGAGCGAGGAGAACGTTGAGGTTGCACTTTTTTCGGCCGTCCGCGACTATGAGAAACTTATCGTTAGTCTTTTGCACCACTAAAAGTATGACATGTGCATTACCTAGCACGACGACAATCTTTTTCCATCCGTCAACATCCCAGCCCCATTTGCGCTTTTGGCAAATGTACTGTATGTTTTGAAAGATGCCAAACAATGTTCTTTTTGGTATAAATGTCAGTTGGGTTCACAGTGCACGCCAAGTTTCCCATTTACACACCTGTTCAACTCGTTGATTCCCTCATTGTACATGGTGACTACAATCGCAATCTCCGTTTCGCGACGGTACTCGGCAGCTCGCAGGGTATATCCTGCTTTAACAAACTAGTACCAGTAACACACTTGATCAATATATCATTTCCATCACAATTGATACCGCGCACGATGCACTCACGTCATCCGGATCGGTCGTTGCGGCGGTATACTTTATCTTTTCAAATTCGTCCCCTTTGCTAAACGCAACATTCTTTAAAAGCGATTCTGGCAGCTGCTCTCTAATGACAAAATTTCCCGTCGATGGAAGCTTGACAGTCTTTCTCCTCCGTGGTCCGACAAGCGTCCCGTAAGCATTGGCGGTTGGTGCCCGTCGCTCCATGTGCGGGGCCGGCGACGAGAGCGGCAAAAGGGTATCTGATGTATCCGTCCGAGCCATAATAGAGCGCGGCTGTGGTGCCAAAACAGGAGAGAGTTCAACGTCATTTGAACTTGATCGTGTTGCATCCGAAGCGAATGCAACGCCCCGCGTCGCCTTTTTTGGAGGACGAACAAGACTGGGTGATGGAGGTGTGATGTCTCCGGATGGAGGAGGAAAAACAGCTGCATCGAGCGAGTCCCAAGCACTTTGCGAACTTGTCCTTGGAGGGAGTTCCAAGTTTGCAGACATGGGGGAAGGTGACCTGTACAATACTGAAGGAGGGACGTTGGAGCGAGGAGGAACGCTTGGAGTTGGGGATGAGACCGGAGAGCGGTTATAGAGTGGATCGTATGGACGCTCTGGTCTTGAAGGATGTCCGTACGAGGTGCCGTTTGCCGTTGCTTTTGACATGACTGACACTTCTTGTTTGATAATTGTCCCATTAATAACGAGTTTCCATCAACGACGTATGTTTTTGAGCAACTTACTCGTTCACACAAGTCCTGCTTGCTTCTGCTACTTGCTGCTACTCTGGCTTTCAACCTTTTCCCACACACACGCACTCCCAAATCCTTCTTGCAATAAAAACCCTTCTCTCCAACATACAAATCCATTTGGAAGACTAAGCAATAGTAAACATGGAAAATAAAAAACTTTAGCGGCCGAACAAGAAAGGAGATGAAACACTGCATCACATCAAAATTTAATTTCTTTTGCGCGTTTTTAAAGGGAATTATGGAATTGGAACGTGGAGATTTTTCATGAGTGTTCGTGTAATGGATATCTAATAGCCATTGCAACAGAGTAGGGGAGTGTGTGCGATGACATGTCTTTGTAAACGAGCAATATCCAAAAATTATTATCATACATGATTTCATCTCCATCCAACAAGTCCCCTCCGTCCCCACTCTTCTTGCCCTCTGGGAGGTGGCAGAATAAACCGGGGCTTGTCATCCTCTTTTGCATAAGGATGGTACCTATCGCCATGTAGAGATCGCTCACGATCACGATCACGCACATGGCGTTCAGACTCTACATCAGAATCAATGGAATTTCGGTGCGTATCGACCGGTGGTGACGCGTACGGCGATGTCGTTACAGGTACATCGCTCGTCTTTGAGTTGCTTGTTGAGCTGGCAATGGGAGCAGCAGAGGATACGGGCGCGGATGTCGGGGGAAATGTGTATACTCCAGGGCTACTGCCCCGTCGCAAAGGGGAAAAGGATGCAAGGACAGAGGGAGGCGGAAGGATCGTTTTCGGTGATGTGCTCGCGGCATTGGACAATGGCGAAGCAGATGGTGGCGCCACAATGGATCCACGTGGACTGCGGTCACGTGTCTTGCTGGAGTGCTCGCGGCATTGGACAATGGCGAAGCAGATGGTGGCGCCACAATGGATCCACGTGGACTGCGGTCACGTGTCTTGCTGGAGTGCTCGCGTTGCTGCTGCTGTTGTTGTTGTTGGTAATAGTGTTCTTCCGCCGCACGGCTCATGTCTGTCCGGAGATCGAGCGGGTGTTGGCGATGATGGTGTGGGAGGTGATGCGATGGTGGGGGCGGATGGGATGAAGAGGAAGGGACAGATCGAGGTCCTTTATCTGCGTCCCTGTCACTATTGCTCATTTTGCCATCGCGCAGCAAACTCTCAATGACGCGTTGCTGCATGTCTTGTGTTTTTCGAACGTCCCGCAGTTCGGCCATCAAATCCTGCACATTGGTCTGAAGATGCGAGAGCTGCTTCATGATCATGCTCTGTACATCCTGCATCATTGTCAGAGTAGACCCTCCTTGCTCCATGCGACTAGCAGCAGCAGAAGTCCCAACTATGGGCTGCGTTGGCGGCAATGGGTAGGGAGGCGGATGACTGTACACACCCGGCGGGGGAAGCGAACTGTAGTGGGGGGATCTATCCACTGGAGACATTGGCGAGTGGGGTGAGGCGCCAACAGTGGACAAGGGCGGACTGCCCTTGCGTTGGTGGTGGTGGGGTTGGGCATTCCTCTCTGACATGAGAGCGACCGAAGGCGGTGCAGGTGCAATGGGGCGTGAAGCAGAGGCAACGCCCGCTAGCGTCGTGGCCGCATGTAGCTCATCGGCAGCAGAAGGGAACCCACTGATTTGGGACGTTGACAGCAGGCGATCTTGCGCCGACTTGCGGCGAATTTCACCCAACAAGTCGGGTCGGTACCGAATGAATTTGGGATGAGAAAATTCTCGTGGCTCTGCTTCCCGTTCCGCATCGGTCATGCCCGCGTGACGATGGTAGGAGCGGTTGGTCTTGTGGAAGCCGTACAAATTGAGTTGACGAACAAAGCTGGTATAATTGTTGTGTTTAAAGACTTTGGGGAGGACGTTGCGAGAGAATTCTGCAGAGTCCATGACGAGAAAGGACGTTCCCAATGAACTCCATCGAATCAATTGCTGATAATCCTCGTCCTCGAGGATTCTTTGTAGAGACAATAAGTTTGCTTGTTCCCATTTGCCATATGCGCAGTCTTGAACACTTACTTGTACAGCTTTTGTATAAACGTTGTCTTTTGAACCATTGCTTGTTAATGCCAAAGTAGTATGCTAAAAGCCCGTATTCATCAGTACTAAAAAAAAAAAGAAAACGCTGGCAGCAAGCAAGCAAGCAGAAAGAAGGGGGGGAGAACAGAAAGGGCACTCCATTTATGTTGTGGGAGGGGGGGGGGGGGAGAATTGAGTTTTAGACTATTGTCACACCAACCCTAAAGTTTGATAAACGGAAGGTTCCTTTTCGGTCTTTTGAGAAGACGCGTCAT